CTATATACATACGTATTAAGTAATGAAACCAAATAAAAAAATAAAAAGAGATAATGGGTCATTGTTGGGCAACACCCACCTTCAAATTGATAGTAATATCAATTCGATTCTAGTATGCAAGAACTGACTTATATTTTGAGCTGGACCCAGAAAATAAATTTTGAATTTCTCAATCATAATATAATAGATAAAAGCTCAGAGGCTAACTCACCCTTCCACATCGACTAGAGGTGAATAAGAATGTAAAGTAACCAAAATAGGAATTTAAACATAAACATATTAATACAATAGTCGTAACTAATATAAGATAATCAAGCAACTCTATATCAATTTAAAAACTAAGTCAATTAAATTTGAATTCTTTCTGAACATTTAAGGCCTAAGTAAAATTAATTCCAATGAGAAGCAAGAGTCTGAAATTAAGTTAAAAAAAGTATCAGTTTAATAGATCGAAATTCTACAAAATAATAGGAAATCAAATTGAAGAATTTAATAAGAGACTTTTATGACATTAAAGCACGATTTCTTTCTTTTAAGTTGCTTTAGCAGAATATCACACAGCAAATTTTCTGAGAAATATCGCCTCTTTATAAGCAACATGACAAATGTCAATTTTAAACTTTTCAGAATTTGTATTTGTTAAATCAATTTAAATTTTGTCAAATAATAATCATCAAATTCCGCAGAAAATAATTAATATGATTTTTATCTCAATTTCATTGAAAATAGATATAGCATAAATAGGATAGAGGGTTGGTGTTTGAATTGTAATACAGACTTGGATATTAAGAGCAGTTCTTAAAATGATAGAAAACCATGAATATATTTTTCCCAACTGAGAAAATAGAGATTATACTCAATAATAATTAAACAAACAACTTAAAAAACTTTTTATTTTTCAAAAATATTCATTTCACAACTTAAGAACTTGAAACAATAATTTTATTTAGTTAAAACATGTATGTGATTTGTTTTAAATGAAACAACAGGTTTATTATACCTTTATAATGTAATTCAATAATAAAACGAAGGCACTGATAAACCCCGAACTTAACCTTCCCGTTATTCTAAATTAACATCCAAAGAGCTTGTAGCTAACTTAAAAAAAGATATTAAATTCAATAACGAAATATATTTAATACAGACATAAATTATTATTCCCAACCAACATTTATCATAATTATAATAAAACATTAATAACTTCAAAGATTTGGCGATCATAATATAATAAAGTTGTTCCATATAACTTGACCACATATAATGCCAAAGAAGTTTATCCTTACGAAAGAAGTCTATAAAGAAAGGTAAACGACCGGTATTGCATAAGAACCCAACCACTCTAGGTCAAGGACTGGTTCGACTCTCGAACTGTATCATCGAAGGTGGAACGAGTTCGTCAACCAACCACACTCGAGAATTTTTAATACTTTCAGCTTCACTTCAAGATTTTTAAATATATGAAAATAAAATATTTTTTTATAAGTTCGATATTTTGTTCCCAAAACATTAATATCATTCTTTTAACTTTACCGTGTATTTTTATTTCTAATACTGTTGTAAATATCATAAATAAAATATTAAAAAACTTTACCTCAAAGAGTCGGGTTTGGAGCGTTTAATTTTTAGGCAGACCAATGACATCAGTGTAACTTAGAAAGTCTCCTCAACATAGTTTCTTGAAGGTCTATTAAAAAATAAATAAATAACGATAATTACAGGAACGATTATGCTGTTTTATTAGCTATATATTCAAAAAAAGATTCAATACAGCTGCGTACCAAAAAATGTTAAGAAATAGCCCAAGACAGGAAGAGATGGAGCAGACTTGTTAAGGCGGCAAAAGATCTACATAGTCTGTAATGCCAACAGAAAAAAAATAAATAAAATTCGCTATCTACGCATTTTAATTTAAAAAGGAAATATATTGTAATTGTTTAAGTATTTAGCTTACGGTGCCTTTAGACATTTCACAAACTATGGTTAACGCAATATCTAACTTAACTAACAGCGCTATTAGCGTTAAGCCAATTTTTTTTTTTTATTTCTCTGATTACCAATAGCCACTAACAGATCCAGAATTTAATTTGGAGAGGGGGGCTTCCGCCCAAAAGATTTTTTTTAGGAAAATATTACGATTATTACTTCCGAAGCTAGCAATAAACTAAGTACCGATATAAAATGATGTTCAAATAATTCTTTAAGTCCTATTAAGTGTAATTATACCAACAATAATACTTATAGCGATAATTTTTTTTAGAAAACGGTTATTTTTTTTTCCTTTGAGACTTGTCAAAGCAATCGTTATATTGTTAGAAATGGTTATATTTTATCATTTTGGGGAGGGCTTCAGCCCAAAGATCCGCATGTGCCAATAGTAGATGGAAAATATCAAATACAATAAACAAAACAATAGCATAGAGAAACATCCACTTAGATATTTGTATTTCCCACAGTTTGTGAAATGTCTAAAGGTACCTTCAGATCACTCACGTAAACAAATATGGACCAATGAAAAAACAAAATTCTACTAGGGGGGCTTCCTCCAGGGGACCATTTTGCATCAAACTGAATTCATAAGTTATGTTACTTGAAAAAAAAATCTGTTTTCTTATTGAACGAAGCTGATGAAAAATTGATTTTATTGAAATCGATTAAATTAATATTAAAAACTAAAAAAATAGAAATAAACTAATTGGATAGTCTGAATTCAACCATCACTTTTCCTGAAACATTCCCATAATAAAGAAGGTTCCTCTAATTTTATTTAGTATTTGTAATGAAAATATTCTTAAAATTACCTTTATGTTATTACTTTATAATATTATTTCTTCAGTGGCTTCCAGCCCTTGGGAAACGTGATATCTGTTAGATACTTTTCCTCTGCATTTTTTCGAAAACATAATAATTTAAAAATAAAATCATAAAATTAACTGATGAATGTTTATCGAAAATTGTAATTGGAAATAAATCGAGTTTACTGAGAACTGTGATTCAAACAATAATTAAAGACAAAGAGAAATTTCTAAATGAAATAAAAATAGAATCCTCAATGTATTTAACAATAATTTATCCCCTTGTTAATAGATTCCCATTCTATTAATAACTTATAAATAAAAATAGACAATCTATGAATTCATTTCACATTTGATCCAATCCCAATTTCACTTATTTTACAAAAGATATTACTGTGACACCTTAATGATGCAAATGAACCAAAGGTTCAAAGCAAGACATGTAGTTGCCTTGTTTTTTTTTTGTTTTGTTTTTTGGGTCCTCCCATTTTCTCGCCCCGGGGATTTATAAGACTCCCTCGGCACCGGGACGCGAACTTGTGACTATTTTTATATCATTAGATTCATATGTCAGGTTGCCGGGCAAGGGCGGTGCACACGCTTTAGCCCATTCGGCCACCACGCCCACAATGCAGTTGCCTTGTGCTGTTCATTCGTTCATTCATTATTGGTGCAACAGAGGCATGTAGCGGTCCTTGGTCTGCTCAATTTCCTTTGCCCAGTCATCCCTGTTGGCTGCGCACCTGATGGATATGCCATCTTTTCTCAAGTCTTCTTTTACGTTATCTATCCATCTTGCCTTCGCTCTTCCCCTAGACCTAACTGTCTCTTTCTTCCCGTGATAAAGCCTTCTCGCTGTCCTCGCTTCATCTATTCTCAGGACATGTCCTAACCATTTCATTCGCTGCACTCGACCGAATTGGGAGGTAGATAGATCACCCTACATTGAGTATACCTCCTTGTTTGTTCTCAAGCAGAGAGCTCCTTACTCCAGTTTAGGTCCTATTATCCGTCTTAGTACTTTCCTTCCAAACCGATCTATTCGTTCAGCAGATGCCTTTGTTAGAGTCCATGTCTCGCACGCTTTTGTTGCAACTGGCCTAATAATCGTTTTGTATATCCTAAACTTCGATGTATGACTTAACAATCTACTTTTCAGAAGGCTCGCTACAAAAAAGTACGCTCTGTTGGCAGCCATTATTCTAGCTCTTATCTCCTCCTCTTCGTTATTGCTATTGTTAATTATGGACCGGAGTTGGATGAAGTTTGATACAGCTGGAAAAACATGGTTTCCCAAGACATAGTGCTGTGGTGGATGGACAAGCCTTTTCTTCCTTAAAACAAGGACCTTGGATTTACTTTTGTTGATGCATAGCCCTATTTTCCCTGCCTCATTCTCCTACCTACTGAATGCACTCTTCACTGCTTGAAGTGAGCGCCCTGCAATGACCACATCGTCAGCATGCGCGAGCATTTGGATCATTCTGTGGAATATTGTTCCTCCCTCATTTAATCTTACCCTTCTTATGATGTTCTCAAGGGTAATATTAAAGAGGAGTCGGGCTAATAAGTCAAATTGCCTGAGGCCCAAACAAACTGCAAAGGAGTCGCCCATTCTTCCTTGTAATTTAACTCTACTGAAGGTGCCTTCCATGATAGCCATCTTTAAACGAATCGGCTTTGTTGGTATACCCAATTCATATATTGCATAACAAAGCTCCTCTCTAACCACCATGTCGTACGCCGCCTTAAAATCAATGAAGAGCATCCACATGGAGTTATTATACTCTTTCATTTTTTCCATGATCTGTCTAAGGGCAAAAATTTGATCGATTTGTCCTAAAGCCATCCTGTTAATCTCCAAGCTGTCCCTCCATGTATGACATAATGCAATTATACAGAGTAATAAAGAATTAAGTGAGCTGATACCTTTGTAATTTCTGCTGTCACTTACATTTCATTTTCTCTTATAAATTGGGACAATGAGGGACTCTTTCCATTCTTCTGGTAGTTTTTCTATTTCCCAAATATTTGCTACTAATTTGGTAATTTCCTCTAAAAGGCGACTCTCCCCTTGTTTCAGAAATTCTCCAGGGATCCTGTCTGATCCTGCTTTCTTATTATTCCTTAACTTAGCTTTTCCAAAATATTTTCGATGTCCTCCGAATAAGGTGGCATGACTTCATCCATATCTTCTTCTCTTATTGATTACATGCTTCTGTAGGTTCCAATTTCTGCAGGGTTGAATAACTCCTGAAAGTGCTCTTTCCATCTTTCCTGTAACTCATTCTCCACAGCAAGCAGCTTTCCATTCTTATCTCTTACCATATGTGGATCATTAACAGAACCAATTATGGTGGTCTTTATGTCCTGAAAGAACTTTCTTGTTTCATTCCTAAGCCAACAATAATTTGAACTGATGAAGAGTATTTAATATCTTTCAGGGAGCTTAAATCACCCCCTTGCTAATAGACTCCCATTCTATTAATAACTTATAAATAAAAATAGACAATCTATGAATTCATTTCACATTTGGTAAAATCCCAACATACTATTTCACCTATTTTATAAAAGATATTACTGTGACATCTTAATGATGCAAATGAACCAAAGGTTCAAAGCAAGACATGCAGATGCCTTGTGCTGTAGGGATCACTTATTCATTGTACAAGTCACCTATCTTATTTCATTTTTATGTTTGTTTATATTTTAACTTCAATCAAAAGTTGATTTGTGTAAAATGAAGTGGTCATATGATTCAAACTTTGTAAAAAAAAAACAAAAAAAAAAAACGGAAATTTAGTCATCATAACTTACTATCATCAAACAGCTATTCTCATTCTCACATTGAGTTAAATCAATATTTATTTCTTTTGGAGGGGAAATTCGTCCACTATATTACCAAGAGCCGGTCTAAATGGTTCATGGATACACCATAATACCAGAGAGACATTCTAATTTTAATTTAATTAAAAGTTTGTTTTTTTTATTCAAAAACATTTTTATAGCATCCATTATTCATGAGCTTAATTTAAAAAAAATGACCACAGATTAAAAGGAAAGAGGATCCAATGTACAACTACAGAAAAAGTTTAATTATATAAAATTTTGTTTATTTTTTTAAATACTATCAACATATAAAAACAATTAATATGTGTCAAGAATAAAAAGTTATGAAAATTACAACGAAAACACAGGCAACCACAGAGAAAACATTTGAAAAATACATACAAATGCATAATTTAATTTTAATATCTATTAAAATATATTATATATAAATATAACAGCAATGTAATAAAACTGTAAAATATTATAAAATTATATATTTAAAGAAATGCATATAATTTAATACTTAAAAGATTACAGTATTTTAGAAAGCAATAAAATTCTTGAAGCTATCTATTGCATTACAAGGAATATCAAAAGTTAAATATAACTATTAATAAGACTTTCTCTTTCCACAATAATTTAAAAACTAAATATTAGCTGTAATTACATATAAACATAAAACTCATCAGGCACCCACATTTTGATATCAGTAATAAGGTCTTCTAGGATTATTCTGAAAAATATAAAAAAGTAATTAAAAAATCAAAAAGGAAAACTACATAAATATGTAAAAAATGAAGATATAAAATTCCTGATTATCTTTAATGCATTGAATACTCCATTAAAAAGATCTGAGATCTCGGTCCACAGCTACTTATATAACTATTTATTGCATTATCACAGTCACACAGAACATGATCTGTTGTGGCAAGTAATACAAAGAGATTACAGGTCGTTCCCGTGTATTAAACAAAACAAAATCTGAAGTCCTAAATTATCTTCTGAACAACCCCTGAATTTTTGTTTTCGGTACTTTTTGTCTAGCCGGCACTGACTGCTATCTGCCAATGTTTATAACCTGAACACTGATAATTCCCATAACGCATTGATAAGCCTTCTCCTACTTCATATCTTCGTATTATGTATTAAATTTGTATTATTGAAAGTGTAAACAGATACAAAAACAAATATAATAACAAAAAAAATACTTTCATTTTACGACATATATTAATGAAATAATAAAAAAACACTTGAAGAACATATATAGATATAAAAGATGAAAATAAAATAATAAAAAAACGTTTAAAGAAAATATTTATATAGAAAAGAAAAAATATCAACACTATAAACAACATATGTACAATTTATTTCATGTCTGCAAGTATCCCAACATTTTGAAAATATTGAATTGCCGGTTCTTCTGAAGATGGCAAATCCCATATTCTAAGAAGATCCATAATATGACGAAAATAAACGGAAAAAAAAAATGAAAAATAAACACAAACAGGCCAAAAGTAAAGAATTTAAAAAGTGAACATAATAAGGGAATAACTGAAAACTAAACAATGCAATAATTCAAAGGTTTGGAGGGATAAGAAGAGAGAGGTTATGTGACGTGACGTTAGAGAAGATAGATAAGAAGTGAGGTTTCGTGCCACCCCGCTAGACAAAAAGTACCTTGTTTTCTTTCAAATTCACCTTAATTTAACTCACTGAGACAAACCAATGTATATCAAGTATAAACAGAACCCTTTTATAACTTTCATAAAAAATGAAATCCCAAAACATCTCAAGAAATGTTAAACTGAAGAGATATAATATTAAGATAACAGTGAATAAACTGTATTAAATTTATCAAAGTAATACTTACTAAAGGGTTAGGCCTAAACCTATAAGCCAGCATCATCCTTTTCCTATAAGCGTCATATTCGTCATCTCCAGTACTGATATCGTCTGGTCTGATATGACCAAGGCCTTCATTAGAATCTCGAACTTTGCCCCTAAAATTGTCAAAAAATTCACTTCAATATATAAATAATGACAGCTGATTTTTGCAAATATTGACACTAAATTATTACGATTAAAAATCATATATTTTTCTTTAGCAAAAATTTATTATTTGAAATATAACATAAACACAAGGCTAATATATATATATATACCATAGACTAAAATATATATCTTTTTTTTTTTCTAATACAGTAAGTAAACAGTGAAACTTACAGTTTCCTGATATTTTTAATAAAATTTATAGTATCAAGAAAAAACGTTATTAACGAAAAAGTTATTATCTTTGTTTTATTGCCTCTCCAGAATTTCTATCAACTATTTAAATTTATTTATAATATATAAATTATTTATTTATAATTTATTTATTATAAATTTATTTTATATTAAACTATTTTATTGCCTCTTTCTATCAACTTTTGTTTAATTATACATAATATTTATGAGTAATATATCTCTCGTCCTTATTTACGCTTCTGGTACTTTAGTTCAAACTTCGTCAGATAACCGTTGGAGATGAAGCCACTATATATCCCTTCTCTCCACCCCCTCCCTGACTAACATGCTCATTGCTTCGATTTACTTATTTGCAGTCAGGTTGGTTTTCTTTTTCTTTCTTATTCTCTTTCTTATTTTAACCTTCTCAGTTTCTTTCCTCCTTCTTTTCATTCCTTCTCTCTGTTTTAACTCTTTATTATATTATATGTTGTCTGTACATCTTGATAGACTTTACATCTCAATTTTCTATCTAACTATTCTATTCGCAATATCTTAATTTTACTATTTATTTCCATTTCTTATATAACTTCATATTTTTTTGTTTAACATTTTATTCTAAGATTCCCATTTTAATACTTATGTCATCTTTTTTTATTATGTTTACTTCATCATTCCACACTTTGTACCGGTTATTATCATTTATCTCTTAGTTCTTACTATTGTCATTATTCTAACAACTGCATTTTACTTTTATTTTTTTCTACCTACATTATTTATGTTTCTCATACCATGTTATCTGGTTCTTTTCTTAGCCCTGATGATGGCCTGAACTTCAGGTCGAAATGTCGGCAAATGTAAAAATAAATATTATCATTTATTTTTGCCTTCTTATTTGACTGACCACCCCAACTATTCTTCTCTTCATCAAGAAAAAAACGTTTTATTTCACCCTTATACATTTATTCCATGCTTTAATTCATATAAATTTCCTGACAACGTTTTGAATTAAAATAGAAAATTGTAAAGATTTAATAAAAAAAACTGATATTTTTTTTATTTTCAGTTATTTTTAAAAGTTAAATGTTTATTAATGTGTGTAATTCCATGAGAGTGTATATGAGAAATACCAAAATTGCATACAAACAAAAAAATTATTATAATAAGACAACAAAAATGTGGACATTAAAAGAACATAAAATAATTCAGTCTTTAGCAAGAATCTTCATGTATAATAATAATTTGTCAACAAGAAAAAATAAATAAATAAAAAAGAAAAATCTGGTTACAAACTCATTCTCAATACCTGAGAATATCAAAAATTAAGATCACAATACAGATCATAAATATCTTACAAATAAAAGTAAATAGAAAAAGAGAGCATATAGAACTGAAATATTTGCAAAAAAAAAAAAAAAAATAGAAGTGACAAATTCTGATTGAATTTTAAAAAATCCTAATAAAACTTTATTAAATGTGGTTAAAAAGTGAAGATGGTTTCAAAAGTAAATCAGTATAGACAGAGAGAATTAAGATTCAAATAAATTTTGTTATATCGGAATTATACTGGTACTGGTAATGGTGGGGGAAACTAATCCGGCAAGTGGGCCAAATGGTCCTTTTTACAAACCCCTGACGGATACCTTGAGGTTGCCGCAGCCCACTTACCAGAGTGGGAATGTCAAGATTCATTTTCTGTGGCCCGCTGAGAAATGAATATTAACTGACCCAGGTGGAAGTCGAACCCACAATGTTTAGAACCGGGCACTCTGGGACCCATGCCCCAACATGCCTGGCAATCCTGTCCTATATTGACATGGTACATTTAGGTTACTTTTGCAATATTACTTTAAACTTATAATTGGATGGTATTTAATAAAAAGGAACTAATCCACATTGCCCACACACTGAATGGACTCAAATCAAAGTTAAATATTCAATTTGTCCATCAGATTTTTTTTTACCTACATAGTCTCTTGCCAGCTACTGAGGCAATAAGATTGTGTAGAGGGCGTCCTGATGGATTGCTAAGATATTTACAAGTTTTTGTCTATATTTTATCTACCCAAAAACACTGCTATTACATCGATAAATTGATAAAAAATTAACTTCATAGTGATTTATTTTATTTTATTTGTTACATTCAATTGCAAATATTTTTTCCAACTTCAATTTTTAATCAAGATGCCTGAACCAAGAGATGGTTATTTTATCTTGAAAATAACAACTGCTAAACCCACTCAAAACTAACTAAAACTCATTTTTCTATATATTGAGAATTGGGTATCTTTACTTAATCCAGTACTCTGTTACCGCTGAGCAGTGTGAGATTCTTTCTTATAGAGCTTGATCCAAGAATCTCTATCCTGGGCCAGCTCTCTTCTCCTACTCCAGTCCATTCCTCTCCTGTCAAAGGCTTCTTTAATTCCTTCTTCCCATCTTTTTCTTGGTCTTCCTATTGGCCGGCTGCCTTCCCTTCACTTTGACCTCGTAGGTAGCCCTCGCAATTCTGTTTTCAGCCATTCGCGAGATATGTCCAAACCATTTAAGTTGGTTTTCTTGGATTATCACCTCTGCAGAGGTCAGGTCCAGATTAGCTCGTATGGTCACATTCCTAACGCGATCTCTTCTTGTTTTCCCCTCTATTTTCCTTAAATATCGAATTTCCATAGCTTGGATTTGGCTTTTGTGTTTGGAAGTGAGGGTCCAAGACTCGCTTGCATATGTTAATATAGGGAGGAAGGTATTCTTGAAGACAATCTTCTTAGTGGCCTTTGAGACTTCCTTTTTGTCCAAGAACCTTTTTGTCTGAACCAAGAGATGGTTATTTTATCTTGAAAATAACAAGTGCTAAACCCACTCAAAACTAACTAAAACTCATTTTTCTATATATTGAGAATTGGTTCTCTTTTACTTAAAGTCCAATCCTAACTTTGTTAAATCAAAGTTATTATTTAACCAAAGATTTATAAAAAAAAAAAATTTGTCGTTCAATAATTACTAAGAAACATGACAAATGTCCCAATTATTCTAATTGTAAATGTATATTAATTGATATTATAAATAATTATTGATTACTTGTTGATAGGATCCAGCCTTCCAGCTCCGTCGGATCCTAAACCTTGGCCTTCGCTCCAGCCAAGTTTTTGAAGCATTTGGAATCCCTTGTTTTCCTCGCCAAGTTTATATTCCTTGTAATCTGAAAGATCTGGTTCATCGCCACCTTTCGCCGCTTGGTACTAAAAAACACATATTATTGCTAACAAAAATATAACCAACACTTAAAAGTAAATATATATAAAATAAATCTTGCAAAAGTTATAATTCAACTTGTAATACCACTCCTGAAAAATTAAATAAATCAAAATACAAGGATAGGGTTCAGTCCAATGATGGTTGTTGAAATTAATTTCAACTACAGATATGATCACTTAGCAATTACTGTAATTAGAAATTACAGACATAATACAATTATTTATAATTGTAATTGCTGTTGCTTCAACGAACTTTGTAATTGTAATTGAAAATACTTAATGTAGTTACTGAAATTGTAATTGAAGATGTAATTAATAATTTCCCAACTCTGGTTCTTCCCAATTACATTATATTCAAAAGCAGTGCCAGTTTAAATCCTGATCTGCGCATGTCAACTTTTTTGAATATTCACGGAATTAGTATAAACATTTAAACTCTAATTTAGAATACTTAGGTAACTGGTTAGTAGGTTAACACGTCCTACCAGGAACAAAACTTCAATAACCTTAATACTTCAATACTTAATTAATTAATTGAAAATAATCTTAATTTTTTTTGTATGTTCAACAGATTACACATGAAAACTAATAACACCTCAATAGTGTGAACTAGAAAGAAAAAAAAAAAATTAATAAAATAGAATTTCAGAGAAGGGAGGGTGGTTAAAAAGTTTTGTTAAAAAAAAAAATACAGGGAACCAGAAACGAATTTATAATGAAATATGCTCATCTACATTGTAGAATTGCCCGTAAAATTCATAGGTCATATGCATCGACGCACTCACATACTCATTTGTGGCTATTTTCTGAAAATCCTTACTTTCTTTTATATAAATAAAATGACAACAAAGCATAAAGATGTAGTGTATCCTTTTAAACATAATATTCAAATGGTAACAGAGAACAATATGCTGAGACAACTAATCCTTTTCCTAACCAACAAAGTTTATTTAAAGTAGTGAGAAAGACCTTCCGAAATTCAAAAGTACCTGAAATAATGCAACTCTTAATGCAAAATAAAATGATTTTTATACATACGAATTATATATTTAATATTTTGTTAATTGTAATTCACAAACATCATCAGAAATCCCATCTTTCCAATAATCCAAACACCTTTAAGCAGCAATTAGTTAGGACTACTGTGATTGCACTGAATAAAAATTATACAACTAGGTAAGTTCAAAGAGTTTTCAGACAGTGGATAAGAAAACGTCCTGTACCACACCTAACCTCAACAAATTGGATTGGGAGGGCAAATTCAGCAGTTAAGCACGGACCGTTCATTATAAAATAAAACATATCTTTCTTGGATTTCTGAGGTAAACATTTTATAAACACTTATCTACTATTAAAAAATTCTTTGAGAGCTTGAAATAAATAAAAAAATTAACTTTTGTTTTTAATCAGTTTCAATGGGTATATATATATATAAATATATATATATATTTTTTTTTTTTTATTTCTTTATTCCTATTCTGTTCTGGAACAAATTTGTTTTTCAGTTTTTATTTAATTGCTATTAAAAGTTCTGTTAAAAGTAATTAATTACATCAAAAGGTCAATCTACAAAATGATTATTGAACTGGACACTTAGTTACTCAAACAAGAAAAATATAAGAATCAGCTGATTCCAATCTCGAGAAATTACATTTTTAAGTTGAGCCACTTTTTTTTTTTATTTTATTTTATTAATTAATTTAATTTTTATTTTTTATTTTTTTTTTTATATTTCTTAAACATTTATTACACAAAAGTATCTCAGAACATTTATTTTAAAAAGTTTCTTTGAAACAGTTAGAATGTAACGTTTAAAGTTCTGAATACTTCACCACATAAATGATAACAGTAGAAAACATTTACTTTTTTAAATACTTTAGCTTACCTTTGCCATAAACTTTTTCAGTTCGTCTGGAGGTAGAAAATCTCCTATGTGATGTTTCCCTTTGGCCATTTCTGTTAGAGATTCTGCCCATTCTTGAGTAGCTATCATTTCCTTTTCCCTCAATTTATGCTCCCACGTGCCTTTTTCATCAATCTCTTCATCTGAATCATATTCATATTTGTTCTTACCAGCTTCTTTTAATTTTTCTACTTCCGCTCTTTTCGCCATCATATCTTGATATAAAAGATGGACCTGAAAAGAATAAAACATTTTTTTTAAAGACAAAATGAATTCCATTAGTGACAATTTCCTCCACAACAACATTTCAAACAAATTAACTTAAATCAATTACCAGCGTTTCTCACTTTTATAGCCTCTTTCAACAACGAGATCAAGCTGTAATATTTTTAGAAAGTCCACCAGCGAGGCTGGTGCATTATCTGCACTAGCCGCCCGATCGAAGGTTAAAATATGTCTATACAAATTTTATATACTCTCTTACATTTTTAGGCTTATCGAGCAAAATAGAGATTGTACCTAGTTCTGCCATAAATACTGTTACAAAAGTTGAACTTTGTTCACATCCTTCGATATTATTGAGATAATCCTTACTTACCTCTATCAGGTTATTTTCTTTACATGTTAGGATAATAATCCCAATTAGTTTGTATTTTTCTTTTGCTCAGTTAACTTGGAGTGGGGTGATAAAGAAAACCAAATAGCTGTGATCGCCTTACACAAAGTTGGAAAATGTAGGTCAGAGATTTTCAACACTTTGAAACCATTGGGTATCAGCCGTATGTTCGTGTACCGCACAATAAATAGATATAATGAGACCCTATCTGTATCTGACAGACCTTGATCGGACACCCGCACTGCAAGAATGGCAAATGCAGTGAGAGCAGTGGCTGCTCGAATCTGGAAAAATCCAATTCGCAAACAACAAATCATGTCTCGGGAAATGGGAATCTCTGTCAGATCAATGTCTGGTCAAGATTTCTGCCAATAAAAAGTGACCTTAGGATGGGTGTATTTCCAAGAATGACAGGACAAAGGCTAACCACTTCCCTATTAGAGAAAAAAAAAATTAGAGTGGATAGATGCAAAATGCTCCTTGGCTGTTGCACCAATGGTCTTCATCGAAAGATTTTGTTTAATGATGAGAAAATATTTACAATTGAAGAAAAATTTAATCACCAAAATGATCGTATGTATGCACGAAACTCTAAAGAAGCCCAGGGAGTCATTTGAAGAGTGGAAAGAGGTCACCACCCTTCCTCAGTGATAGTTAGGTGGGGAGTTCTGAATAATATGTATTTTGTCCCTATTTCTTTGGAACTACGAAGTTAGTAAAATAGTGTTACTGAAAAATACTGATTTTTGTCAACTCTGGTAACAACCCTGATTTTCATAGGATTAGAGAACTTATTTATATTAATTTAGCGGATCTCTTTCGTAGTGGGCAACCACAGAAAGTATTACATTGTTTGTTGAAGAGGGTGTTTTTAATATAGGATAATCTTTAAAAAAAACTAAAGTAAAATTCCAAAAATATGCACGCTCAATTAAATCTTTAATTTCTGTTAAATATTTATAATTCTAAAAGTGTATTTGAAAGCATAGATTTTATTGACATTAAAATTGGTTCAAAGTTACGACATTTGAATTTAAAAAACATGTAATTTTCGTTTAGTTTTTTTTTTTTTTTTTTAAATTGACATTAAAATTTATTATCATCATTAGATGAATTTGAGTGAATCGTTCAAGAATTTTTCGACCAAAATAGAGACAGGGTCAGCTTGAGAAAGTTGTTAACCTTATTAAACACCTTTCCACCATGAAAAAACTGAATAATTCTTCTCTGTTCTTTGAAATCATTAAACAAAAACTTGAGTTATTAAATACTTTTTCTTTCAATGTTAAAAAACTTTCTTTTATCAAAGATCTGAAAAAGAATAAAAATAAAAGATCTTCACTATATTATAGTGAAATTAATTAAATTTATATCGGTATATTGAATTTAATCCAAATCATCAGAACCATTTTTGAGGAAATTGTAAAAAAGAATAAAATTTATCATATTAAGTGGAGATGTCTGGTCAGTCGATTTTCACACAAAAGATCCCAGGAAAATACTCACTTTAAATGCATAATTTCAGTTCCGTAAGATTTTTTATTTTGACTGTTCATATAAACAGGCCATTTACCAGGACTTGGATATTTTGGACTCAGAATACATGTACTTCTACTTCAAATTCAGATTTAATTTTTTTTTTAATTGCAATACTTTTACACACTACATACATCATAGAGGTAAATGAAAGTAAAAAAAAAACAACAAGAACATACTATTATAAACAAAACTCCTGTGCAATATCCCTAATCTATCCTCAATTTACCTTGAAAATAAAAAACATAGCATAGTTGCAAATACAATCTAATAAAAAAGATAAAGAAATAAAATTAATAAAAACATTAAATTTTGAAAACATATCAGCTGTTACTTTTTCCTTAACTGTTAATACGTATACAAATACTTACTTTATAATTTTCTTCTGCTTTCTTCCAATCTTCGTCTGATAAATTGCTTGAACCATACGCAGTTAAAGCATACTGCAGAAGACCAGGATCTGTCCTTGTCACCTTGCTAATCATGTGACCAGACATACCTATGAGAGTAACAGATCATTTTTATTGTTTTGCTTCAATTTTTAAGTAATGCCAATAATATAGAAAAATAAAATTGATAAAAAAATGTTAGTCTATATAATGAACATTAATTCTAATTTTTATTGATTATTTTAATATAATTTGGTTGAACAATAATGAAATATTTCATAAATATATTTTTTTAGTTTTAATAACAAAATTATAACACTTTTATTTAAAAACTTTGGCTTTATTTAAAACTGTTACCGATGTTATGTTAGAATTATATAAGTTTGTTTCATACACATGCCTTCCTTGTTAATGAGTACAAGACCAAGTACAACTAATAAACATCCAAAATTTATGTGATCAAACAAAAGGACCAGTAAAAAAAAATTACTTGTCATATATATTTTTTTTCTGAGCATGGTATATTTTTCACTAAATAACCTAAAGTTACTTCAGTATTATACTATATTCATTGTTCTTTCTCCCTGCAATGTAAGTATAAACTGGAGTTCTCCGAAATATCATATTTATAATAAAAAGGGCCATTTTTGACGACGAGAACCAACCTGACAAGGAAGGTAGGAGCCCTCACCACTAGCAAGTGAGCTGCATTTAGACGGCCCAAGCCGACCACCTTTACTTATATTCTTTGTTGATTGTAATTCTTTTTGTGATGGCATCACAACTATCAAAACCACAGATGCTCAGGATCACTTTGACCACACTGTTGATGTCAGAATCCCATGAAAAGAAAAAGAAAAATTTGGCCTGAATAATTATATCTTGAATCTCAAAAAATGAATCACATCCTGATCATGGAAACACTGGATATTGATGATTTCAATAACTTCAAGTGTAAGACCCCTGATATGTTTTACAAACTGATATCTCTGATGAAGATCTCTTTCGAAGCTACTTCTCATATTTTTCAAGACTTTAATCATAGCAGTTGGTTGATTTTTTTTCTAAATAGATAGCAAGCTAATTATATATATGTATAAAAAAAAGAAATAAAAAAAAATGGTCAGTTTTGTTTAGGTACAACCAAAGAATTTTGACAAAGAATATTTAACTTATTACCTGTGACATTTATTTTTGGAGCTATTGAAGTTAAATTCACCGCATTGGAGATCTTCATATCCTTTTCGTCGCTCCAGCGACTTTTCCTTTTCCTTTCCCCTATACAAAATACAATAACATAATAGTTTTATAAAATACGGATTGTATAATTACCATTCATTCACATATCTCTTTTAGTAAATTATCATTCATAAATTGTGGTCAAAGAAAATAATCATAAAGTAATTCATTTTGCATGTATTCCATTGCATAATGTACCCAGTTTTTTCTTACCTAATTATTATCCATTCTTATGAACATAAATTATGAGACCTTTTAGTGACATTTTCATTTTTTTTAATGTTATTTTTTGTTTGATAAATAAAATTAAAATAAAAAATAAATAAAATTTGTTTGAAATTTTAATCGATATATTTTTCGAATACTTTTTCTAACAAACATTTTAACTTCCTAGAAAAGGTTCGACAGAAACTAACTACTGAGGTTTGAATAACATTTTAGGTAGGCTAGTTAATAATTAATATAAAGTATATGAAAGCTTAGTAACTGAAGATGTAAATATTAATTAATGCAAGGAAAATTATATAATTAAGGATTTAACTAAATAGTTTCTCATGAAGTGATTAAAATACAAATGATTTCAAAACTGAGGAACAACTCAACTCCATTATAAACAGTATTTGGTATGAATAACTTTCCAAATTATGTTGATCCTTCCATTTATTGTTAATCGTAAATATTATTATTATTCTTTCACATTAGAATCAGCTTTCCTCTAAAGGAGTCGTGATAGAACAATAAATAAAAAGTAAAAAAAAACTGTACCATTACAACCTATGAAGGATCTTGGGATCGAGTACTTTGTAAGGAAGTACTGTTTCTTGGCCAAGGATTGTGCAAGGAGGTGATTTGACCGAGATCACACTAAACCACCAGTTTCCCCCCCCCTGATTAATTATTTAATTAAGAGTACTTTATAGAGGCTGGGTGTTCCCCTGGAGGTTCTTTTTGTAGATTTGTCCTCAGGATCGATTCACGGCCAATGAAATAGAATAAATAATTTATCTGTCATCAGCAGGATTTGAACCTAGAACCTTGAGCATTGGAAGTCAGCACCCTACCACTGAGCTACCCCACTCTCAGAACAATAAATAAATAAAAATTAACTAATATTTCAATGGAAGTAGAATCGAACCTGATTTTAAAGATTTCTGTTCATTTTCAGATGGCTCCTGTTTTATCTCAGGTAATGGTTCTTCCTTGATGGGCACAGCATCACTTACACTTCCATCGTTAGAATTGTCCTTAATTGCAGAAAACCTGAACATAATAAAATAATACCATAAATAGATTCAATTACATTGGTCAAAATTTTACAGAAATATTTCTAATAATTTGGATGTGAATGAAAATATTTTTGAATATTTTAGAAATAAGAAATGGACAACACTTTACTACCACTTACATTTAAAGTAAAATTATACCATTCATCATTTGCAATCAGGGTAGAATTAAATTTCCATTTATGTGCACAAACTGTTCTTTTATTGAAAATTTTTTAAAATGGTTAAAATCTAACTTATAAGGAAGACTATATATTTTGGATGATTTAATACTTTAATATGGATCGAATATTTACAAAGTAGTGAGAAGAACCTCGGCCCCAAATGGTGTGCTTTCTTGATTTCTTCATAAGCTCTAAGCAAATCCAAAAATTACATATTTGCATGTATCTACAAGCTGTATAGTTAATAGGATATCTCGAGTTTGCCAATTAACAAAAGATTTGCCTTGAGCAAAAAAACTTTATATTGTTAAGCCTGTTTCGATTCATTTTCTTGGCAAATATCCTAATAAAGAGATTATACTAATTATCAGGTGTTGGGAATCCAGAGGCACAAACTGTTTTTAAAACTAAAAGATATATAATTAACTTTAATATTTCAAATGGGAAAAGATTTTTCTTTTTTGTGTTTAACTACCCTTCTAGATTATAAGCAAAGTTGTTTGCCTACATATCTATCCATCATACACAAGGATAGAAAGATATGTGTCATGTTATTGAATGAAATTGGTAAAATATTTAACAGTAACAAACAAACAGATAGATAAACATTTTTTTCAAATAGAATTCTTGTTTATAACATATTTTGAAACAATCTGGATTTATATGAGAAGGAGTTAGTCGAGGGTGCGGTCAAATAAATAAAAAAATTAAAATATATAAATTATTTTAATTTTTGCCGACGTTTTGACCCACTTTGCAGGTCGTCTTCAGGGCGTAGGATGTGGCACTGCGGGAGGCAGTTGAAACACTGGCGTCTGGATCTGGATCTATATTTTGGATTTATATTAAAAATCTGGATTTATATTTTGTTTGGCAACTGTTTATTTTTAGCATATCATATAAATTAAAAAGTGGTTACATCACCAATTATAAATACATTATTTCACACTGAATACAATAAAACAACTCTCAACTAGGTAGTTAACATTTTGAGTAAAAAAAAATAACAACTCTTGAAAATAATAGTTAATTTTATTTAAATTTTTTCACATAGCAGTAATTTCTAAAATTATTTTCAAATAAATAAGAGTTCTTTTAGAGACAAACAAAAATTATTTTTAAATCACAAAATTAAAAATCTGGATATGATTTGATTTTTTTCTAAAGATAAATAATCTCAAATTCAATTCCTGGATTAAAATAGAACATGAATTATTTCACTTTTGAAAAATATCATAATAAAATTATGAAGATATGAAAATTAAGCTTATAGTTTTAACAATACATATAAAAAGACAAAGGAAGGGACTTATGAATTGTGAAATGTAATAAAGGTTATAAACCCAGATGTTTTTGATAATGGGCAATTGGCCCGAAATGTTAAACATTTCATAATGAAAAATACATGGAGGTTACTAATTTTGATTTACTAGAACTATTATCATGTGAAAAATAAACTACTATAGTTTAACTACCAATTAAGTCATGGTAAAAACATGTAGATAAAAATATATCTATTCTTAATAAAGAATATATTATAAAATAATGGTTGTATATTATTTTTAACACTTACCAATCCTTAGAGTCTGGTTCCTGTTTGATTTCCAGAGGAGGGGTGAAACCTTCGCTCTGTGTATTTCCCTGGATTTTCTCTGCAGGAACTAGGAAACTCGAGTCAATCCATCTATTTCATATTTATCAAACCATTCTAAACACTGTTACCCGGTCTTTAGCCAATTTTTCTAATATTTTTTTTTTTCATTTGACTTTTTTTTTTATTAGTAGCAAGATAATCGAAAAACTTAATCATCTTCAAACTTCATAGCAAAAATTATTAAAAATAAAACTTTCAAGAATACCATTTGTATTATTAAGCCAATGGATTAAATTACTACAAGATTCTTTAAATGTAAAACAACTTAGTCAAAGCAAAAAAAAAAAAAAAAAAAAAAAAAAAAGAAGGAAACTTATATGAATACTAACAATTCTATAAGTGCATGCTAAATTAATAATTACTATTAAACAGAAAGTTATAAGCATCAAGTATTCATAATAATATAAATGAATCAATTTGGAAGGATAAGATAAAATATTGACTAAAAGTAAACGAAGATGAGACCAAGTAATTAGTCAAACGATTCACTCGATTTACAAAATCAGGTGAAAGATAAATCCTGATAGATTAAAATACCTATTCAAGCTAAAATTGAATACACCCCAAGGCAAATATACGTGAATGCCTTAAGCCTAGGGATAAATGTTAATTTAGAGGATATAAATCAGTACAAAACATAAGTGAAGAATTCATTTACTTACAACAAATTACAAGAAGACAAGAAAAACAAATGTTAAAGCTTTTTTAATTATTCTGAATAATTGATGCTCTGTTAAATTTAATTTTCTAAATACTACCAGCACAATCGCTCAGTTAAAATGTATATCAGAATTTTTTTTTTTTTTTAATATCTTTATGAATATTTATACTATTTTAAACAATAAAATAAATACATATGAAAAAACTGCAGAAAATGGACTTATCGTTTATATTTAATTTTAAAATATCCACAAAATATTGTATAATATATATTACCTTGGTTAGAATTGAAGATAGGCGGCGGTAGACAGAGATTTGGTATGGGATGAGGCAACTGATTGACAGGGAATTGCGGAGGAGGAGGATAACGAGGCGGTAGAGGAGGCGGTGGTATATTTAAAGGTGGAGGAGGTATATTCTGGACATTCATCGGCCTAGGAGGAGGTATAGATTGAGGTGCGATTGGTGGTGGAATATTTTGTGGCATTATGGGGGGTGGCATTACTGGAGGTGGGGGTGGTGGAACGCTATAAGGAATATGATAGTTTTGTGGAGGTTGCTGTTGAAATTGTGGTAACAGTGGGGGTGACTGCAGCACCACTTGAGGTTGTGATATCATTTGTGGATGAGGCGTTAGTGTTGCTTGCTGTTGTATAGATGGGGTGTGAGTCAGAGGATCCGGAGGTGGGAGAGGAGGAGGAAACTGGGATATATGCTTTTTATCTTCTTGTAAATCATTTGAATTTGTCTCATCTTCAAGTTTTACATCGATCTCTTCAACTAAAATAGAAATAAAATATGATATTTCTAACGAAATTAACACATTAAAATTCATAAATAAATGGGAATAATGCTATATATTTAATCTGTATTATTACTTGTTATATTCATGAAATTGTGATTATATTACTTTTTTTTCCAAGAATTACCTACTGAGACTCCAAATACAAAAGTACTCAGATATTTAAATTTATACAAATTTTGGTATTAAATTTCTGATCTATATCCCAGACCTAAGCCTACCATTTAAGTATATAACCAATTGAAGCAAGGTCTAACAAGCTAGTTGTAGGACCTGGAATTCTGAAGGGTCATTATTCTAATGACAGAACTGGAACTGTTCCAAACTTAAATCGTTCCAGCACATTCCTAAATGGGATATATATAATATAAAGCAACCTAAAATAAATATTGTTGTAATAAATCAATCAAACAGAAATATATCTTTTTACTGATTCATTATGGATTATATATATTTTTAACTCTAAATAAATTAATGTATGTGTTAACACAACTTATAACTCACTATTCATACAACTTAAGAGAAAATAACACGTCTGCATCAATTTATATATAATTTCCATACATTTTTCTCAAATTAATGTACTTATGTAAAAGTGACAATAAATTAATTTCATAAATACCTTCAGTGCTACTGTTTGTAACAGAGTCTCCTTCATGTATTTCACATTGTTTAATATTCTCAGAAGTGTTTGATTTATCTTTATCATTATTTCCACCATCTTGAGCTGTACAATTCAAATCAAAGTAGAGTACTATAAGCAATATAATGTATATAAAAAAATAATAAAGTTGTCACACACAAAATTACCTTGTAAACCAGACAATTTCTTAAACTGATCAAGAAAAGTACCATCATTTGAAAAAACTAAAGGTTTCTTCTTTTCATTATTAGCTTCATTAGATTGTATTTTCTTTAAAGCATCTTCTGCTTCTTTTCTTTTTAGCTGTTCTTGCTTTTCTTGAATCTGTCGTTTCTTCTCTTCAATCAACTGCTGCTGCTTTGTCATCTGTTTATATCTATCAACTCTATTGGTTTTAGAAAATAAGTTCTCACTCCTACCATTTTTGTAAGACATACTTATATTATAACAGTTAATTGTAAACTTATAACCTTACAACCTCATAACCAGGATATATTTAGATATCTGTTTCTCTTGGATAATCAAATTACTTAGAAGTTACCATAGAACTAATAAACTTTTAGGCAATTTTCTAAATTTTCAATAGTCTCTTTGGATTTGACAGTAAAGTCGGTACGCATTCCTTAAATACACCTTTCTACGATTGAAACAATCGTTAGAGGTATTTACGATGACTGGCAGAATAATTTTCAAAAGAAACAGCATGGTTATGGTGAGAAAACAATCAAAATTTAATTTTTCAAATAAACAGACATTGTTTTTCTGTATATTTTTTATTCTTCCGTCCCCGATTTGGTCATTAGATTTTCATCAGATTAATTTGTAACGTCCCTCCTCTCTTGCTAGTCAACTGGGACACCCTTTTATTAAAATCCATCTAATTCTATAACATCAAGCCTCAATTCAAGAAAAAAGAAATTGATAAAAACAACATCGGATGAAAGTCATATTTTTTAGCAAAACATTTAATTTAACTCTCATTCTCATTCCTTATAATGTTTTTCCGAGAAGTATGTCGTCTGGATCCTAGTTATCAACTTTTAATCTCCGAAATATAACTGAAGATTTACCCATATTTAAACTTTTGCAGAAATAGTTTAATTAATTTAATTGAATAAATCTCTGTTTATGTGTTCGTCGAATATTTCATCTCAACAAATTTATAATTTTACTTGAATACACCAAAATTCACGCAGTGCTGCATTCATTAATGAACACATTTCAGCTGTAATCTTTCCACTGACTATCGTCGAATTAAATTCATCCTGGAGGAAGTAAAATTCCATATATCTCTTCAGGAATCAGATAAACTTATCTACACTATGTACAGTATCGGTCTTACTGGATGGAGGAGTGGGAGGGCGTTTGTCACTTGTTGAGAATCGTAAAAAATTACAATGTGTATATTGATTATATATATTTATATTGCAGTATATTTTTCTTAAAGTGAAGAGAAGAAATATAGCATGTACATCTCTTTTTGAAATAAATTATGAGGAGTGAAGTTGTTTTTCCAGTCTCAAGAATTCCCAGAGTACATATACATACACACATAATACAGAGATGTGAAGAAAGCTTCCATAAGTAATTGTTGGAGGGCATCCAGCTAAGAGATCTCCGAATCTATCTTGAGCTTCACCAACAGATCTCAAGGCTTAAATCACTGTCAACCCCATCCATGTTAGAAATTTTAGCTGCCATCTAGAGCTTAAGACGTTTCCTTGTGTAAGTAACATCAGTAACAACTGAATAACAACACGAAAAATCGAAAGGAAAAGTTAGAAAAATAGAGTCAGAGGACTATACATTAAAACTGGGAGAGATGAGTTTTAAGCAATCCACCTAATAAATATACTGTGCTACATCCAGAAATGCACCTGAGCACACCGGCCTTAGACATTCGGCGCCCCCCTGAACAATGTGACCTCATCTTCCCTTAAAAATTAAATTTATTTCTCAAGATGTTTTATATTATGGAATACTTCAGTATAGGACTTCTGTGGGAGTCTTGGGCCAATGAAAGAAAAAAAATTATGGAATACTTGATTTTTATTTCATTCAATATATCTCTAATAAGGTTTCTTTATCAATAGGCTAAAATGAATTAGTTTAATACATATTGTATCTTCTTTTTTTTTTTTTTTCAATTTCTAAGGAGTGGAGACCACTGAAAATCACCCATCCAGATCAGAGCCCCTTCCTAAGGCCAGCACTACCTGACCATACTATTTGCTTTCTTGTGCTAAAAAATATTTGACCAAAACTGAGTCCTTGTCCTGAGAATATTATAAACAAAATGTGAACTGATGAGAAGAAAGGTTTTGAGTTTCTATGTGTAGGTTTTATTTTAAAAGCAGTAGCGGCCCATGGCAAATTTTAGTATGGAGCGAGATCCAATTTTGATGCCACCTTGTTGCAATAATAGTTTTAAATAGCTCACATAAACATTCCATTTATTGATGTTATTTTACCACAGAGTCAGCGTTCCTTAGGTCTTGGCACCTGGAGCAGCCACTCCATCAGCCCTGTTCAGAAGTATCTTTAGAAGGATTGGGAGAAGGCTGATTGGTCAATGGGATTTCATGAAGTTTAAATCACTAAATATACTTTTATATTTTTTCAAACAACATTCCACTCTCATATCCAAATTTCATCTATATTTAACTGTATAATTCAATATTGTTTCCAAAGGGATTAAGTTATTTACCTAGTTCCTAGCACTAACCTGTAAATCCAGAAAGGAAGGCAGAGGTGGGCATCCCGGAATGGTGACAGATGCAGTGATCAAACATTCATGGTATACAGCTACTTATCTTTTCATTACTGATTTTCAAAGTTTTTTAGTTAAATTACTGAAGTTCTACTTTATTTTTTATAAATGGATTATATGGAGTTTTTACTTTTATTATTTATTATGAAATGTTCAAAAAGCTCATCAGTTATCGATTTATCTTCAGTACAAAAAATTATTATTGTAATTACAATAATTTTATAGATTCATAATTTTCTTGTTATTCATAAAAATCTTTTCTAATTTATGATATTATACTTACCATATTGCAATAGATTTCTTTCTTCTAAAGTATCTTGCATTCAATAAATGTTAATTATGATTTTTCATTTATTTTTAAAAAATATTTATGCCATTAAAGAACTCTAAATCATAAATAATTATTTATTAGTTCATTCAAAATTCAACATTATAATACATATAATAGATGTTTATATAATATCAATTTATTGTAATAAGTCACTAAATATACTTTAAATGTAGCTTAACTTTTAAGTATATATTAGCGAATTTCAATCATATTTACTAATGCCAAAATTCATGTAAATGCATCAAAATACCACAAACCCTATTGTCAAAATAGTTACACTGAGTGCAATAAATATATTTTAAAAATATATATCAACATTAATTAAATGGGGAAGTATACCTCAAACCCCAAACGATGCCACTTGATGTTTTGATATATGTAATGAATTATAGAAGGGTTTGTATTTCTTCCAAAAATTTTAACAGTTGAATATAATCCAAATATTTACTTTAGTTGCTCCAAAATGAATATTTTTGCAACTCTATATGGCCCCTTTACTTCCCAGCTTCTGATTTGTAAATTACCACAGCTAGTTCGAATACAGCTTTTATAAGAAATAATTAAGAATTAAGGGCATTATTATTGTTAAAGATAGCACAAATTCAACATTTTAAAATTATTTTCCATTACTTTTGTAATACTCATGAAAATAATAAAAAAACACCATAATAATATAGCATTGAAAGAAATGACATTGTTGTAACCTATCAATGTCTTTGTCAGACAAGGGAAAAACATTAAAATTATCATTTTATTAAATTTTTTCAACACTGAAATTTCAATTCTTTGTCAGTATGTTAAAAAAAACAAAAAAAACCTGTACCTCTACAATCCATGAAGAGTCTTGGGTTCAGTACTATTTACGGAAAGTACTGTTTCTTAGTCAATGGTTGTATAAGGGGGTGATTTGACTGAGATAACTTTCAACCGCAAGTTTTTTCCCCTTAAATAATTATTTTAATTAAGGGTACCCACTTATAGAGGCTGGGTCTGCGCCACGAGGGTATCCTGAGCCCAGGGTCGCCCTACGGCTGATGAAACAGAATAATCAATAAGTTTATGTAAAAGAAAATATAATATTTTAAATCTTAACATTACAATGTTTTATATTATTCGAAGGTATCAAATTTATAAAAAACATAATATAATGAAAATTACTAATTCCTATTCATATGAGGTTAACTCTCGAAGGAACATTTTAGTGAAATAACTTCCGTACTTAAACATACATTTAATAGAAACAAATTGCAAAACAGCTGTAAGGTAATTAATTCTTTTTAGTCCATCACAATATCTTTTAAAATCATTTACAGAAATAAGCACCCATAGTAATAGTAATGAGTATATGAGTTAATTGCCATATTATTAATAAGAATTAAACATGTTTGGATGTTAAACGTGACAACCCAAAAATATTGTTACTAGTGATAAACTTTTGAAAATATCTCCTGATTGGATAATTACGAGATTTATGAATGAAAATAAGAATTTTAAATATTATTGTTATAAATATTATACAACCACTAGTAAAAATTAAACTATCTACGTATTATTCAAAAACTATGGCTCTGAAAAATATCTACAATAAAATAGAGGCTAATTTAATGTTGGTGAAAAATTGTTTTGGAAAAATCAAAATATTTATTAGTATCTATATACATACATATTTCTAATATGTAAAAAAAAAAATCTCATTTTGACACCTTGAAGTAAACATTCAATTAATTTCAACACTTATACTTTAAAATAGTGTGATGACATAGAGGGCTACAATATAAGGTACATTACTAACCATGATTTATCTTCCTGGATAAATTGAGTGAAAGGGCTAGGCAACATAAGTTTTTTTCTTAACTATATTACTCCAATATCATGCAACACACTAAAATCATAGTTATGATAAAGTACGTATAAAGTTCATTTTCAATTTACATAAATTACACAAGTCTTTGAATAATTTTCTTATGCATATAATACACGTGACGACAAACTTCATGTGCGTTTCCAAGCAGGAGATCTTGACCTCGATCGACTCTCTTTAGCAGCATTTTTCTTAGATGGCAGATCATTCTTATCCTCTTTTGGTTCATCATCATTAGTTCCCCAATCACTCAAATCATATTTGGACAAGTCGTCATCATCATCATCATCTTCCTCTTCTTCATCCTCATTTGCTAATTTATGGGCAACTTCCTCGACATTGTTGCTGTCATCCTCATCTGAAGATTTTTTATCTTTTTTCTTCTTTTTCCTCCTTCCAAATTCATCATACTCACTATCAGAATCTTCCCTCTGTATATACTCCACTACACCTCTATCATTATAACCACCTCCATAACCTGTCCTCTCTTCAACTTCACCAAACTTTGGTGCATTACACACATTACACTGCTGTCTTCTAGCCCAATTAACATTTCCACATTTGAGGCACTGCCAATCATCAGCACTAAACAAACCACGACTTTTATCAGCAAAAATCTTACCTACTTCTTGGCCTAGTTTCTTTTTCATTGAACCTTCAGCCCTATCTTTTCCACATCTATTACATTTGTTTCTCCTCGAAAAATTGATGTTTCCACAGTTCAAATCACTGCAAATCCAATCTCCTTCGGCTATTTTAAACTTATTCGTTGATGGGTCCATCCTTAAAAGTAATAAAAATTAAACGAACTTAAGTAAATTCTAGGATATCAGTAAATTTGAGAAAAACTATAATCTGTATTCGTGATTTCATTCATTCAAAAACAACTATTTTATAACGTATATGTTTTGGATCGGGAAAAGCACAAACTATCGGTCATAGAATGCTTTTGCGCAGAGCCGAGCAACACCGCGGAGCTAAATCGATTATTATTGATAGTGCTCTAAAATTGTTCAATAAAAGTCATTTTCATGTATTATTTTTATCTGTACAAAATTTCAAAGTCTAATTAAGTAATATATTTTAGGGAAAAGTCATATGGAAGAAAATGTCAAAACTTGAACAACCAAAAGAGCTATAAATAAACATCTCAGGAATAGCGAAATATAAGAATATTTATGATCCTAACAATAATATTTTAAAGCATTTTGTAAAGTTATTTTTCTAAATTCTGACAATATTTACGAGTGTAGTGGACATTTCAAAAGTTTAAATTCAGATTTAACGTACGATTTGAGAAATATTTGGTGATTTCAAATAATATTCACAAGTTATATTCATTTTAATAATAAACTACATATTCACTCACATAATGATACATTCAGAATCAAAAATATAATAATCAACTAAACTAGAGTAAGGTGACCCATTCCTTCTGAACTTTTCAGAACAATTTTAATTTTTAGGATGTGGTCCGGAGTTTCTAGAAAATCATTCAGGATGGACTTTTTTTTAATTGTAAATGTTATTAACTGATAAATCCTATGACTTATGTCTTCTTTATATTAAAAAAAGCACCATCCCTTATACAGGTTCATGGACAGGGTTTTTGTATGGTTGGGGGGGGGAGAGATATGAGGAGGAACCAGCCTTTTCCATTCTACCAACATTTTGTTAAGGGGGCCAGAGTATTTTATATTTTTACAATCATTTACCAGAAAATGAATCATAAAATTTGGTGCGATGCACACATCACGCAACTTTCTCTTGTTACCCGACTTTGTGTAGAAATAGATATTTTTACTCGACTTTGGAGAGTAACAAGGAAGGTAATGTGTTTAGATTGACTCTAAGTATGTAACTTTTTTTCTAAAAAGTAGTTTTTGGATACTATCAAATTTTGTATAAAATGTCTTTAGTCTATGCTTTTGAAGTAAGTAATGATGTTTTGTGCGAACGGCTCAACCGATTTTGACGTCTCCAATTACTCAATCTCGTAAATGTTTTGGAACATTTTGAGCTCAAAATAATGACAATATATATATATATATATATAAAGTATTCTCATGGTGGTGGAGAAATGGTTGATTGTATAAAATATTTATTTTCTTTGGACTTTTCATTAAGGCTAAGCAAAGACCAGATATTTTATTTGTTGTCTGTTTTTTATTTATATCAGATAAAGGCCTGTAACTTAGGCTGAAACGTGTTTTGTTTTTTTACCTCTGGAGACTGCAATCCCCAACCAACTACTCTTTTAAGTATTCTCAATTTTATGTTGGTTTCATATCATAAAATGTGTAAGCTCAGTTTCGATTAGATGAATATACTAGAATAGCTAAAAACGTAAATGTAAAAAAAGTAATTTATTTTTTAAAAATCTATAACGGAAACAATTCTATCCATCCAAATGTAATGTACTTGCATATCTATTCAAAGACGTTGGTACATTTTTAGAGAGAAATTGACGATTATAAATATAGGTGCTCAAACGATGCAATTTCGTAGATATAGATGCGACTTTTAAGAAAACTTCACAGGACTCCAGTGGCGTATTTACAAAAGATCTGGAGGCCACTGCCGCTTCAAGCTTGAGGAGGATTATAGGGATGACTGGAACTGGATAAGGATTGTACTAAGGGATTAGGATTATGTTCTGATGCAAATTTTCAGGAATGCAATGATGTCTTTTGTATCACTTGAGGATTTTCCTTACCCCAAATACGGCGATTTTGTTTAATAACATACCCAGGTTTTAGGAAGTGAGGTCCATCAGAAAAAATCAGCATCAACTTCCTCATGCTGTAATATTGAATCAGAGTAAATTCTTCACTGACTATGGTGATGGGCTTCAATTCTTGAGCTTAACAACTTAATTTCAGTTTTGTTTTTTTCATTTTAATGTTCATATACATACACCCAGACCATTTAGGGAAACTTGGTTATTCGACATTTTTCATGATCGAAATACTTTCCATTGCTGGGTATATATAAGTAAGTGAAAGTAAAACAGTTTATTGCATAGTACAAGAAATAATTATATTGCTGGTAATAAACTAAATAAGGGGCTGATCCTATGTCAGTATTGATGAATTCCTTTGTTACTGCAATGGATGACAACATCTGATTCATTATAAAATAAGATATCAACTCCTCCTAAATTATTCACCTTCCAAAGGAGGAAGAGAAGAATAAAACAAACTGGAGAAATGGCTACTGGAAATGCTTGAATTCTAATGAAGGTTTGTTTTTATTACGAACTAGCTTTCATAAGGAGATTTTTACAAATTGAGGCAGATTAATTTAGTATTCCATTTGAACAAGAAAAAAAAAATCATCACATTCTATGTTAGACCTATGGGACAGGCAGAAATACATTTTTCAGTGTAAGTGGCCTAGGTATAAATTGCATATATTCAGCACTGGAAATAATCTACCTACTAGTTTTAGTTAAAACATTTCTTAAACTTTATCTTAAAATTTTAAATAATATATTTATTAAATTTTAGATAAAGTAGACTAATCTCAGTACCATGAAAAATTAATAACAAAAATGCAATATTTAAGTAATATTTCATTATAACGTTTAATTATATTTTTATATCCTTCCTTACTTTATTGAGAAGTCTTATAGTCCAATTATAAATGATGTGTGATTGAATGATGTTAGAAAACATATAAATCAGTGCAAAAGCTTCAAGAAAAAAAAAATAATATGCTTAAATAAGTCATTAAATATCAATAATTAAACTTCAGATTTAAAGAAAAGATAAACCAATATATTTTGAAAATATAAATAGCTTTATTTTGCTGCAGCACAGATCATTAAGGAGATAGCTATAATAATGACATCATTTACTACACAGAATAATTCAATAACTTTAAATGTTATTAATTTTATACCAAACATTTGATATAACATTTATTTGTATTCTATGAATAATATTTTTTATTTAAAACTTAGAAAATTAAATATTCTAAAGCCTAGTGATAGCCAAAATTATTATTTGTCTCAAAAACCGCTTCCCTGCACTTGCTCATATGTTCTTTGATTAACACAGTTGAATCAACTATCACTCTTTTTTCTTGATATGATTGTTTTTGCTGGGTTTTTTTTCATCAGCATCTGAGAAAATTGCCTATTCCTATGTTAGAGCATAGCACAGTGCCATATTCACTGAGCCTAACCCATTCGCTCAAATAAGTAAAAATAAAGTTAAATCATTCCAATACAAAATGCATTCCCAGATAGTTTGTATTAAATGTATACTAAGGCCTCCTACCCACACACATACAGTTCTGTGTTCTATAGAATCGTTCAGATTAGACAAATTGTAACAGATAAATTTGAGGAGTGGACGAATTTTTGAACTGATGAACTTCCTTCACGTAAATAGTTCAAACGATAGAATGCCAGGTAAAACAGTATCTGGAAGAGCCTTTAATGCCACAGTCAGACCAACAGTCATATCCAGCAAGAGAACAATGTTCTGTCGGTTTTTATTATAGTAATAAGTAGAACTTGTAAGATGTCTTGATGAGTTGAGTTAATTGATATGTGTAACTTTATTTCCTTGTGTGAACAATTCTTTCTATCACATGCAACAACCTCTCCTCTTTTCTTAAGTAAGAATCTTAAATCTTAAACAAAATTGTATAAGTTACACTAAGATTATACATTATGACTGGGTAGGACAAAGTGTACAATTGTATCATGAAACTAAATGATTGTTTAATAATTGTGGGTTAATGGTTGACTGTCGTGAATAATGAAGAGAAGAATGGTTCGTGTGATCAGTCAGAAATAAGAAAGCAAAAAAAAATAAATGATAATATTTATTTTGACATTTGCCGACATTTCGACCTGAAGTTCAGGCAAATGTCAAAATAAATTATTGTTTGTTTAATATGTAGACTCAACTCCTTAAGATAGAATTGATCAGTTTAGGCTAACAGTAGATCAATGGGACTATAGAAGGCATAAAATAATAAAAAAAAAATCTAAATCATTTAAATAACCGATTAGTTATTGATAAAGATGAAAGAAAAAAACTGTGCACTGATAACTATTATATTTATTTTAATCTTTAAAAATATTACTGACCAATGTGACATTGTCAGACCACAGAAATAATTAAAATGCAATGACCAACAACAATTGTTACATGTATCACTCAAAATTGGATAATTCATTTATAATAAAATCTACAAATCATTTCTACATACTAATAAATATAAAAGGACTAAAGAACAAAATAACTAAATATTTATCAGACTTTTGAGTGTCTTCATAGGCACACTATAATTAGAAGTAATGATCTTTTAAGGTATGATTTGATTTTAAAAATAAGCTTAGTTCAGCCTATAAAATTTTATAACATCTATTTAAATAAAAATAAATACATATATGATAATAAATAAAAGAAATCCATATTCTCTGTCCTTTTCCTTCTTTTTTTTTTCATATAATCAGTAGCTGTTAACAATAACATAAATTACATTAAAAATATTAACTTTTCCATAAATGCTTTATTATTCATTGCTAAAAATCATTAAAAAAAAAAAATGCATCACAATATACAAGCTTTTAAAAATATAATTTGCCCCATCTTCCATTAGTATCTAAATTCTAATGCATTAACTTAGAATGCTTATGGCGCTAATCTATAAATTTTCCATTCTCCGTTGTTTTCTCTAGAGTAAACTATCCGGTCATGTAATCTATCTGTTTGACCTTGCCAAAATTCAACAAGTTCATGATATAAAACATATCCTCCCCATGACACAGGTTTTGAAACATCGCCTCTGAAATTAAATAAATAATATTAAGTTTATAAATATATATACAATCCCTTCCCTGGTTATATCAATAAAAATTTCCATTATTTAAGGCTACTGGACATCCTGTATTATAAATGTGATTTTATTACTTATTCAATGAAAATCAGAAAAAAAAATGTTTCTTTTTAATTAAATCATATTCTTTTAGTATTATCCAAGTTTAAACTTAAATTCTGAAAATTGTTGTTGAAGGTTCTTAGGCACTTAGAATTTCCAGGTTTCAATTGTTTTTATAAATTTTTAAATATATAAATAAAAAAATGTACAGCTGTATGTATACCATGACTTAATTTCCACCCTTAATATCTCGCATAGATAAAATTTTACAAGTTTTAATTGTTATAATTAACAAAATAAATATTAATCCAATAATAACATAAAGGGTTATTATTATTTATACTTACTTGGCAAGTTGTTCTTTGTATGCTTTGATTAAAACATCTCGACTACCGACAGTACTACTTTGAGGACTAATGATAGCACTAATTCTACTTTCTAAAGGCCTACGTTTAAAGTACTCATGAGACTCTTCTTGTGAAACTTTCTTCACTTTTCCTTCAATACGTACCTGTAAATTAATTATTGTAACCAACAATATGAGAAAATTAAACATTATAAAATAAGATCACAATATAAAAGTAAGAACCAGATGATAATACTTGTCTATTAAATGGAGCCCAATAAAAAGTCAAAGCTGCCTGTGGATTTTCTTCCTAAAATAGATAAATATGAAATTAATTAAAGAATATGAATGAATATTTCGAAAAATTTAAATAAAGAGAGAAGGATTGGTCAGCATGTTAAAAGTCTAGACTCTACATTCCCAGTCCTTGAGTTCGAATCTAGCTGTGCCAAATAATTTATTTAATCTGTTAAATCAGAATGAGTCAATGATAGACTAAAAAAAAAAACTTTTTTTTTTTTCAACTACATACAATAACATTGGGTCGAAATATCAGGAAGTCTCATAAAATATATCTAGACTGCAAATCATGACTATTTATCATTCTCATCAAAATTGATCAATGAAAAGTACCTACTCTGTTTATATTAATTATTGCAGTAATTAAAATTTATCTCTATTCAACTCAAGATCTAGTTTACTGGCTTCACTATCTAACTAAAGTACTGCATATTTTTATTTCCGTAATATTGAGAGAAATTTCAGGCCCTAATATTCTCCAATATGCCTCAAAAACATTTTTTATTTTAATGGTATAAAATAAGAAAGCATACATTTATACAACACCGAATTACATGAATTGTGCCCAGCAAATATAAGTAAGTAGGCAGCAATAGGTAGTATTGGCATCAAACCTACAGGTTTGACAAGCCATTATTATTATTACAATAAAAAAAAACTGGTGCGGTGAGTACATCACACAATTTTCACCTACTCTTCTCCACTTAGCAAAAATAAGTATTTTCAGACAAAGTGAAAATTATAGACGCTATATTTATTTATATTTCATTGTGGGTATTTGTATTTGTATAAGTGCCTTTATATATATATACAAATTTTAATATTTATATCGCTATAATCTATACAATTAAATATAAAATAATACTAACCATAGCATTTATGAAAACCACATATGTATATTTATATAATATTGTCGGAGTCCATATTATATTAATCTCATGTTACGTATGGAAACGTGTTCTACTTATATTCCTCAATTACAACTATTCTCCAATTCGATCACTTATTTCTCTTTTAGTTAATTATCAAATTCTTTCATATTTTATATTTAACTATTTTTTATATTAGAGATTAATGTGAAATGGTCAATTGTTTTAAAAAAAAAAAATTAAAGGTAATTTAGGGGAAGCTAATATTGCAAATTAGCCATTTAAGCCTTGTAAGAGATCACCAATCAGAGTAAAAACTACTTTTTATTAAAAACTTCTTAATTTTACACTGATGTAATGAATTTAATCGAGAAAATTTGTTTAGTCCATCATATAAAGTGCTATTTCAGGTAAGCCGATTTTGACTAAAAGTTGCTGTAACACCCCTTATAAAAACCTTAATATGCAATTTCACTTTCCTACGACTTTTCGTTTTTGAGCTAGACTGTTAACACACATAGACCATTTTGTGGGACTTGGTTATATGGACTCAGGGGACCTCAAAACATGTATTTCCGTTGAAAACTGAGATTCGAAAATTTTCAAGATCGCAATACTTTCTTATATATTTCATATATAGGTAAGTAAAAGTAAAAGTAAACCAAACTAAGATCATTAGCATAAACAATTAATTTAAGGAAAGAGTACTAACCAGATCTTTTCCTTTATGACTTTCATAGTTAGTAAAAAATTTAAAACCTTCTGGCCCATAACCCTTCAGTAATACAATCCTTGCTGATGGTGCTCCATTCCTTAAAATTATGAAAAAAAAGTGACACTAAGATTAAAAAATATATATATATATAACAAATTTAATACAACCAACAATTTATTAATATTTATTTATTTAATAATGCTTATAATATTATGAAAAAGAATACATCTTATATCCACATTACCAAAATACAACAAATAAGAATATTTTATTCACTATACAAGTAATAACTGCTTAGTACCTATAATTTAATAAATAAATCATGAACTTTATACTGACAGATTATAATATAGGAAATGAGTACCAGATTTACTGGTAAAGGTAGGTGGACACGTCCGCCAAGTGGGCCTATTATTCCTTTTTTCCAATACTACTAGACCTAAATATTCTTGTCAATTACTATTCTAACCGTTTCTGAAGAATAATCTTAAAATCTTCTAAAATATAAAAGTTATATTTTTAAAGAAAAATTACATTAATATTACCTTAGGGATTAGTTGATTATAGTGAATTCTTAAAACTAGTGTTCGCCCAGTGGTCGAAATTCGACCATAATCATTGTTGGAAATTTGAGGAAAACATATGAACATACATATTTCCAACTTTTTTTTCCTACTCTCATACATTTCTACATTCCATTTATATGTACTTAAATATATAGAATGTTATGTAACATTCAATTTTTGCAAAAATTACATATTCGCAAATAAAATTGTGATTTCATAGTGCCGTTTTTTTCAGCCTCTTATCGGGAAAGTATTTTTAAAAAATACATAAATTAAAAGAAGAATAAGGCCAAGTTTTATTAAAATCATTAGAGCCATTTTGGCGCTACAATCTGTGGCGAAATAGGTTTTTCGACGGACGAAAAGTTAGATAGTACTGAACTATATATAAAAAGACTTCTAAATTTGATTGCAATATTATATCAAAATTTCAAAGCAATCCGAAGAATTTTCGAAGATTAGAGGTTATGAACAAACTAACATTTACATTTTTATTTATATGCACTTCTTTAAATTTTCTTATATTGGTAACACAAAAGGTCTTCAATAGCTACTAAACAAAAAAAGAAAATCGGTTGAGAAATGGAGAAGAAATACTTAACTGTTTTTCCTTTGGCTATTTATAAAACGATAACTGATTTTATCTCATAATTATTTTATTCACAGCACTAAGCATACCAAAACCATTAGAATAAATAAATAAATCATAGAATCTATAAAAGAATATTCTTGTAAATTACAGAAGATATAAAGAAAAACACTTCTTCGAAATAATTAGAAACAATTTAGTTATTTCTTTATCTTCTATTTTTTTTTTATTCTGATCATTAAAATAAGATAATTGTTGAGAACACTTACTTTTGACATACAACACACCAATAAGAGTTTATCGATAATCAGAACAGGCTTTACATTCTTAAATATGTTTTTCTGCTTCACTTACGTGACGTGACCCCTTCTATAGGTTATCAAGAGATGTTCAAAATAATTAAGACAATTGTTATATGTTAAACAAATATCCAATGGGAATATCCCTTAGGACAGAGGTTCAAAACATAGTGCCCACAGGTATCATATTGCATGTGCCGTGTATGTCTGTGGTCAAAATTGAGCCTGTTATCCTATAAATGTGTCCTGAAGAAGAAAAAGGTTCATGACTCATGTCTTAGGAAATTCAATTTTCTTGAGGAAGAAAGCATTGATAACTGAGAAGTGTGAACACCTTTAAAAATAAAAACAGCGCCAATCAAGAAATTGCCCGGCGATCTGATAAATTGAAGATTACAAGTTCGAGTGCCAGGTAGATCAAACTGTGGTACTTACGTCTCACCTTCTTCTCTTGCCCGAGAAAAACTCTCACTAACAAAAACCAGGGTATGAAGGAAAAAAAATTATGATCTAATTACAATAATTTTAATGACCACTAATGATCTCAACGATAATGAGATCTTTGAATTCCAAATAATTTTATTATCAGGCAATATTCCCTACAAACGGAATCTTATCTAAAGTGTGACTGATGATATCTTGGCTCACTCACCAGAGTGATAATTAAGTCCATCACAGGATATTCATCAGAAGTGATTTGAACGACAAGAAGTCTATGAAGATTTTTCAGGACAGTGTAGTCAGTCTATTTGATGCAAGTTAAATTTAAGTCTTATGAGATACTTCAATTCAATAATAGACTAAATTCTTTAACGTTAATTTTCTTTACTTGTTGGCAGTAGCTAAACACACAGCATTCGGTTCCAAAATGTCTTTGCAATTTTTAACTTCCTCAAACCAGGCAGAGAACTGACCAATAGGCTCCTTACTAACTAACTGATCTTCAGTGAAGGCTTCATCCTTTGCTTTGTAACTAATTCTCATATCTGTATCAAAGTAACAATGAATTATTATAACAATTCTCGATGTAAATAACAAAGTAGTTGTAATACTCAATTCTAACTTACCACCCAAGTCGATATTCGACATTTTGATAAACGATCGGCGGCTACCTTTGTGAGCGAGAGAAACAAAACAAGAAAATAGCATTCAAATTAAAAAACAACCTTAGTATCACCAAAGTAATATGTCTCCCAACAGTGCGAGGGCTTCTTATATGAATACAAGCTAAAATCGTTGGCATATTAAGCCATTAAAGTAAGGGTATTAAGAATTTCGCAGTACAAACATCTCCAATTAATCCTACCTTTATCAATTTTTAACCTCTTGTTGATAAAGACAAGAAAGGAAGGTTAGTCATTCTCCCAACTTTACAAAGAGCATTTTTATTGGTTCGCTTTAGAAGATCAAAACAAGGAGGAAAATAATTGAAGTTAAATAGAAAATATTGTTGGTTTAAAAAATGACCTCGAAAAAAACAAGAACTAATGCAATAATAATTTCTCATGCCTTGTACGTGGATGACTTAAAGCTTATGCAAGGAATAGTACGGGATTCATCATAAATGAAACAAAAACTGAGTACATGCCCACGAATTTGCTTGATGGAGATCAGCGAGACGTAGGTGTATATTAGCAGCATTTAGAGAATTCGTCTACGTCGGAACCCAGATTAACTTTAGAAAAAACATAAACATCGAAATCAATCTTCAAATAATGGCTACAAACAGATGCTACCACAAACTTAAAAAGCAGAGATGTATCTCAAAAGTGTCCACAAAAAGTGCGGCTACTCAAAACCCTCATTAGTTTTAAGATCTCGAACGGATCTAAATGTCGGACACTCCGTAGAACAGACAATGGCCTCCAAAGAATTCATAAAATGATTTAAGCTGTAGACAATGTACCAATGCCGAACTAAATGTATTTTACATTTTTAAACAATAAAAAATTACATTTAAAACATTGAAATGGGTGAACTGTAAGGAACATCCAGTAAAATTTAAATCTTTAGATTTAAATTTAAATCTAGAGAATAGGCTGCTTGCGATTCTCAAAGACTGTCTAGATAGGGGATACTTTCCAAGAAGCTGAAGAATTGCTGATGTCAGACTCTTCTATAAAGGAAGAGACAAGGACAAATAACTTGCCAAATCATACAGGCCTATTTGTCTCCTTCCTGTAATTAGCAAGGTATTGGAAAACCTTCGGCTAGTCTTATCAAGATCGAGTCATCCACGGCAATATGGATCCACTAAAGGCAAGAGAACAGCAGATGCCATATTGCGAGAACTTCATGACGTAGAAGAAAGAGCGGAGTGGTATGCTCTACTTCTCCTGTTCGACACATCCTCTGCATTTGACAGCGTGTGGTGGCCGAGTGTTCTCCAAACTCTCAACTCCTCTCGGGACACAGGGGCTTCCGAGCGAAGCTCGTTAAACACGGGAAGAATATTGATCCGCTATGCCCCAACTGCAACGTTCCGGAGACCGCCGAACATATGGTCGTCGAATATACTGCCTATGAGGCACTAAGAGCTAAGCTCCTGAGAGAGAAAGGGATTTACGCTGACAGAGAGCACGTTCTCCCAGCTAATGAGCAGAGAGAATTACCCACATTATAGTGGAAAGATACGGTAGGCCCTACACATTTTAATCTGGGAAGAAGAGAAGGAAGTTAAGACAAGCTGCAGCTGCTTCAAGACCGGCTTCAGGTGGCAGAACGGAGAAAAATAAAAGTGTGGGCTTGTGGATACAAACAAGTCTACACCTCATAAATAATAATGTTAACAAAATTTTAATTAAATGGACCTAAACTGCCAACAGTAGCATACGCATGCTGCTGCTACAACCCATATTGCCTATAAGGCAAGGCAGGGAGAGAGAAAAAAAAAAAGCTAGTGAAATTTGCCAAGGACCAGATCCTAAGGTAGATGCTGGACTGGTCGGCAGATCTAGGCTGCAGACGCTTTGTCCATCCTGGGTACCCGAAATTCTAAAGCAGGAGCTCAGCACAAACGAATGGTGGACAATGCAGCAGATGGCCTCGAAATTAGCAGCAGTTAAGAAAAAATAAAGGTGATTTGCTAAATTTAATCATTAAAGTATATAAATATAATTTTTGGAATTTACGAATGAATTGTTATTGATATACATACTTGAAAAAAATCTATAGAAATATATGAGTAAACAAATGAACGACGTTGACTCTAACATTTACTATTAGCCTTAAGGACCCTACACACTGAAAGTGATATGTTGGTATCCCTGCGGATTATCGTGTTCTGTATGAAGAAAGCTTAAAAAGCTTATGGTTTGTTTAAAAAAGAAGCTACTTCAAAAAGGCTTATTAGATGCTGTTCACCACATGAAGCTGTACATAATTTTAAGTGAGTCTGAAATATGGAAGTCAATTTGATATGTTTGTTTAGCTTTGAGCTGAAATATTTAATGAAACTCAGATCGGTAATTATTATTCCAAGAAGTCCGTGGCTATTTAAAATTAAACCAAGGTGATTCTCATTTTCTTGTTTTATTATAATTAGATAATGTTATGTTATAAGGGTAGTAAATAACATGTTGACATCTTTGTTGGATGATGATAGAAATAAATAATAACAGAGAAAGACAATTAGTAAAAAAAAAAATAAGAGAACTATTTGATTTGTTGTATACTACCTAATGAATAAATTATTTATCTGTTTAAAACAAAATTGTTTCCAAGTTCCAATCTTATGTTAGTAATACCTACTCAATAAAAAACAGAATGACTAGAAGAGAAGACAATTTTAAGAATAGAAAAAAATATGAAACTTTTAGATTAAGTTAATGATATGAATTTGTAGAAACTTCTTAGTTGACAGAATACATGAGTTGGATCAATTAGTAATAGTACTGCTTTTAAAATTGTTTAAACTACAACCTAATTTTGTTTGGAGGAAATTATTTTTTTCTGAAGGTACATTTTTCAACATAGTCTTTGAAGTAATTCAACTTCAGCATTCTCTATTCCGTTACTTGAATTCCAATTTTTATAAATTCAAAAAACGTATTTTTTGTTTTGTTTCTTTAATTAAAACTAATATATAATAAATGAGTGGCTTGATTTCAAAGACGGATACATGTCTTTTTCATAAAGTGGAGAAAAAGTCATTTTTGTTTTATAGGTTAAATTCAGACTGTTTCTGATGAATTTATTTAAGAATGTTCAAGTTGAATAATGAAAAAAACATGATTAGAATTTATTTAAATTGAAGCTATGTTTCAGAAAATTGGATTTTTCTGAACTTTTTAAAAATGATAGATGTCCATCTTTGATATGAAGCTTATTCTTAAACACAAGTGAAATAGTAATTTAAAAATCATACTTAAAAAAAAAAATCTGCCAAAATATAAGGCTAGGAGTAAGGAAAAAATATTACTTCATAAAAAATAAACCAAATGAAGATAAAAAATACATAAATGGAAACATAACACAATTTCAAGATAAATTTATTTGTTTTTGTTATGGACTTACCATTGATGTTTAAATTTAAAATTTAATTAATATCAAAATATTCATGCCGTTTTTACCAGATTAAGGCAACATCATTCATAAATACCTGTCAGGAGTCAGGTTTGTAGTATTTTGATAGTGTTATAATTTAGAGCGAAGAGATATTAAAAGCTAAACATATAATTAAAGTATTGATATCAAAGTTATGTCATTATTAGACATAGAACATAATATTAAAATACTGTTATTTTATACAAATTTATACCTTACAGCAGCTTATTATAACAATATAAAATTTAGAATTAGACTTTGGGGTTCATTAAATCCTCTATTCAATTTCATGTAACTTCAATGACTTCTCAAGAGGGGCAAAGCTCTTAATCTATAAGACAATAGTAAGGCCGGCTGTCACCTATGGAAGTGAATCATGGACCTTAACATAAAAAAAACATGAAAGTTTTGAATGTCTGGAAAAGAAAAGTTCTTCATTGAATATTGGGCGCAGTGGAATTGGAAAATGTCTAGCGAACCGGAATAAATAAGGAGCTGCAGAAGTCATTGTAGAGAGAAAGGCATTCTCTTATATATTCAGTTGGTTGTGACATTAAGATAGTATGGACTGAGATAAATGAATCCATAAAACACTGATTTGTGGGAAGCCAGCTGGTGGGGGCCTTGACTGTGAGTGAATTTTTATTGGAAGGCCAATATCTAACAATATTTTTTCTTCTTCAGCTTTAACTTACTACATGCTACTAATTATCATTAGAACACCCCTTTATTTAGATTGCAACAACAACTTATGCAAACTTTCAACTGATCCTATTCAGTTAAAATTGAAAAAAAAAAAAAAAATCCCATGGGGTAGTGACCAGACAGTTAAATCACCTTTATCAACTTTTGGATAGTGTGTTCATGAGATCTTGAGCCCACCCACATCAAAGTGTTACAAACACTTATATATAATATTTTCACAAATACATTACGTAATTAGTATTGGATAGTTAAAACACAGTAATTAGTATTTGAAACCTATACATTAGAATTGCTTTTTTATAGAGTGGGGTAGCTCATTGGTAGGGCACTGAGCTTCTAATGCGAAGGTTCCAGGTTCGAACCCTGGCTCATGGCAGAAAATTTATTTATCTATTTCATTGGCCGTGGGGCGAACCTGGGTCGGTAGACCCTCCTGTGGCATACCCATCCTTTTATAAAGTGAGTACCCTTAATTAATTAATTCGTTAAGGGGAAAAACCTGGCGGTTGAGCGTCTATCACTCCCTACTGTATATATCTATGTGTTTATTTTCTTAATGGTCGTACATCATAGTGTCCTAGAAAATATTGATCTGCACAACCTAAGGTGGTTGAAGATGTAAACATAAAAGAAAAAAAAAAAGAGGAATAATAAAAAGCCATGATTTTGTGGGAGTGTCATTTTTTTACATCCACTTGTTACAATATAAAAACAACTGTTAGGTTTGTACTTTTATAATACAACTTATTCTATAAAACATTAATTGTTATTAAAAAACAAGAAAAACATGTAATATTCATTATATACATGGCAATAATATAATAAAATTATGAATCATACATTTAATATTATATAACAATTATGAATCAACTGCTTGCAGTTTATAGTTTTATGTGATTAGAGGGCCCCACCACAAAATATTTAACTACTATGGATTGTCCCACCGGCTCTTCTTAGCTTTCTTTTCCGGGAGGGGTCCTTTCTTTACTCTTGGTGCTCCATCCGGATTGTCTAGAGTCTGTTCCCAGGTATGGTCTTCAGAGGCTGTGAACTATAAAAAAAAAATTATAGTTTACATTTCATTAGAAGAAATAATTTGATTTCTCATTACTAGTAGTTTGAGTGGTATTAATAATAATAAATCAAAACAATATGATAAAAAATCATAATGCCACTATATTGAATTTAAAGCCAAAAAGGAACAGGGAAAGAATAAGGTAAACCAAATCCTTTCAGAATAAAAAGATTGACCCTTGTTACATATGTATACCTTGACCATTTGTTAAGGACATCCCCATTCCTCCACTCTGTTCCTGTTCCCCTCCTCTTCCACAGCTAAGCCTTCAGTAAATGAAAATAACTTTGTCAGACTTTATACGCAAGAGTTAGAATAAAGAGAGCTGGCACAGAGCATCTTGGTTATATGGTTGGCATGTTGGCTATAAGTTGTTATAGTGTTTTGTATAATCATCAATGTCCTAACTACGGTATTATCCAGATTTATTTTTTCAATAATTGTTCTATCAAGTCTAGTGGCTGTTTATAACATCATATTGAAATATTCTAACTTCTCTGATGGTCATAAAAACCAGCAGACCTTATATTTTGTCATTATTTCTTATACAACAGAAAAAAATATTGAATTTTTTTACCTCAATATAGTGTAACATATTCTGTTTCTATGAGACCACAACTAAAGAAAAAATACAACAGGAATTCATTAAAAAAAAATCTGTAATTTAAAATGAAGCAAATGAAAACTTTTATTTTAAACAAAAATAAAACGCATGTAATTCTTTTTTAAATATGAAATCAGAATCTGTAGTACCTAGTATTGCCTCCTCTTGCTTAAATAACGGCCTGCACTCTCGTAGGCATACTGAGAATAATCTTGGTCACTCAATCTGGAATCTGATGCATTCACGTACTTAGAGGTCACATGGAGAGTTCAGTTGCCAATGGATGGATGTCCCATGATGCTTAATAAGATTGAAGTCTGGGGTGGGTGCTGGCCACGCCAAGATGCAGACACTAACCTCGTCTAGGTAGTCCCGTATAAATTTTTGATGTGCAGCCGAGCATTATATTACATAGAAAGGAAATGAAGGACAATAAATGGGCCAAAATGTACCACATATTTCTCGAAGATGTCGGTGATGCACCTATGATGAGTGCATTAAGAGTTGGACTTCGGAACACATGGAGGTCTATACTTGACTCTAAACATATTCCACCCTAAAACATCACCGATCCTCCTCCGATAGTTTCTAACATTTTTTTCTGTAAAACATGGTTAAATTTTACCATTTGGGGGGGACTTCAGCCTGAAAGCCCCCCCCTCTCTCTCTCCCTCCCCCGTAGATCCGTCTGTGGCCTGGTATAGCTTTCACCGAACCGTTGTTTCAGGCAGCCTGCGGACTCAGGGCGCTATTGCTGATATTGACTATGTCTAATTCACGCAGTAATCTAAGCGACTACCAAGGGATCAAAAATCATTTTGCACACTTAAAAATGTTTGATTCAAATGAAATATTGTTTTTCAAGAAAAAACAAACACAAAAGCAAAACCAATGCGATTGTACAGGCAACTAAAGACAAACTGGTATGAAGTCCACATTTTGTTTTAATACTATTATCGTTAATCCTTATAAATTATGAAATTTTCTCAAAAGGATTAATGCATGGTAATCTCCTTTGACATGGCATAAACCTTTTATTACCTCAGCCTCAAAAATATTTCTTTAATCTGCAGTTTTTATGTAAAAATCAAGATGCACCGTTTTTTTTAACTATCAGTTTATTAAGTCATCTGTGTTCTTCCTTTTACTTGTCAATCATTTCTAATGTGAAAAATTTCTTTTTAAAGTGCATAATTGGAAATTATTAGACCATTTTTTTTATGGCATTTGTTTATATGATAAACTTTAAAGGATCAAATTAATAGAAGGTAATCTGTCAATATGATCTTTTTGTATGGTTCCTCACAGAGATATGTGAAATTATTATATTATACGATAATACTATATTTAATAATAAAACTAGATCACCAGCCTGATATGAATGTCCTTGTTCAGCCTGTTTGAATATTTAAACTGATTTCTGTCTTCATTTGAATAAGTAATGAAAAATAAGTATGCTCGTGAAACAACATAAAGTAATCTTAAAATGGTGATAAAATACTCATATCCTCATAATTTAGAACAGGGGTATCCAAACGTTTTGTTCCATGGGCCAGATTAAGTCCTCGACCAAGTTCCGCAGGCCACATTGAGACTTTCAACCATAACCGTAGTGCCATAGCTTGTGATTAAAAAATAGATTTTGTTTTATAAATGAAACATGACGCTGTGAAATGAGTTTTCTTAGAGAAAAAAAACATGCAATAAATATTTTAGTAACCTCGTGTGTGAAGAATTTGCTGAATTTCACATTTTTAAAATAGTTTTTATGTTTTTAAATAAATGTTACCATTTATTTAATCAAAGGACTGGATTGAAGATGCTAGCGGGCTGTAGTTTGGAGACCGCTGCTTTAGAATATAAAAAATCTCTGTTTTATTTCTTGGTTAAATCAGCATGTAAATTTAACTTTTATTTTCAAAAAGCATATTAAAAAAAAAAAAAATGCTTATTCTTTACCTCTTTCAAATGATGACAATAAAAAATTCTCTAAATTGAAAAGAAAAACAAACCTGGGCTTGATATTGGGCTCTAAATGCTGCTTTCATTGCTTGCAACCTATCCATCGCTGGGCCTCGACTTGTTTTTGGCATTAATTCTGATATACTCATCGTTGGTCTAACATTTAAAGGCTGTGGAAAAAATAATATAAATTTTAATGAAATGTAAAATAAATCAAATAAAAAATAAAATGTAATCAAGAATATTACAGTCATAAAATCTTATCAACCAAATTAACTGTCTATAAAATACTTTCCTATTCCAGAGAGTCCTAGACCTTTACCACAAAACACAAAAGTCAGATTCAAGTCATGGAGATACAATTCCTATGGAGTGTTGAAGGAAAACAAAGAGAAGCCGCATAAAGAATTTCACAATAAGAAAAAGTTTGAATGCAAGACCAGTTGAAACTGTGATAGAGGAAAATCGTTTGAGGTGGTTTAGTAACGTTAAGTTAATGTCTCTCGAATGGCAGAAAACTAAGAGGGCCAGGAAGAGATATGGACTGAGGGAGGAGGCAGCAGTTGGCACAGTATTGTGAGTCGTGGATTCATCTCTACAAGAAGTCTTTTCACATCGCTCAGGTCAAAGAGGAAATGATTAAAAAGAAGAAATGTATGACAACTCATCAAATTAAAATGAAATATTTTGGATTTAACATCCTTTTTTTACACCAACCAAGGGTAGGAAAGATGAGTTGTTTTACGGAATACCAACCTATTCTAGTAAATTCTAGTAAAAGCGATAAGCTTGAGATTTAATCCATTGATTAATCACAAAATGTGTTTCAACCCACTCAGGAAAGGTTAAAAAATGAACTGCTTCTGACTTAAAATTCAAGAATAATGCTTCGACAAACTCGGACTTCAAAATGATAGTTAAAAAGCTTAATAAAGCTTGAATAATGTTATTTTATAATGCTGACACTTCCTTCATTGGGGAAACTAACGGATATGAATATTAAAAATGTATTAAACATTTGACAAATTATTTACTTCAATAAGAGTACATGTTTTTATCATTTAGATAATAAGAAAAAATTAATTTAAAAAACCAAACTATTAAAATGAATGGTCCTAGATGAAAAAATTTATGGGACAACAAGAGTGGGAAGACCTTGTCTCCAATGGATCGATGGAGTGGCAGCGTCAAGCAATAGAGAAGATTGGCAGATCAAGCTGCGAGGGGCCTTGACTCTATAGGAGTTGTAGCGCCATGGATGATGATGATGATGATGAAACTATTAAAATAATTCTATATATTTTAAGAGAAATAAATTTGCATATCTACTTAATTATATTGGTAGATTATTGGTGAAGTTGACGTATAAGTAGATAGAAATTCGGTGTTGTAGACTGTTAAAAAAATGTTACTTCATTGAAAGGATAACAATAAATGATAATAAATATATAATAGAAGTAAATAAAGAATTATACTAACCACAGAAGGCATACTACTACTGGTGCTGCTTCCTAATCCAGGCCGCTCCCTGAACCCAAGCCCTGCTTTGTCCCCTATACTCTTCCCTTTTCCAGATTTAAACCTTGTCTTCCGGAACCAAGCACTCTGTAACATCATGTTAAATTATAATTATATAATATTATTATATTCTATATCAATAGATTCTATTGACCGCCAGAAACTGTATAATATTCTAATCGAGCAGGGGATTCCTAAAAAATTAGTAAATCTAGTCAGGATGTGCTTGACAGAGACACTTAATAAAGTTAGAATCGGTAATAATCTGTCCGAAAAATTTGAGGTTTGTTCGGGTTTAAAACAGGGGGATTCCCTTTCACCTGTACTGTTCAATTTGACATTAGAACACGCCATTAGGGAGGTAATGCAGACCGAGAAAGGGTTGGATCTGGGTGGAACAACATCCATGCTGGGCTATGCTGATGATCTGGTACTGTTAAGCGAAGACCTTGAAACTATAAAACTAAATACGACAACGTTAATGAAAGCCGGTAAAGAACTAGGACTCGAAATAAACGTGGATAAAACAAAATATATGGTTAGCTGCAAAAATGGCGATACTACTGGTGATATCGATATAGATGGTAATATGTTTGAGCAGGTAGATAAGTTTAGGTATCTAGGTTCTACGATAACTAGAAAAAACGAAATTGAAGAAGAAATTAAGGTTAGACTGAAGGCGGGAAATGCTTGTTATTTTTCTGTGACAAAACTACTTAGTTCGCGCCTTTTGTCCCGAAACTTAAAAATTAGAATCTATAAAACAATTATCTTGCCTACAGTTCTTTATGGGTGCGAAACTTGGCTGCTTACATTAAGGGATGAGCAGCGTCTTAAGGTTTTTGAAAATAAAGTATTGCGTAGAATATTCGGACCGAAGAAGGATGAGTTAAGGAGACAGTTACACAACGCCGAATTGCGTGAACTCCGAATCCGAGTAATATAATTGAGATAATTTCATCGCGGCGAATCAAATGGGCTTGTAAAGTTGTTGGACTTAGTAACGAGAGAATTCCTAAAAGGTTAATATTTGCTGTGCCGAATGATAAGCGTCCGAGGGGTAGACCGAAGCGAAGGTGGGAAGATTGCATTAAAGCTGATCTGAAGGGACTGGGTTTGGACGGCGAACGGTGGAGGGAGGTGTGTAATAAGCGATTGGTGGTGTCGGCATCGAACCTTCGGGTTCGCTAAGCCTTTTTATTATTTATTATTATAAGTATATAAAAATATATCACAATTAATTATGGCACCATTTTAACTTACAAAACACATTAATGTTAATTTTACTTTTCTTTTTTCACAGGAGTCTTTCTCGACACTGAACAGGCTTTTCATCGAGTTTGGCAGCCGGCATAAATAAAAATATATATAAACTTAATTGACACAGTTGATAACCTACAGGTTTTACGCCTTAACTCCATAGAATCCAATCAACCAAATTTAATAAGTGAATATTAAATTTTTTTAAACTTCTTTTCTCTATAGCTTGAAATTTTATGAAAAATGTAATAGCAGCAATGATCGTCCTGACCAAAGGGCAAATGATCCTTTCAAAACCAGTTGAAGATGATAGGACGGAGTATGCTAGGAACTGCTTGAATGACCCTACATGTTCTACCATTAAAAAAAGTGGTTTCTTCTTTTCTAGTTGGAACAAAATATATCAACAATATGTTCCAATCAACAATTAGCTTAGAGGTACCATGTTTACCATGAACATGGAGGTACATGGACGCATGTTAACATTTATTTTTTTTTTATACTTAAGTTAATCATAACATAACAAAACTAATTATTAGTGAAATATATTATTTTATTACCTGCATGGCAAGTTCAAGTAATGGAACAGGAACTTCTTGCCCTGCGCCTTCTAAATTCCGAACCAGGCAACCAGCAAACTCCTTATCTGTTGATGTAACTAATGAATACGCTGTCCCCTTCTCTCCAGCCCTGCCTGTTGTATTAGTAAAAAGTAATTAATATTTGACCTATAGATGGTGATCTAAATATCTAAAGGAAATAAAGGGAGAGAATAGAGTATTACCTGTTCGACCAATTCTGTGCGTATGTGTGTCAATATCTTTTGCCATGTCATAATTGATTACCGTTCTAATATGAGATATGTCCAAACCTCTAGCTGAAAGAGAGAAAAAATAATAGAAATTTTAACTTGATAAGTTAATGGAATATTTGACACCATATTATTTATTATATTTGCATTCTAAAAACATTATAGAATCTATCAGCATTCTGCATTAAAACGTTAGAAATACAGCATATCGATTGCCCCACATTATAATATTGTAATTGATTTTTTAATGGAAGAATCATGCATATAACTAATTATACACCATCACCAGGAACAAATGTACTTCTAAGCCCAAGCCTAGAACTGCATACTCAACAAAGATTTGTTTAAACCGAAAACGTTAATAATAATGATTTAAGCAGCATTTATTTTATTTCTTATATAGGTTACTGATTTACATAGTTATTAGATTATTTACGAAAGAAAATTGTTTCAATGACATGAGTGCTTTATACATAATTCTCAAATACTGTAAATCCATAATTCGAATGGTATGGTAATGGAATATACATCTGGATTAGATTGATAGAGATGATTTTGTTGGTTTATTTAAAATATCATGAAGTACATTTTTGATGGAGGTAAACTTTTGAGAATGTATTTATGAACTTTGGTTATATTTATCCATAGAAAAACTCATCAAAGCAGGTCGTCAAAATAAAAAAATTTTTATTATCTATCAAAAATATATAGTTACACTAAGTGCACAATCTTTTGATTTCATAGAGGAAAATTTATCAAATTACTAAGTTATTTAAATGTTGCGTAATAACTTTTTACAATAAATGTGCTGATTGAAAACCATTTTATAGGACAACCAATATATAGAATTGAATTAACGGAAACTGTAATTCATTCTTCAATTTTTTAATATGAATAAACAAACAACACACAAAGTTGCGAGATAAGGTTACTTTCCTGGTACACCTAGCGGATATTAATATGTTAATATAAAAATATGTGGAAAATATAAAAACTAGATTTTCGACTTCGTTCGAGAAACTTAACTGCGTGAAAAGATCTATAAAGTCTATGGTGATCTCCTCTGGTGAAAGTAAAACCAAACTACTTATTTACTATTTCAAATACAAAGCATTGATAGAGAAATTTGACTCTGTAAAATGGCCTTAAAGTATCAGCGATAGATCGATAATGTAGATCCTGATTCAGGGATAAGTTAATTAAAATAAAAAGGGTTTAAAAAAAAATCTACTTTTGAATAAAATATTATAAATCAATAAATAAGTAAATTGAAAATACCTGCTACATCAGTTGCAACCATTATATCAACTTCCTTTTTACGGAATGCAGTTATAACCCTATTCCTTTCGACTTGATCCATGTCACCATGAAATAGCAAAGACTCAATTTGCTGAAGTTTCAGCTGCTCAGCTAACTCTTCTGCATTAATCTAAAAGATTAAAAAAAAAAATTATTATTCCTTTGATAGGAAGTTTTAATTTTACATAGATTACTCGTCAATTTTTACTTTCATTAAAATGTTTATTTCTTTTCTCTTTTTAATGAATTCACGTTATCATTTTAGAAAATACTTGATATTTGATTTATTACAATTATATTATTTGTGAAATTATGCTAATCAAATCACTTCATATATTACTAATCATTAACTTACCTTTTTTGTAACAAATATCAGTACAGAACCATTAGATTGAAAAGACACTAAATGGGCTAATAGCCATGGCAGTTTGTTGCTTTGCTGAAGGACGATAACAACTTGAGTAATGTCTTCATTTGCTTCTCCACCTTCTTCACCATGAACGATCCTTACCGGATCTATCAACACATCTTGAGCCAGGCGCTTGACTTTTTTCTTGAATGTCGCAGAAAACAAAAGCGTCTGTCGGTCAGGACGGACATGATTACAGATTGACCTCACCTGAGGTTCTGTGAAAAATAAAAAAAGAAAATTTTGAAACAAGTTTTAATATTACATAATATTTCAGCTATTCATCGCAGAAGACCATTAGGGACAATATAAGAAGTAATTATGATTCTAAATTAAATTAAACTGCAGTAGGTAAGCATTAGGCAATCATTAAAGTTTTTTTTCTTGTCAGTAAATCTTTTCTTTATAATAATGTTACATTGAAAACAAAACTTAAAACTATTTCAATATCTTAACTCCAGATTATTGTGTTCTTTATGATTGTTATTTATAAACAATGTCATGTCATTATTTTTATTAATTTTTATTTTATTGAACAACTATTTAAGATAAATGCTGATGGTAGAAATTAAGATTGGTCTGTCCACTAATAAATACCAAAATCTGAAACTATGGGAAATAACCAAGTACTTTTAAAAAACAAATATTATGTGGAAATCTTTTTCTAACTAAACAAAATTTCTATAAATTATTGCTGTCAAAAAAGTAGCTTGAGAGTTACGTATCTAACTGATGAAAATAGATCCAAGTACAGTAGACTTCCTCTTAAACGCGTCCCCTATCTCATTTCCAGTTTTTCTGATGATTCCAGTAAAAGTGATTAAAACAAAAAATTAGCAGTAAAACCTTTCATGTACATATATTTTTTTATTTGTGACCTCCAGGTACAACAAACAGGATTGAACAGTCAGTATACATCAAACAATTTTAGGCAAACACACAGATTTAATCTAGATACATATATTTATTCTTGGATGTATTGTAAACTCAAATAATGATATCGATAACGAAATTAAGAATAGTGACGCTAACAAGAAATGTTAGCAAAATGCCGCTTCTGTGGGTTCCAGCGCCAACTAAGAGGAAACATCATGTCCAGGAAAACTAAACTTCTCCTCAACAAATCGGTCATCAGACCAGTCCTATGCTACTGATCCGAAACATAGACATTGAGCAAGAAGGACGAGCAAAGTTTGCTAATATTTGAAAGGAAAATTTTGTAGTGATTTTTGGAGCTTGTATTGAGGATACCTGGAGAAGATCAAACCAGCAAATCTATAGTTTATATGAAGACACTGATATTGTGAGGGCCATGTGTCAAGGATGTCGGACCTAGAGAGCCCAAAACAGATCCTTTAAATGAAGGTACATGGGACAAAGAGACCTGAAAGGCAGAAGCTACAATGGGAAGATGGAGTGGCTAATGATGACAGAACAATGTTGGGTGTGAAGAACTAGAAGGCGGCAGCACACAACCGAGGCGACTCGCGGATTATGACTTTGGAGGCCGTAACTTACTAGTGGGTTAGAAGGCCTAGAAAGTAAGTACATTTAGTTAAAACAATTCTGAATATCTCCCGCTTCAACCCTTTTTTTTTACTTGGTTTGTTGATTTAAAAAATAAATATTTAATATTCGGAACTCAGCTTTATCGACCATCATTACAAAAAAGGAAGTCAGACTCCGCTATTACCTCTAGATCTGATCAAAGTACTTTTGTAAAGCTCGTCATGAAGATATTGATGTATTGCGAAAGAAATTAATAGTGTCAAAGCAGAAAGGAATCAGCACTAAAACGAGAAGAAATTGAGATTTTTAATGAAAAGTGATTGTGAGTAAATTTCATTCATCCCTTCTTCACATGCCATTTCTAGTGTTGAGGAGCACCCTGCTTAACTGCTTTATTTGATTGATAATTTGCCTCTTCGACCTAAATCCTCTTCAGAAGTTTCTAGTATGAAACTCTGGGACACCCTCACGGTTTCCTCCCAAAGTAGTCGAGTCTCTAATATTTTTAGAGGTTCCATTTCCTTTTTCATGCTCTTTTCCGGGTCATCCAAGGCCCTTATGTTGAGGACCTTATATACCTTCTTCGGGACAACAGATCCCATGAATACTTTTTTTTTTTTGTTCTTCCCTACCTCGCCTTTTAGGCTATACAGGATTTTCCCAGGCCGAGGGATGGGGGCGGGGAATTTAAAATCCCCTACGGCACCGGGATGCGAACTCATACTTTTTAAATCTTCTCAAATCTGTAATCTGGTTGCCAGGCAACTAGCGGTGCTGTGCACACGCTTTAGCCTATTCGGCCACCTCGTCCCCGATCCCCTGAATACTAAGAACCCTTCAGGAGGAAGGTTGGCTGGACTATACTCTTCAGCGCTGGGTCATATTCAGGTCACCCTTCCAAAGAGGGATCCCCCATCCGCCCCCTGGAGGACTTATTGCCTCCAGGACTTATAGCAAAAAGATTCCGCAGAGAGTCATTCAACTCACACAAGGTTAATACAAAATCAATTTTTAAATGTGTCCAATTTTTTTTTATTTTGAACTAGCATTAATGAAAGAACTATTGCTTACAAACCTTTTCCACTAAAACCTCACTTTCTTCATTCTTCATTCATTTCTTCTAGTCTTTCTGATTTGAAGTCAAAATAAGTGTAAACTATTAGTCAATCGGCAATAATGGAGGATTCGGCTCCCAACCAAGTTCATATTAAGGACTACTACATAATGAAGACTTTTAAGCTGAAGGAAGTGGATGGACTGAAAAGATAGGAAGCAGAGTTGACTAAATGGAGTCATTTCAAGCATCTTCATTCAGATTTGCTTTAGATTTAGATAGCTGCCTTTTCCTGAGATTCATTGTCACAATCCTAAATTAACACCCATCTCCATTTAAATTTGCATTTAGTGACCAGCCGATAAAAGTTAATTTTGCACTAATGATCATGCAACTAACAGACATAACATATTGAATAAACAGGATGCATTTACACAACTGAATAATATGTTACTGCTAGTGAGCCCACCTTGAATTCAGCAGAAGAAATTACCACTGTAAAAGTTCGAAAACAAAAAAAAAATAATAAAAAAAAAATCACAAGGATCTAGAAGCTAATTTCTTACAATGTTCATCATTACAGCTTTTCTTGAACTTCTTGATGTGCCCTTAAGCTTTAATTCATTCAAGAAACAGGATGAATAACACCGATCACTGGACATATTCTCAAAGAGAAAGCACTGGTTTCATACCAACAACTTAGTCCAGATAACACAGTTTACTGCGAGTGAAGGCTGGTTAAACTGCTGGGAAAAAACGGCAGGTGCACATCAGCTCACTTTTTCTGAGGAAAAATTATCGTCCTTTCAATAAAATACTACTTAAAGACAAATAAAAACTTTAATTGAAAACAAAACATAAACATATACAATGATAAGGTTTTGTAAAATGTCGAACAAGACTTGGCAACAGTCTTTGGATATTTTGGAAAGTAATTAACTACTCTAGAAAAATAAATCAAAATCGAACCAGTATTAGCAGCCATAGAGTACTGAATTTTATACACTTATTTTAAATGGACTATTTGTTTTGTTCTGTGCATCCGCCGAAGGTTTCAATACCTGTCTACAAGCTTCTTTCAGTTTTTAGAAAAATTCTAACACTTTGATGAAGTTAACTGTCCCTAATTTATACGCCATTGTTATGTTGTCTTCAGTTTGCGAATTAAATGATGTGGATTCTTTTACTTCCTAATTTTTGGCAGTAAGACTAATCAAAGCACCAAGATCATTATTATTGCGGGAGTCGATCAGAGGATTTCAGAATTCAGCAATATACAAAAAACTTATTTCTTTATGTGTAATGTGTAATAAGTGATATTTGTGTATTTTTTTTAGGCTATATCACTTGGTAATATCGGTTTATCAATAAAAAAAATGCTAATTGATTTTTTTATTTTTTTATCGGTACATCAAAAGTGGTTTAAATTTGTCTGAAATTGGTAGGCAAATGTTCAAGTGGATACACCACCCATTTATTTTATGCTAATTTTTAAAAGTAATGTTTAAATAGTTAATTAAGGGGGAATACCTGACGGTTGAGAGTGATCTTAGTCAAATCACCTCCTTGCACAACTCTTGACTAAGAAACAGCACCTTCCATAAATAGTATTAAACCCAAGACCCTTCAGTAAATTTAATTTATTAACAAAAAGTTTCTATGAATTTCATTAAACATGAATTAAATGATTATTTCTCATAGGTGCCTCTCTAATAGATCAAACTACTAAGGATAAGAGGGAGTCTACTGTAAGAAAAAAAAAAAATGGTGATCAAACCTAAGCAGTTTTCATAAGATTGGTGTAAACTATAAAAGGGAGAATTGACAGATCCGGAGAAAACATTACTGTGCATCAGTATGTATATATAGCGTTAAGATTCACTGATTTTAGTAATGAAATAAAAAGTGAAAAAATAATGAATATACAAATAAAAATGTTTGTATTAGATATTTTGAGTTCTGCGTATCCTGAAACGTGAAACCTCAAATTTTGAGAGGGGAGAGTATTTTTTATAACTTGTTTGGTCGATTACAATGGTTCATTATTGAAAATAATAAACCAATAATACATATAAATAAATATATTAATTATTTCTTACCAAAGCCCATGTCAAACATCCTATCTGCTTCGTCCAAGACTAGGAATGTAACTCTTTGGAGGTTGGTAGCTTTCACCTTGACGAGATCAATCATACGACCCGGGGTAGCGACAACTATTTCTGCCCCTTCTTCAAGCGCTTTAGACTGTTCCCACTTTGAGCCACCACCATATGCGCAAACTACATTAATGTTGTAAACTTTACCAAACTTTCTTGCTTCATTATAAATCTAAAAAAAAAAAAAAATAATAGATTAGCTTAAATTTAATTTATTGTTCAGTATAGATCTGGGCAGAATTTATTTGAAATAATATTTCGAAAATAAATTATTAAATAACCTTTCCCACTTATTTCGGAAATAATTTATTTCATGAAATAACTTGAGCATTAATTCCGAAATAATTATTCTGATAAATTCAAAAGGGAATGTAATAACCATAATAAAAATCCTATTGTTTGCTCTAAATTTAGTTTCCGTTTATGCCCCAGTTTTGTTTTCTGCAACTAGGACTTGAGGCATTATATTTACTCATATTTGAGACACTTAAGTCTCTATAGAGGCTGAGTGCGCCCAACAGAAATTTCATTTTTTCTGATGTTCCCTTTTATTCCCTGCAATTAAAGGGACTTGGGGCATTATGTTTACTGCTGTTTGAGACACTTTAATCTTTGTAGAGGCTGAGTGCGCCCGGCAGCAATTTAACTTTTTCTTATGGTTCCTTTTAGTATCCTACAATTGTACGGACTAAAGGCATTATATTCACTGCTGTTTGAGACACTTTAATCTTTGTAGAGGCTGAGTGCGCCCGGCAGCAATTTAATTTTTTCTTATGGTTCCTTTTAGTATCCTACAATTATACGGACTAAAGGCATTATATTCACTGCTGTTTGAGACACTTTAATCTTTGTAGAGGCTGAGTGCGCCCGGCAGCAATTTAATTTTTTCTTATGGTTCCTTTTAGTATCCTACAATTATACGGACTAAAGGCATTATATTCACTGCTGTTTGAGACACTTTAATCTTTGTAGAGGCTGAGTGCGCCCGGCAGCAATTTAATTTTTTCTTATGGTTCCTTTTAGTATCCTACAATTGTACGGACTAAAGGCATTATATTCACTGCTGTTTGAGACACTTTAATCTTTGTAGAGGCTGAGTGCGCCCGGCAGCAATTTAACTTTTTCTTATGGTTCCTTTTAGTATCCTACAATTGTACGGACTAAAGGCATTATATTCACTGCTGTTTGAGACACTTTAATCTTTGTAGAGGCTGAGTGCGCCCGGCAGCAATTTAATTTTTTCTTATGGTTCCTTTTAGTATCCTACAATTATACGGACTAAAGGCATTATATTCACTGCTGTTTGAGACACTTTAATCTTTGTAGAGGCTGAGTGCGCCCGGCAGCAATTTAATTTTTTCTTATGGTTCCTTTTAGTATCCTACAATTATACGGACTAAAGGCATTATATTCACTGCTGTTTGAGACACTTTAATCTTTGTAGAGGCTGAGTGCGCCCGGCAGCAATTTAATTTTTTCTTATGGTTCCTTTTAGTATCCTACAATTATACGGACTAAAGGCATTATATTCACTGCTGTTTGAGACACTTTAATCTTTGTAGAGGCTGGGTGTGCCCGAAAGAAATTTCATTTTTTCTTATACCCCTTTTCGTTTTTTAACAATTAGAGGATTTGAGGCATTATATTTACTGCTGTTTGAGACACTTTAGTCTCTAAAGAGGCTGAGTATATAATTCATAGTCATAATAATCATATGATTTATTTCAGAAATAAATAATTTCAAGAGTGCCCAGGTCTAGCTCAGTATATACCACAAAACCAACCATGGTACATTTACATATAATATAAAAATTAAAAATTAAAAACAACTAAAACCTGTACCAATTCAAACCATGAAGGGTTTTGGCTACAGTACTTTGTTAAGAAGTACTGTTTCAAGGCCAAAACTAGTGCGGGGAGGTGATCAGGCCAGAATCACGCTCAACTGCCAGATTTTCCCCCATTTTTAATTTGATTAACAATTTTAAAACAAATTTATTTATTATTATTGAATCTTTTGAACAAAATTTAATTAACAAATAACAAGTTAAAAAATATGGTACGCGCATCACACGACTTTTACTTACCACCCTTTCCTTAGCGGAAATAAGTATTTTCAGACAAACGGGAAGTGAAAGTAAAAATTATAGATACTATATTTATTTACATTTCATTGTCGGTATTGTTATTTATTTAAATACCCTTATATGTATATAAATTTTAATTTTTTATATTGCTATATTCTTTACAATTAAATATTAAATAATAACAACGATAGCATTTATGAAAACCGAATATGTATATATAGATAATATTGTCGGAGTCGGGGTACCGGGCAGTATACCGTTAACTTTCAGAATGAAAGAGTTAATACAGATAAATCAAACCATATTATGATATTTATAAAAACAATATTATTTCAAAAACTTGTCATCAGTTACCTGTTGGGAAAGTTCTCTTGTTGGAGCAAGAATCAAACCTATCGGCCCATCTCCGACAGCTAGCTCTTTCTGATCCATGATATGGACAAGAAGAGGCCATATAAATGCAGCTGTTTTACCACTTCCAGTTTTGGCAATCCCTAAAAATTAAAGTAATACATTTTTAACTTAGTATTCTATATAAACAGAACATTAAAAAGAAACTGTCCTGTTTTATTATATATAGAAATTGAATATCCTTCAAGAAAAAAATTGATACATAGAAATTATGATATATTGAAATATTGCAATTATTCATCCATTGTTTTTTTTTAACATTAGCTTTAGTTTGGTTTCGGAGGTACTTATTTAGTAGCGGGTAGCATCAAAACCTCTCTTCTTATCTAATCTCATTTCACATAACCTCCCTTATCTCATCTAACCTAAGTTATTCCCTTGTTTATTTTTTGTTTCTTGTGTTAGCCGTGAGTTAGTGTTATTTAATTATAGATGTTGTCACATTGTGGGAATTGCTGTCTACAGAAAAAGAGGCTATAAAATATTTTCAAGAAGCCGGGATATTTGCAAAGATCAAATGTTGTGATGAAGGTCATAAAATGAAGTTCGACGGGAAGATTAAATGGAGATGCTTTCGTAGTTGTAACAAAACCGTTACTATAAGGATAGAAACGTGGTTAGAGGGGTCGAGGATTTCTTTTTTAACGGCTTTAAAATTCATTTATGGGTGGTCCCATAATTTAACAACGATACAGTGGGGGAAAGAGTAGCTCAAACTATCCATCGCAACTGTCATAACATGGAACAAATTTTTAAAAGAAGTTTGTGCCCTTGACATGTTGTACAGGTCGATAATGTTTCTATAATGTTTTGGTCTATTTTAATATATATGTTGCAAAAAAAAAGTATTTTTTTTATTATTACATTTATTTCTGTTTTTGTTGACAATTTCAATAATATCAATACAATACAATCAATATGAATACGAAAATATAATAATATGAATATAATACAATAAATACGAATACGAAGAGCTTATCAGTGTTAAGGTTATAAACATTGGCAGACAGCAGTCGGTCGCTACCCGGTACTAAATAACTACCTTTTCGGAATTTGGTTTTAAAATGGATGTTACAGTTTTAACCTTTTGTTGCTAGTTCAACAGATTTTATTGTCGACTAACGTCTGATTAGCTTTTTTAAAAGAAAAAATGAAGAGAGGATCTAATACAGAAAAGTTAATGAAAAAAACAACATAAAACTTCAGATTTTATAAATTTATTCTAATGTGGATCAAGCAACACGTGAATGGTTTTACCGAGCTCTTAGACTGTGAGTTGATCTAGTTTTTTTTTTTTTTTTTTTTTTTTTTTTTTTTTTTTTTTCTTGTGCTACAAATATGGTTTTATTAAAATTTGAATTAACATTTGTATACCAATAATATCTCTCCCAGAAAGCCCTGCGGGAACAGCTTGAGCCTGGATAGGAGTGGGTTGGGTGTATTCACACTTCCTTATAATTTTCATGAGAGCTTCATCAAATCTGAAACATAATAAGAAGGAACTAGATTAATTACCATAATTTAGATGTGTGTAAAAAGCACTGCTGCACTATCACTTTAAATGAAAATTTTTAAATATTTATTTTTTTATAAACCAAAATTGTACTTTAGTAATAACTTGTTAGAATAAGGTTTTATTAAATTCAACCCATATTGTAGATCTTCATTGTAGTCTCATGCAACTATTTTGTCCTGATGAAAATCTAAATGGGTTGAAACATCGGCTTTGTTTTAACGATTGTTTATTATTTGATGTTTTCTGAACAACTTTTGAACCATCTCCTTCTTACTAAAATTACATTACATCCATACATAATATATCACTGTTATGATAAATTTATATCTGATTTGATACAATCTAACACTAAATAGGAATGACTTAATTTTGACAAACTGGATCATATTCTATTTTTTATGTTATGTAGAAAAATAAATTTTTGGAACTATTTTCAAATTACTTATGTTTAGTTCATGGCATAATATGAAATTATGTGAAAGTACATTATCAGTAAAATGACTCATCTGGCGTTTATTCTAGTACATATGTGAGCACTTAATCTTAAAAAATTAATATTTAAAAAAAATAAAAATGTACTTCTTACCCAAAATGTGCAAAGCTGGAGACAGGGTTGGGAGGGTTAGGCCCGGAGACCCTAATACCCAAAGTATTCCTAAGTTCTTGCACCTTGTCAGGGCTCAAAGAGGAAATCTCCTCGTGTTCGATATAGAAATTTTTTTCGAATTCTTCATATTCAATTGTAGAATGGTCAACAGGAGGAAGCGGATCAATGATCTAGATAATAAAAAAATTCGTTATAAAAATTGTCACACATGGAAATAATTTAATGCAAATTGAAATGGAAATAAACCTATGATTGCTTGACGGGCAGAGCCTTCCGTTAATAAAATTACTCATATTTTTTCATATAATTACAGAATTAGGGAGTTTAACTATCAACCAGAAAAAACAATAAGTTTCACTATGCAAGTGGTTATGCAAACAACGAGAAAAAATTTACAAACAGAAAAACTTTACTAAAAAAATTGGGGGAGTTACTTTATTCTTTTTTGGAGCAATTGGGTTTCCATCTTCATCATATTCAATTTCAACATCTGATTCTTCATCCTGCATGCCAGCACGAGGATTCTCTTCTATGTACCTGAAATTGCATTGATGTTTAGAAAAGGTAAGAAACTAAAATAAGTAGCGAGTATTGAATTTATAATGTTCTCAGATAAGGTGAAATAAAGTCTATATTTTTTTCAGTAAATAAAAAAAATACATTAATTCAGTAAATAAAACTAAATCAATAAGTTAACAACACTTAGTAACAAATCACATCACATATATTACCTTTATGCTTTGAAATGAAAGGTGTTCTCCGATTTTTCTTAATAATAAAAAGTTTCCAGACACTTAAATGGAAAATAATATGAAGTCAACATATTAAGAAAAAAAAGAAACCATAGTGAAAGACATAAGACTTTAATCTACAATATACCAGGAGCAATGGATTTTGATGAATGAGGTATCGAACAAAAGGGAATTTCAAGGATAAGTAAAAAATTCCAATATCAATTGTTAAATTCCTACAACTATTTATATTTGAGATTTAGTTTTTGACAAACTAAAAATCAGTTGAAAAGGTAGATGGAGGAGAATTCTGAGGTCCATAGGGCACCTAAAGAAACTATTTGATATTTTTAATAAATAAATTCAGAGATATCTGATTGACTAACTATTAAACTGAAGGGATATTTTTCTATGGCAAAAGCTAAATTGTTACTTTAGCAGCCATGGTAAAGCATGACACTTCACTGATTGTATGTGTTAAATAGATAATCTTGATAATATTATGCTGTGTATACTAATAAACATGTTTTGCTAATATACCTTATATGTCGAATTAGGAAGAATACTACAATCTAATGTGAGAGTTCTTGCTAAGACAAACTAGTATTTGCTTATTTTGAGACATTCAAAACTAAAATTTAGCCCATACATTTACTCAAATCTAAAAGAACTAAAAAGATTAACATTAACAAAACTTCAAATCTATTAGGCGAAAACATTCAGGAGAAATAACAAAGGCACCATAAATAAAAATAGAAAATAATAAGGCACTACTTCACATGGCATCGGTTCCCATATTTTCTCAGTATACAAGGAGTTTAATTACCTTGGCTCTGTTAGTACTCAAATTCAGCGGTATGTCAAGGAAGGCACGAAACATGAACAATGATGGCTGAACAAAGAAGAGTGAAGGGAGTCTGGGAGGGGAAGATCCTGCACAAGATATATGAACCTATATATAAAAGAGGAGTCTGGAGAGCAAAGTACAACCGAGAGCTTACTTCACTATACCTTCATAAAGGCTCATAAGATAATCTTATAAGCCCTTATAAGATGGCTGGGCCATCTGGAGGAAGGAGAGTAAGACCACCACTCCGGTGGATAGATGATGTAGAGGCGGATCTGAGAATTGGTGTCAGACAGTGGAGAAAATCCCCCGTCTGAAGAGGAGCTGGAAGAGGGATCTTTTCGTCTCCTAGCTAACATTAATATCATGCCAGGAAGTGCTGCTAAGTACTATTTTCCATCATACCATGCCCTTAAGGTATTGCTATCAAGTTCACTCCTTCTTGATTCAATAACTGACATGTGTAAAATATGATTGTAAGGTTAAAAAACACAAAGAACAAAAGTGAATATGATTAATTGAACAAGTACAAAAAACTTAAAGAAGATACTTATATTTAGCCAGAGCTTAGACAGGAAAATTATGCTAAAACATTGTAAAATATCCCATCTTAATTTTTTTTAAACATTTTGTTTTATTTTACAGCATTGTAGTAGCTATTCATTAATTTGTAAGTTATTTTTAATTCAATAACCAAATGGTTGCATCTGAACAAAAAGGGTCTTCCTTAAGTTTTTTTACCTAAACAAGTACACAATCATACCTATAATAAGATTCTTCAACATCTTCAGACTCAATATCATCACGAATTCCTTTACTCGAATCTTTAGCATTACTTTTCTTTCCTGGTTTCGGGACAGATTCTTTCTTTACCTGAGGAAACATTAAAAATCAAGTTATTATTTAACTACATAAATTGATAATAAAAAAATTAACTTAAAAAACTTTAAATGTGTAACGTTGACACAGAGATGAAACAATTTAATTCACACTGGTATTAGCCATATATCCAGGGTTTTGCACATCAGTCTATAGACAGATGGACATCACCTAGTGTGAGGTGCTTAGTCACCAAGTCGGGCCCTTATCTGAGAGATGATTAAGCTGAACTGTGATTAACTTTAGAATTCATAGCCACCGTGTTACCTCACTTGAGTTGGCTATTCCACTACCAATAATCTATGTATAAATATTAATTTTCATAATTTAAAAATTGCAAAGAGGAAGGACAGAATTAGAAATAATTTAATTTTAATTTTCAAATATTACAAGCCTGTCAGGAAATATTTTCTTATATAATGAGGAAGTTGTTTCAAACAATTCCTGCCTTCTCCCATTGGTTTTATTATTACTTATAGTTAAGTCATGCCATTCTTTATATTTCTATAATATTATTAATTTATCACTTATAACTAAGTTCTTCTCTATTATTACTTTTTTATCTTTTGCTACTCTTAATTCTTCCCATCAACACACTTTATTCATATCTATATCTCTAGTCTGGTCATAATGTAATTATTTATACTTCTGTAAATTATTTATTTAATTGTTTACTAATTTTATCTCTATTATTACTTTTATAATCTATCTTTCATATATTTCCACCCTATTTGTATTAGTCCACATGTTATTTGTAATCCAGCCTTCTTGATCTGAATTTTAATAAATAAAATCAAACTCTATTACAACCTCCGTATATAGTTTAGTTAAACATAATAGTTTGATGGGTACTACTTTACAAGCATTTTCTATATCGATGGATGGCCTAAAATTAATTACATATCTTCTTTCAACTTTCACTTGCTCAAATTGAATAAACCCTCAAAGGGTTCAGTTGAGGTCGGGGCCTTATCACACGCAACCAAAAATTTGGTCTAAATTATTATAACCGTTGTTCTATTAAAAGTGAAGAAAACAAAAATATTATATTAAGGAGGCAAATTACAGATTTCTATTGCTTAAAATCCTGTTACAGATCTATAAAAAGTTTTGCTGAATTCAGTTCACCCATTTTCTACTAAAAAGTAGGCAAAAAGGCATATTAGACAGAATACAATTTTATTGTAAGAATATTAAAATACAACTATTTCCCTTCTTTAACTTATTGTACTTAATTAAGTACTATTATAATTTTAATATTGTCATATACATACTACCCTTTTTTTTTTTTGCTAATATTTCCTTTATTCGGTTTTTCTTCTACATAATGTTTTACCCTTTAATAACTACTAGAACCTTAAAAACTACATTGGTTTCTCATCGGTATTCCATCCTAATAACATACTCATTTGTCAAGAGTGAAAAGTTTCAACTAGAGTAGTTGGGACTTATAAAATTTGATAACAAATATTTTACTTGCTAAATTTTAAATATTTATTAACCTAAACAAATTATAACACTAAAAAACCTGATTTTCTATGTCAGCCATGTAAGCATCAAGAGGGTCCTCTTCATCAGAACCCAAAGATTGTTCGGTGCCCGTAAAAGCCGTTGGACTTCCAGGAGCTGGGATGTAGTCCAATTTTGGGGTCTCATCTTCTTCTTCAAAATACCTAATTATAACTATTAGTTGTTGACACACAAATCGTTGCATGCAATATATTAAGGCTAATTTTGTTTCTGTTGATGATAGTCTTCCAACAAAAAACATTAGTGCTTACTCTTCTTCTGTTTTGGATCTCTTCTTCGGAATACCCCAAGTTGCAGACAGAGCATTCTCAGTGATGGAACTCATAGTTGAGTAACCCTGTTTGCTAAGTGCTGCAGTTGGTGGAGGAGGAACAGCAGCCTGCCTTTCTGCTTTACTCATCAAATGGAAACCACCAAAACCAAATCCCTTAGGCTGGCCATCTCCACCCCTGTGGTAGCTCATATTCAGTCTGAAATTTATGTGATCATAATTTTTATAATTTAAGAGAAAACAAGAGATAATACGCCAATAAGCCTCTTTTTTAGTCGGTGAAAACCCAAAACCGAAAGTTTCTCACCTTTTATTTCAGTTAACGAATCTGAAAACACTAAATGGGCATTGCCTATGACCAAAACCTCTTCCAAATAAGTAAACAAACCTATCCAAGTAACCTGACTAGATAACCTGCCGTGTACGAGGTTACAATGGTGCCATAATCCAAACATCCAAGTTGAACTGTTCTTATCTTTCTTTATGTTCTTATTTATATAAAGGACAAATTTGTGACAAGAACGAATGTATGATTTAACAAAAAGTATCTAGATTTAGGGAAAATGATGTATTAGTTTATACATCAAAAGTTGAGGCAGTTTAAAGACAGATGTCCAAGCTTCCATGACGAACACGAACATATTTAAGTTGAATACAAACGAATTCAAAATTCCAACATGTTAAAACTTAAATCATGAGCAGTTATGTTTTTATGTGCATCATTCAGGTTTAAACGAGGCTGTTACTTTTTTCAACTTGTTGCTCTGATGGGTGTCCTAAGAAACAAGAGGTTTGACTAATGACCGGCTCTCTCCTTTCCAAACTTAAACGCCGATGCGAACGTACTGCACATATGTATGCCGCTTACAACCTAGCTGATGGAATATAGGAAAAAAATCTAGTTCCATTAGCTCAATGTTTTTTTCTTTTTGTAATCGATAAGACCTTCAGAAGCTGTTCTTTGAAATACTTGGTGATTTATATTTCTCGTCGACAGTATTCTAGTTTTTATTTAGATGTGTTATTCCGTAGATACCCAGGCAAAACATGATAAAATACGCTGATAACACACATTTTTATATCATTATGCAAGTGTGATGAGCATTTCCTCCATTATTATATTTAGCGAAGACAATTCCGGAACTAGCGCATCGAAATAACGCTTTTTTTTCAATATATTTCTATTGCACTTCACACTTACGTGACTCACTAATGATTGTATAATGTAATTCTCAAACCAGTTTTCGATTATTAAATTTATATATGATTCTTCTTGTACAGCATAGCAGTGTGAGGATCCCTTCAATTGGGTTTGATCCAGGATTCTATGTTCTGAATCATCCGTCTTCTCCTACATTCCAACTCTCTTCGGTCAAAGACCTTTTGGATTGCACCATTCCATTTCTCCACCACGATCTCTGCCATTCCAACTTTCTTTCGTATACCAACTTCGCCAATCTGTTTTCTGCCATTCTAGCAACAAGGTCAAGCCATATCAGCTGGTTCTGCGATAACCTTCGCTGGCCTTAATCACAGGTTGGGTCTCATTGTTTTATAACGAACTTGATCTCTCCATGTCTTTTCTTTCATTCTTTTTAAGTACCGCATTTCCTTAGTATGGAAAGACTGTTGTGTTTTGTGAGTCCTACATTCACTCGACTAGATGAGCATCGGTAAGAAGTTGTTTTCGTAAATTTCTTTCTCTATGCTTTTATTTTTTACGTCAGTAAAACAATCTTCTGAGAAAATATTGCATTTGTCCCACAACCGCTACTACTTGAATAATGAGTCTTCCATATGCTTCTAAAGCAGTTAATCCTTAAAGGCTCACACATATAAAGTGCAATCTATCGCAGAAGTTTTGCGATCTCTTTATGAGGGAAGTCGGCAATCTTGTAATATTGCACTATTTGTCCCACAGAATGCCATCTACCTATCCATTCATGGAGATCGCAAACGCCGCAATTTGTTAAATTCTGTGTGTGTAGAGGCCAAGTACGTACTATATACGACTGACTTGATCATAAATCTCATAAAGAAGTAAAAACGGAACACTTATTATTCCTAGAAACAAACTTCACTAAATTCCAACTGAACTCCGCAAAACCCATCTTCCCTCAAATGAAGTTCTTGGAATATTCACTCTCTGATAGAGTCAGTTATATATATGACTTAAAGGGACTAACAACTACAAAGATACTGAGATATGTTTTAGGAATGCTTATTGTCACAGATTTATAACCGGTGCTTCGGAAACTCAGATATATTTAAACAGTCTTATCGTCCCTGCACTAAAAGAGAAATAATAAGGTATACTGAAAGAGTGTGAGCGCTGGTTATAAGGAATGCAAGCAAATTCAGCAATATTCAGATAATTCTCCCAACAAGCGACGTGGCACCACGACCACCCGTTAGAGACATACCAAATATGTAGATTGCAACAACTATTAACAACCTCTTTCCTTTTTCTCAAAGAAACTAGCAGATCCATAAACCCGATACGGAGCTTATCACCGTAAATTATTCACTTATTTATTATTATTGATTAAATTATTAGAAAACGTAACTGAGCTTCAATATTGATTCCAGAGACACACCCTTAAAAGTAAAGCAAGCCTAACTGGCGGATCCTCAATTGCTGATGACTGCATCAACCACCCACCCATTCATTATTAAACTACTCTAATGAACATTCAACACTGTTCTTTTTTGTTCGTTCCTTCCTCACCTTTTAGGATATACGGGATTTTTCTCTGTCCAGGGAAGAGGGCAAGCGATTAATGCCAAAGTTAAAAATCTCTCTTGCTCTGGGATGCATACTGGTAATTATTTTATCTTATAAACTTCCGTTTATCAGATTGCCAGACAACACATATTTATCGAAAGCATCAAACAGTTTGGCTAGCCCATTCTCCTACCTTGCCTTCATTCAACACTGTTCACTGACTTACATACAGAAATACTATAAAGACAAGATTTGTGAGGCCTCCACCATTCAACATCAAATTTTACAGAATGATCCTCCTCCACATCTCAATGGACTTTGAACTTTTCCATACTCCTTAAACACTTCATATACTTTACTTGGACTTCACCATGTCCTTAATGAGCCGTCAGTAAGATACTTATGTTTCTGCACTGGTTCAATTTAAATAGGCTTAATTGAGATATTTGTATATTAATTGATTAATTCAAATCTTCCTCATTAATATTTTCCATTTTTTTTTACTACCCATGTAAAACAAAGTTATTTTGGAGAATTTCTGACTTTCCTTTAGTTACTGCTATAAAGATTGTATACTTATACGTGTGTACAAAAACAAAGATTTTGAGTTTTTAAGTTTGAGATATGAATGACTGCTTATTTTAAGGGGAAAATATAAATTAAATTATAACTCTTGGAAAATTATGAGCTTCACAAAAACTAAATGTTTCATATTTTATCATAGATATGTCACATATTTTTATTCATCTTAAATTTAGATTATAAATGCCTGTTTTATCATACACATGATAAGAATATGATTAAGTGATTGATTAACATCTAAAATGTTTGGTGAAAAACAAAAGTACCTACTGCTTAATAAAAATCTGTCCGGTTTCCTTCACAACCATATCTAAATAGGATAATATACAGGTGTCTGAAAAAAGTCTTCCCTTAAGTAGACTTGAATAAGCTTAAAATTTTGCCCTTGCACTTTTTTTATAGTAATGGCAAATGATAACTTATCAACAGCAAGCTATGCTAATCTTTTTGTAATTTAAGTTTAAATTGATTGACTATTTTGGTCACTGATCTATTCCTATGGGTTGTAGTGTGATGTTATAAGCTTAAAGGTTTCTTCGAATAATAGTACATATAATGGACACAAACAAATTTTCGATCAGACTGGTAGTTCCTGAAAGTAGTTCGAACAAACTAATTCTTAAGCTTTATATGCAGATTGCGACAATATAACTTCCTTTTTTTAAAGCGGAATAAAACCAATTTTTTACAATATAAGGTATATATCTAAAGTTTTAAAAATCATATTAGTTAAGTGATGCTCCCTATTATCCATATCCTAGAATAAGCCGATTTCTGCAATTTATCATGACCCTTATCAGTATAGCAGCCGATATGTTCACAATTTCGACTGGATGTTTACCTTCAGGTCTTGTAGTCCTTGGATGGTTGACATAAACATAGGATTTCAAAAAATTGCACAAGGCCAAATTGGGAGAACGGGTTGGACACTCCAAATTGAGATGAGGTGCCCCCGGAAGTGTTTTGCCATCAATGTCTTTGAAATGTGAGCTGTGGCGCAGTTCTGTTAGAACCAAATGTCCCCTAAGACCTAGTCATTAATTCGTGGAAAGGTGACTGCAAAATTAGACCTCAACAGCAAACACACGCTCTTCCCTGTTCCAACGGGATTGACTAGGGAGTGGAAACAGTTTAGGACCATGTCTCTCGGCCCACCACGCTGCTGCCTCTACAGCCTAAATGGTACACATTTCAAATAAGGAAGTTATATTGCCATACTCTGTATTAATATAGATTTCAATTTAAAATGTTAGTTCAGATATTTGGTTAATATATCAGTTTTCTTTTCTTTTTTAACGTCTTTTGCAATTTAATTGTTTTTAATTTAATTTATTGTAACAGTATTCACATTATTTCTTTTTATACCTGTCTGTTCAGTCTACATACTTACGCTTCAAGTTGAATTAGAAGAACAAATAGTTTTAAGTATTGTGGTACATCATTACAAGCACAATTCATGTAATCAATTACTTATTCAAAATACATCGAAAAACATGAAAAAATATGGTAGGGAATCTCCTCACATTACACAAAAAAAAGATATTCTATCTGAAAGGTTAAAAGGATTTTATGAAATATCTTATTTTACTTAGTGAACCATTGGTATCTACTTTTATGAATTCTTTTATAATAAAACAGATTGAAAAAAAAAACACAAAAATATGTACACAATAATTTATTCATACAATTATACAGACTCTTACTTAAAATTTAAAAAATAAGTAAAAGAAAAAAATAAATAAAATCACTTACGATGGTAGAACGCAGAAACATATTTTATTTAATAATCTAAAAAATGCACAACTTTGATAACTTAACTGGTGATTCTTCTTAATAAACATCAATATTTAACAATGAAGTATTTACATTACATTTACATAAACTGTACATATAATTGTATTAAAAATAATTGCTCACATAAAAGCTATCTATTAACATAGTAATATTCACTATCCTCTGAATTTCTTAAAAAGAGGATGCTTGCTAGCAGGCCTCTTGTACTCCATGTAAACAGCATCATCTGCTCCTGACATGGATGCCATGGAACCATGGGCCCTCCTTGCTCCACCAAAACGACCCCCATGGGTTGGATCGCCAGGAACTCGCTCTTCATCAGCGTCAATATCGGAAGCTGCTAGAACTTGCTGGAGAAGTAGCCCTTGTTCGTCTCGTGTCTTGTAAAGCAAATCCTGATCCTAAGGGCAAAGGCAAATGTTGAATGAATGAATGGAAAAATAATTTTATTCTGGGACTACAGTCCCCTAAGAATAATAACAAAGTTCCAAATTTATGGGTTTTAGTCTGGCTTAGAAGAATACAAAATACAAACTAATTAACTTTTGATTGTTATTGCAATTGTGCAGTTCGTTGAATTAAACAGTGTACAGACGCAAGTAATTTTACATGTTTACGGAAGTTTGAATGTGTAGCAGATGGTGGAACGTAGTTGTTTGAAGGAATTTGTTGAGGAGGATTGACGTATGGAGGTAGGGTGAGAGTTCCAAAATAAGGTAGCACGAATGACGAAGGAAGTAGTTTTATATGAGGGAGTATATAAATCTATAGGTTGAGACCGGGTATTAAGAGAGTAGATAGAGGAACGTAGAGTAAAGAGTTCCAGGATGTAGGGAGGACTTTTGGTTCGAAGTACTTGGAAAAGGAAAATACCAAGGTGGAATTGTCGTCGGGAAGTAGAATAAAGCAGCTTTAACTCGGTGTACCAGAATGAAACATGAGAATGCCTGGGGATTCCGAAAATGTATCTTATGAAACAGTTCATGAGTTTCTTCAGTCTCATTTCTAGCCTGGCAGATAGCCCTCCATACACCAAGCAACCGTAGTCAAAGTAGGGGAATAAAAGGGAGGTTACGAGGAGCTATCTGGTTTTTAAAGGAATACAATCACGGAATCTTAGGGGTTGTTTAAGAACAGTTATGAATTTTTGGGTAATCTGGAAGTTACGGTTATTCCAGGAGAGAATCTGGCCAAAGGTTACTCCTAGGTTTTTGACTGTTGGAAAAAAATTGATGTTCTTTATTCATGTAATCTTGAATGATTACAATAATCTAACAAGCCAGAATTTTATAACAAAGCATTAATTTTATTCCATGGTTGTTTTAACTTTTAGTAAAATTAACACATTTTGGTAACTGAAAAAAGTTTGATAAGAGATAAGAATATTTTATTGAATAAAAATAAAACTTAAAAGCATAAAATAACAATGAGAATTGAGTGGCTTCATATAAAAGACGGACTCTGTGATATTCAGGAAGTGGAGAAAAGGCCAATTCTTGTTTTATAGGTTCAACAAACTATCTCGGACGATTTTAATTAAGAATTTTTAAGTTGAGTAATCACGGATATAAATCATTAGAATTGGTTTAAATTGATGCTATATTATGAAAATTTACTTTTTCCCAACTTTTTAAAAATTACAGATGTCCGTCTTTGATATGAGGCCACTTAATTGTTTTATTGGAATGATTGAAGAACCAAAGAAAAAATTAATAAAATAAGAATAATGAATATTAATAGAATAAACAGTAATCATTTCTGTCAGAAATAATAATGAAATATAAGTAAAACAGGGATTATATTCAAGAAGAATCTAATGGAAATTAAACTATAAAAAGGTGTGAAATTAAAATATAAGGTACAAAATGTATATTCATAATATGTATTGTACATTTCGTCAGTCTAAATATGAAAACATACATTTTCATTTTGGGCTATTTTATTATTATCTAAATTTTACTAACCATCACAATAGGATGAAAAGTTAATTTTTAAAGCTTTTTTTGTCTCTCCTGAAAAGTTAAGATTTGTCAGTTGTGACTGAAATTTTGAGAATGAAAATATATTCATATATAATTATTGAATAGAATAACATAGTATCGTAATTCCATAGATGTATTCTATAAACAATCACTGACACAATAAGAACCTTTTCTGGGTTAATAGAGCCCCCGATATGATATAAATAGGATAGGTATTATCAGTAAAAATAACATACATTATTACTATTAATGATATTTTTTTTTTTCTAGCCTGTTCCAACAAGTATTTTACAATCTGTAGGCCTCTGCTAAATAAGAGGTCTAACTTCCCGCGGGGACCAGCCGTAGTGGGAGGTAGGGCCGAGATTCGATCATATCATCTTTACTTTACTAGTATAGCGCGCTAAACACTCTGCTATACCGCTCATGATAACTATTAACTAATAGTTATAATTTAATAATTAAATTAATATTTATATTGTAAAATTTCATTACCAATGTTTAAAAAAATGTAATAATGAATTCTAGTAAATACTTTTAATCACAATTTTAGATCAGAAAAACTTCATAAAGTGAATATTAAAACCAAAATAAAATGGATGAAAATTCGAACCATTTCTAACTTCTGAGAATACGTAGTTAACTGTTAACAGAAACTTAATATTTATTTATTTTAATATTACTATACCTCATCCATGCCTGCAAGTCTTGTAATGACTTTATAGGAATAACCTTGATTAACAAGAAATCTTTGTCGCTTCCTGGAATAGCCCATCTCTATGGTATCTTGGGAAACCAATGTATAGAAGAAAGCATTGTATTCTTCAGCAATTGCTCCTGTTAAATTAGAATAACAAATAAATACATATAAATTTACAATTCTGTTGTTTATCATAAACACATAAAAAGGTCACAAATCATATTAAAAAATCTGCAGTACTTCTGGGTATGTCCCAGGAGGGACTCCAGATGTTGGGGTCAAGCCACATCTAATGTAATAGAATAAATAATTACATGCCACAGCTGCATTCAAACCCAGGATTTGAAGCATGGTAATATCCACTCATGTAAAGCACTAATTGAAATTTTAATTAAGTCAATTATGGAACATGTCAAGAAAATTAACAGAGATTATATGATAAAACTAACCTTTCTTTGCTCTAAGAATTCTGCCCAGACGTTGTGCTTCTTGTCTTCTCGACCCTCCATGTGAAGAAATTTGAATCAATACATTAGCTTCTGGTAAATCAAAAGATGTATCAGCAACCTTACTCACAAATATTGTGTTGACTTTCGGATTAAACTTAAAATTCTGAAGTATCTGAATTCTTTCACTCTAAAATGTTAACATAAACTAATTATAATTTTCATAAGGTTATATTAAAAAACAATACTCAAATCTCTTTGCTATAACTTGTATGCTTATACCAGAAATTGAAACTTTTATTGAATTATTAAAAATGTTCCGTTTTAAAAATAAAAGTTTTAGTTTACAAAAAAAAAAAAAATAATAGTAACAAAAAAGAGGCTAAGTTTATACATAATTTATCTTGAATGAATCCTCTGATTGTTGTATTTCCTTATATTTTTAAAATTTAATTTTTGATAGATGGATTCCTTGGACAATACTTTTGAACAATAATTGTTAATATCAAATTACTATAAAAACATGTTTCATTTTCTTCATAATCTTACAAATATAAGTTAAACTAATAGGAATGGAGTAAATATTTATATATAAACTCACCTGAGATGTAGGACCATAAATGTATGGTTTATTCATTTTTATAGCATAATGTTTAAGAGCAAAAACATTATCTGAGAAGACAATTGTTTTATCACCTCTTTTCTCATGGTATCGGATTAAAAATTGAGCAGCTCGGAACTTGTTTGGGTTCATAACATACAGCAACTAAAATAACAGTGTTTTCATTAGTTTCATATCAATGTACCATTCATTTTTTAGAATATTAATTTATTTTACTATGCATAGCACTAATTATTATTAATAGCCGTTATCAAATCTAAAATATAGTCTGTGGTACAGACCCCTGTTTATAAAATTATTAATATCTGCCCGAGACTTAGCAAATAGCTTCATCTCGTCGTAATCTACAATTATTATATTTACAAAAGTTCTATGAATTGGAGCATTTTCAATCTGGAGTTCGGCAAACTTTGTCTATTTAATTAGGTATTAAAAACTCGTATATACCCATTTGCTATCCACTTCAATTGCAAGATAATTTGAGCACAAAATCAAGAAAAAAGGGCGTCTTCAAAAATATTTAGTCGGTTGGCTTTACACTCCCAAAATAACAAGGTTATATATGCCAAACGGACCAATATTTTTGTAGGCTACCTTTTTTTCTTGATTTTGTGTTCAAATTATCTTAGAATCCAAGTAGAAAGCAAAAGGGTATTTACAAGTTTTTAGTCCCTAATTAAATAGAGAAAGTTTGCCGATATCCAGATTGAAAACGCCCCATTTCCAAGATTTTTCATAAATAAAATAGTTGTAGGTTACGATAAGATGAAGCTATTCTCAAAGTTTCAGGCGGATATTAATAATTTAATAAAAAGGGGTATGTGTACCAAGGACTATACATTTTCTCTAATTAAAAAGCGTGCAAATTAGTTAACAGAATGCGGGATACGAGAGCAATTTCTACATACCAAAAGTAAAAAAGAGCAAAGAAAAAATTAAAGTTTTTAAAGTCTAATAATAATAATAATAATAAAGCATAATTTTAAACAATTGCTAAGAATAAAATGGCATATTGTTACATACAGAAATTCCTATTTCAATTGTACAAAAACTTCCTGTGACGTACCAATTTCTTTGAAGTTCGACATTGTAAATACTCTTTATAGAATTCTGGAGTCATGGGACACCAAACTTCGGCACACTGGACTCTGGCTATGTAACCACGAGATTGAAGTTCTAACCAATTTGCTTCAAATAACTTTGGACCAATCAAAAAATTTAAATCTGCTATTTTATCATCTTCTCTGAGAAGAGTGGCAGTAAGACCAAGTTTACAGTGCGATTGAACAATGGTTAATACTCTTCTGAACATTTTCGCAGGAATCGTATGTACCTCTAAAAACATAAATAAATTAGTCAAAACATTAATGTAAACACATTTCACAAGTATTTGTTCATATGAAGAAATAGTTATTTATAAATATGTAAACTATGAGAAAATAAAAAGTGAACCCATTTCAATTTGTCAATACTAATATATAAAACAGTTTGATGTAGAGATGGTTGACCGTGATATAATATGAGAAGGAATTGGTCGGGAGTACAGTCTTTAAATTTAAAAAAAAAATAGAATTTTTAATTATGCCGACTTTTGGACCCATCTTGCAGGTCTTCATCAGGGCTATAAAACAGTTTGTTTGCTAGAACATAAATAACTTCAGAATTTAGTAGCCCAATTTTAAAACAGCATTTTAAAATTCTATCTAAATGTCTAGTTTATTGAGAGAAAGCTTTAGTTAGGTCTTATACAACTAATAGGAATTATACGTAACTATGCTAGAATATCTTCCCGTTAATATATCATTTGCAGTAAGTATAAATAAAGCACAGAGATAATCTAAAGTATAATGGAGTCGATTTAAGAGAAGACTTTTTTCCCCATAGATAACTATAAGTTTCCTTATCTAGATCAGGTTGGGGAGAAAACTAGTATTAGTATAAAGCTGCTTTATTAGTATAAACTTTATACTAATAATAATCTTATTATAAGCTTTGTACTATAAAGCTACCAAACTGAAGACATATTCTGTGGTCTTAATCATAAACATCCTTCCCTCATTCTATAACTTATATTTCTTCCTACTTTTTTAAAGTTGAAAAGAAAAAAAAGATAGTCAAGGCATACGATGAGGTGGATGCAGCTTTGAAACTAAATTGGAAATCTGTGTCATAGGTTCCTGCTTGATAGCAAAAAATACATTACAGTTCATTTTTGGAAAACTATAAATAAATGTTCCTCAAACTAAGCACATTAAAAATATATATATATATTTTTTAATTAAAAAAAAAAACTCTACTAAGAAATTGTGAAATTCTAACTATCCTAAGGGAATGTACTTCCATATCTATTTAAACAACTCGATAAATAGACATCTACGATATTTAAACTTGAATTAATAGTCAAGTGCCTTTAATTACACATTACGCCTCCAGGCAAATAGAGTTCGTCCCATGTATTAGTGCATGTCAACACCCGAAAGTCATGAGTTTCGTTCAGGATGTGCTAGGCACCCGACTATTGCATCTAGTTTAAATATTAATTTATATCAATTACCATATCAATCTACCAAGATGTTTAAGTAAATATGGTAGTAGATACATTTCATTACGGTGGATAGAATTTCCCAATTTCTTAGTCGGATTTTTTTTTATAATTCAAATATTTTTTTAATTTTAACGTTTTTAAAATTGAAATATTGACAATTTATTTTCATAACATATGACCGCCTGATATTATTTCAAACCAATTAATAATCACAAACTTCAACTATAATATATTTTTTCCTCATATTTTGAGCTCAAATTATTTCATAACTTTCAAGGGATGTCACTGAGTGAACCGTCAAAGTTAAAAATCGGTTAAGCCATCGGCTAAAAAATACGTTACATACCTATTAAAGTAAAATACATTTAATACAATAATTTATCAGTGATTTCAGCTCAAATCCTTTCAAATCAAACTTAAAAATTGATCAAGCCATTAGCTCAAACAGCATTACAAAGCTTTCAGTGGGCACTGTGAACACATGATCCTCGTGTCGTTTCAGTTTCTAAACACTGACGGGACCTCACTGAGTAATATAATTTATAATATGAAATCTTGAAAACGATTTGATCTATCCAGCCGTTTTCTCGAAAAACTGTTACATTTTATTTATTTAGGAGTAAATATTTTTGCTCAAATTGTTTCAAAACACTCAAGAAATCTCATCGAATACTTTGAGCCATCAAATTTAAAAATCGATCTAGCTGTTGACTTAAAACAGCATTACAAAGCTTTTGGAAAATTGATTAAACATATTTTATTTAATAACGGGTTAATATTTATAGCCCACATTGTTTCTTAATACTCAGAGGATCTCACTGAATAATTTGAGCTATTTTAATTTTAAATTCTATGGTTGAGATTTAATATTACAACAAAGATACAGTAATGAAAAGGTGATGAGAGATTCACACCAGATGACATTAGCTGGTAAAAAAAGTACTCATTGGTAGCACAAAGAAATATATCGATAAAAAAAAATAAAGATGTGCTTTTATGGTAATGAATACTTAAAAAATATAAATTAGTTTACTGTTTAAAAATACAATTGAGTATGCAATAATACTAAACCATACCGTCTAGAACCATAATTCCCCATTCTTGTGTTTGAAGCCATTTCATAGTTTGTTCTGCTTCCCATGATCTCTTTTGAGTGTGAGTTATCATAGAATATGTTGTGACAAGTATACCGCATCCCATTGGTTTATCCTTAGCTTCAGAAGTGAATCGACAAATCATGCTATCATCAGCTAGAAATAAATTAAAATTTAAAATTAAATTAAATATTTAAAAAATAAATAAATAAAACATAAATAAACTAACCTGTAGACCACATTTTAAACTGTTGTTTCCATTGCTCTACTGAGACTCCAGAGTTACATAGAACAAGAGCTCTTTTTCTTACTGTACAACAAGCAGTGACACCAACTAAACTTTTTCCAGCACCTGATAACAAGTTTAAAAGCTTAAGAAATCAAATAAAGATCATGAGTGATTAGTTATTTAATAAAATGGATGATAAAATTCAAGAATTAGTTTGAATGAAAAATTATAACATAGAACATTGCACATAAAAACGTCAACAGATAAAATTAGCTTCCATAATATGCTAAATCTTTAATAAAAATATAGGAAAGTTTGTTTAGTTATCTGCTACATAACTGTTATTATCATTTATCTTATAGAAAAATGTTTCCTTATTATTGATTAACTGATTAATTAATATTGTAATTTTATTCTTACCGCAAGGTAAAACAATAACTCCAGATCTGGCTCGACCATTTCCAAACATTTTCCTCAAGCTCTTTTCTTGATAGGGTCTTAAGACAGCTGAAGGTTTTAAGTCTATACTAAAAATAAATAGATACAGAAATAAAAATCAATAATACTTCAACTTATTTTTAAATGTTTTATTATTTTAAGAATGCATCCCTTCAAAACTATACTCCTCCTGTTAGATTAATTTTGTAATACGGAACACAATAGAATATTAATGATAAAAAAAGATTATATAAGGATCAGGGTTCCAGATAAAACAATTATCGATAAAAGAAAAAATTAGCATCACCCTGAAGTTGAAAGTAAAAAGTTTATATTGTTTACACATCTTTTTCCAACAAACTTTTTATGATTTTAATGATCCTCTATTATTAATAAAAAATAAATACACCTTTCCTAGGTGTTTCCATTAATAAATTCCTTCAATAAAACAAACAGAACCTTTTGTTTTCAGAAATGGAAAATCAGAAATTTGATATTAACTATCATACATTTAAATTAAGTAATTTGTTATTTATTACATTTTGATAATATCGACACTTTGATCCTGAATTTTAGAACCTTAAACTACAAATGTTCTAAAGTTCTAGAGCAGAAGTTCTTAAAGTAGAGTCCATTAAATGATTTGGGTATTAATTTTACACCCTCACTTTTTGGTTATTATTCAAATCACTCATTTAATAAAAAAACAACATGATTAAGACTTTTGAATTTACTGTTACTTAGCTAGTTAGTAACATAACTAATTATCAACGTAATGACATAAAACACCTAGAGTCAGGATGGGATCTGTGAAAAAAAGTTTAAAATATGCCTTCTGATTACCTAAATTTAAGAAACCCTGTTCTAGCGATCTAAAACAGTGAGATAATGGTAACGTACTACTTCTGCATTTTAGCTTAGCATGATATCAATAACACATTTTGTTTATGTATTTCAGGCAGCAAGATTACTTACTTTATGTCTTGATTAACTGTGTCATTCCGAAAATCATACTCAGCCAGCAGGGGATACTCGAGTTCGATACACCTCTTTTGTATTACTTCTATTTTTTCCTGCAATATTAGATCAGTTTAAATGGTTAGTATCAACTATAGGTATAGTTAAATAATAATAATAATCTTTTATTTATTCTGGGACAAATCCCTTTAGAATAATTAACAAGGACAGAAATGTGGGCTTTTGAGCCTCAGATATATATACATGTATTTAGAAAGTTAGCTAATAGACATAATAGAGAATAAAGAAAAAAAAAAGTTATCTTCTAGATTAAATTGATTAAGAAAAAAAAAATGAAAGAACAATGAGATGAAAATAATTAATAATTGAAAATAAACTAATGATATATATACTTATTTACAGAAGTTTCTATTTACAATTTTAGAGGGACTGGATTGAAAGAAAGTGATTGAATAGACGGGATTTAAAAGTAAGGATAGTATTGGAACGACGGATTTCGGGAGGGATGGAGTTCCATAGGGATGAGGATCGAATAATAAAAGATTTATCGAAAGCAGCTGTTAGGTGGGCCATTATATATAAATCTGAAAACCGGGTATGGGTATAGCGGGAGTGAACAGAGGATTTAAATTGAAGGAGCTCGGTGATGTACGAAGGACGGTGGGTGTGAATGACTTGGAAGAGGAAGGATGCCAGGAAATACTTATGGCGGTAGGATAATACTGTAACTTGTAAAAAAATATGTTGAGTCAATGACCTTAATGAAAGTTAAAATAAAAAAGTTTCAAGAATTTGATCCACAGGTCATTAAAAGATTAGAAAACTCCAAAATATTAATCAAGATTCATTTGTTCATTAATTCTTGTGTTGAGCTCTACCTCATCTGGTGATTGCCAATATATAATTATATAGGCATTGTTGGAAAATCATGTTATTTTCAGAAAATTTAAAAAAAATTATTTTACTTTCCTATCTATACTAGGTAAGGAAAGTATTGCAATCGGGTCAAATTTCCGATACGTGGTTTTTGACGGATCTATACATTTCAGAGCCTCCTGAGTCCGAAAAACACATTTTTAGCCATTTGTCTGTCTGTGCCAAGATTTTCTCAGGAACTACTGAACCGATTTTGTTGCTTCTTTTTTTATTTTGTAGTTTTGACTACTGATGCCTGTGACAGAAATTCGGTTCTCCATGCGCAATAAATGAAAAACATGTTTTTCTATAGACTGCAGCGCGAAAACGGCTCTAATGAGGTAGTGAAATTCTCTACAAAACTGTACAAAAACCGTTCATTTTGGACAACAATTAACGAACTTACAGCTATTCAATTTCCAATGTACGATTACAGGTTCATATCCTGGTGTCAGAAAGGGGTGAATGAGAGAAAAAAGATGACTGAATGAAAATAAGAAAATCTGTTGCCCGCATCACACAAGCTTCACTATTTCGTCTACTTTACAATACTAAGCTATGGCAAAAAGGTTTTGATCAACAATATTAGAGAGTACTGAAATTTTTATACTGATCCACCTTAAGCCGGTTTACATTGCTTTAGTTTATCAAATAAATCGTACTCAAATCATTTCTTTGATCAATTTTCAGGAAAATAAATTTAGTTCAATTTTTTTTTTTTGTTTCTTCATGAACATATGTAAAGATATAAAAACTATTCTGAAATAGGTAGGAAAGTCGTGTGAGTGGACACACCAGATGTTTTAGTTAAGCAAGACTTTTTGAATACTGTGGCACATCTTCTCTATAACACTGCAATAGTATATAATTTCACTACCCTAGGTCACCAGAACTGATACAGGTAACAAACCTGAAACTGCAGAGAAGGTAACCATAGGAACCTTCACTGAATTCCATTAGGAACATTCACAATGATAAATTCTGCGGCGTCATAGTATTTTTCCTCTATTTTTTATTGTCTACTAATCGCCATCGATTGATTTTGTGCCATTAGTTTTGGTTTTAGTTGTAGTTTTGAAGGGTTCCTTCTCTAATCCTTATTCGATTGTGCTAATATCAGTATTAGTATTCATCTGCCCCACCCAATATTCATTTACTATATTGTTTCACTAGCAAACGGATATGTAAATAAACTAAAATGTAAAATTCAATCAAGAAAAGGAAACACTTGACAATAAACAGAAATATCTGCTCCTGGGAAACTACACAACTGTTTAAACACACTGATTCAAATAGCTATGCCTTGGTATATTATGGTGGAAATAACACAACATATCTTTGAAATTCATTAAGCAGTTATGATATGAAAATATGGAAAGGTATTATAAATATCTATTGCAGTGGATACAGTGGCGTTACCTGATTAACTTCAAATGAAACAGTACTTGTTTGATTATCTTCATCGTCTTCTTCATCAGCTTTATCCATTTTTGAGTAAAAATCAGATATATCTTCTGGAACTGCTTCTGCAGTTGTTACATCAGTTTGTTCGGGAGCACTAGTAATTGGCTTAGCACCAAACTATAAAAATAAAACCAAATTTGTAAAACAATATGTATGTTAAATATCTATTTCTAACTAAAACAAATAATTTTTTTGTTCAATTAAAATCTATGCCTTGATTATCTTGAGCCATTTTGGCCATGCAACATCTCGTAGCCTATCTTTTTAAATATACTCATTAATAGTAATTCACAATTAATGAAAGATTCCTTAAAATACATTCTATCTTCAAAATTATCATAGAGACATGATACATTTTTTTCTTTTTGTTTAAAATAATGCCAAGATATGAATATTTTAATTTCATTTGAAGAAATAAATTAAATTTATTTTTTATATGACTAGCATAGGTCTGGAAGAAAGATCCCGTTACAAAACTGGTCAAGTTATTTTCATTATTTATATATCCAGGGAAAATTTCAAGTAATCAATTATGCAATATCTAGCAGGCCAATATATTTTATACACAGTCTTATAGCTTTAGAACTAATGTCTCATAATCAAGGAAATGGTCGATAAATGCAGGGCTTTCATAGATCGGTGTCAACAAATAATAATCACAAATCTCTTATGTGGTAGTAGATTAGGTAAAAAATTACAAATAAATTAACTTAAATAAATAACAGTTTTCAAGCCTAATAGAAAATAACATGGTAAAACATATTCTAAATAAAACCACATTGCATTTGATAGAAATCATAACCTTGTGAAGCTTACTTCACTTGTCTATGAGCAGAATTCATATTTTGTCGTTTTCCTATGGATTTACTTATAAGTTCATATATAGAATTTTTTTTATTCTATATTTCACACAAAACTTCTTGATTATATTACAATGAACATTTAATAATAATAAACTTGTTAAGTAATATAATTAATTATGCAGGATTGCATTGAATGTTTATTTATATAATATGGGGATTTATTTATATAATAGGATATTTTTGTATCAATAATTATGTAATGTTGGAGGACTTTTTTTTTTTTTTACTATAAATGAATTTTAAACTGTAACACAAAAAAAGATTAAAGGGTAGAAGTGATCAGGTAAAAATTTTGTGTGAAATATAGAGTAAAAATAATTCTATGATTGGACTTTTTGCTTTTACTTTTACTCTGTATTACACCTTGGCCGAAAAATACAAATTAGCCTTAAAATGAATATGTGAACACCATAATGAATATAAGAAAGTGAAGAAAAGAAACCAATAAAAATATAGAACTGTACTTATAGATCAGGTTATACATTGATAACACCATAAGGTAACATTATCTTGTACCTGATAAGGCCCTCAATCTAATTCAAATATATAAATTTTTTTTTTTTATCATGCCAATGTCATCATAACTAAGAAATATGAACTATACTTACAGATGGAGCTGTTTTCTTTTCATCAATTTGGGTTATCAATTCAGCATCCCGACGCAGCCTACATTCTTGTATAACAGGATCCTTCAATAGTTTTTGAAGAACATCAGGAAATGGCGATTCGATAAAATATTTGTTATGCTTTAGCACTAATTTTACCTAAGTGAAAATTTGATTGAATAGAAGAAATAGGTACTACATAAAAATATAATAAATAATTATAATAAACAAACTTTTCCATATGAAAGTGTACACAGTTTGATGAATTCTTCAATTCCATTCGGAATAGTTGTTTTGCTCAGTCTCTTCAAATATTCAATGATATCATTGGTTTCTAAACCTACGCTAACAGCCGCATATAATGAATAAGCAGTCAGCTTATACTGAAACATGAATAATCAAATTATAAATCAATGCTTTAAAATAATAAAGTGGATATAAAATTAATAAAATAATAAATATTACCTCATGAATATGCTCAGGTCGGCATACTGGTTCTGCTATAGCTATCAAGAAGTCATGAGCATGCTTATAAACTGGAGAAAATGATTCAAGAAAAATATGTCCATTAGGTCCCTGAAAATAGATAAACAATATCTTCTTCAGTAATAGGGATAAAATTAGATAGATATAGCTAGCTCTGTTCAGAACATTTAGTGGATTCCGACATACGAAACACAACATAATATATTTCAATTAATATAAGCATTCTAACCAGATTTAGTTGTCATGATACAATAATCAAGATTAATTAGATAAATTGAATCTTGAGATAATTCTTTGAAAATTATAACTAATTATCAAACCGAATAGTTTGCTGAAAAAAAATAAGACTGTAATAACTCAAGAGCAGATTCGGATGAAAATACAAGTTTTATTTATAAGTTTTTCAACAAAAATAATTAGATCTTTACAGAATAAGATTTTATTTTATTTTGCATATTTGAAGGGTAATTTATTACATGTAAATTTGCACATTTGGCCAAAAGTATTGTTAAAATAATTTTTCTTCCAATTAAAATAGAAAATAAAAACGATTAAGGAGGAAATCTATTTTTTCTTGATACACATGAGTTGCTCAGGCCTATTTTGACTATCTGACTGAATAAGTTGAAGTTGACAAAAAAATTAGCTAAAATAAATAACTTATTAAACAGTGGGAAAAAATGTTTCTTTAACCTGCAAGTTTCTAGGTATTAAAGACGTTAAAAAATATGAATAGATAAAAGCTCAACTAATAAATTAAACTAGTATTACTTTAAAAAGTCTCATTGTAGATCAATTTTTATGAAGCAGTTGTTTCTTAATTTTAATGTAATATGGTATAGACCGTAGTACAGACCTGTTTTTAACAAATTATTAACATCTGCCTGAAATTTCATAAGCTGCATAACATCATAACCTACAAATATTTTATTTACAAAAATTCTCAGAATTGAGGCATTTTTAAAATGGAGATCATAAAATTTTGTCTCTTTAATTAGGTACTAAAAATTCATGAATACCCATTTTCTTTCCATTTAAATCATAAGATAATATTATCACAAAATCTAAAAAAAAAAAATGTGGCCTACAAAAATATTGGGGAATTTGGCCTATATAACCTTTTTATTTTAACTTATTCGGGGTGTAGACACGCCAAACGGATAAATACTTTTGTAGGCCACCTTTCTTTCGATTTTGTGATCATATTATCTTACGATTCAAGTAGAAAGCAAATGATTATTCATGAGTTTTAAGTACCTAATTAAGTATACCAAAGTTTGCCGATCTCCAGATTAAAAACAATCCAATTCTGAGAATTTTGTAAATAAAATATTTGTAAGTTACGATGAGATGAAGCAATTTACGAATTATCAGGCAGATGTTAATAATTTGATAAAAAAGGGTCTGTACCATGGACTAGCATAATTACGAAAAGAGTATTATAAATACTAGACATTTATATTTAGATTAGATTAGAAATTTCACTATTTCCATTGAGAATTAAAGATTGTTATGGCGCAGAATAAAACTTGAATGGGACTGCTAAATGTGAGATATATTACAGTATAATCTTAAAACTTAGATTTTCAGAATAAAATATTAGTGTCTGGAAGATTAAAAAAAATAAATTACCACATATAAAGGTCTATTTCCAAAATCACTTTTAAGTATCAGCTGTTTTCTATAATCTTTGGCTCCAAACTCATCTTCCAGACCTACATCACTAGCTTCTACATTTTTCTTAGCTGCATCAGGTACTCCATCTGAAAACATAACAACCTTTAACAAACCTCAGTGGAAAAAAATAAATTTAAACTAATGTTCCACCATTTTTAAGGAATAAAGAAACACCATTCATTTCTGAGCTAAAGGGAACTTTTTTAGTACCTTGACACATAAAAGAAAACAACAATGCTAACTATATAAAAAAAAAAAGTTAACTTTCTTATTCTTGATCCTGTATAGTATGTAGAACCAAATACTTGGTCTATGGTACCAATTGACAATGTGGAGATCGCTGTGAGAGCTCTACTAGAGTAAGTGGAATAATTGGAGGAATTTGATGCTCTGGAGGCAATCAGAGACCTATTTATAAATAAACAAAATACCACTTTTATGAAAAGCAGCAATAAGACAACTTTAGCAAGATGTTACTCATTATAAGAATGTTATAAAATAACTTAATTTTTTGCAAAAAAGTTGATATTCAATTGAATAAATAATAAAATGGATATGTTCTTAGCAATAGCGGATCCAGGATTTAATTTCGGGAGGTCCCGAAAGCTTTTTTTTTCATAAAAATAACGATAATTACTTTGGAAAAAAATAAAGAAACTAACTACCTATATGAAATGGTGTTTAAGTGATCCCTAAAGTACTTTTAAATATAATTACAAGAACAATAATACTTTAAGAGATAATTTTTTAATATTTTTTCCATAAAACATGGTTATATTTTACCATTTTGGGGAGGGGGGGGGGCCTTCAGCCAAAGCCTTCCCCCTCCCCGTAGATCCGCCCGTGATTCTTAGTAAAAGGAGGCATGGTGTGGATAAATACTTTTTTTTTTAGCAATAATTTGATGTTATTCCATTGCAATACAGTTATCGCTCAATTTAAGAATCAAAAAAGCCCCTACAGTCAGGCCCGGGGAGAATCATCATTTTGAAATATCATCAAACACTTATCACTCAAATAACAAAAAAATTCTCTGGAGCGAGATCTGGTGCAGAGGGTCATCAAATTTTGAAAAAACCAAACATTTATTTTTGGATAAATAAGAATATTTGTAGTCAAAATAAAAATATATACTAAAGTGAAAGTAAAAATAGAAATGATTTTAATTTGACTTTGAAGTTCTAATTTCAAATTTAATTTTTGTTATACTTGGTCCATTGAGTATTATCAAACACCTGATAAATACGAGTGAGATAGAAACTAAGATGATGATAGAAAATGAGATTGGTCTTTGGAGCCCCACTTCTGAGCGGAGCCAATAACCGAATGTCAAGTCTAAACATTTCCAACTAGACACTATACTGTCCATTTTGGGGTTGTTTTGAACGGCTCTGGGTACATATTAGTTTCTGTGGAACAGCTCCACCATTTTCTTACTAATCCTACCACAACTACAAAAGAGTAGAGATTTATTGTTGAAAATATCATAGTGGCAAGGAGATAAATAGCTAAGAACATTCAGAATTTTAAATCATAATGATGAATCATATATTTCTTTTGGGTAATAGTTCACAAATGTCATGCCTTGTTAACAAATGGATCAAGATCACAAGATAATTTCCGAATGTGGTGTAATTGTTGACAAACTCGTTCATGAGTGGGCTTGTTACACACTCTCAAGTTTACAAAAACACAAAGAACTTACTGGAGACAGGTCGCCTCTACTTACTTCTATATATGCTCACCTAGCTATATTTGGGAATCTTTGTGTGCTCGATGTTCTCTTGACTCATCTGTCAACCAAACATGACAGTTATGACCTAGTGAATTCTTTTGTTAACACCCTTTGTATTAGAAAATAATTGACAATTCACATGGTCTTTTGGTCTCTCTCTACTTTCTGATTATTACATTTTCCCAAAATATTTTAGCACCTTTAAAGTAGGATTCCATAATCACAAAAAACAAATATTTTTAAAAATTTTATTTTAAGTTTGATTAACAAATAGACATATTAGACAATTGATACATTCTGCATATATGTTGGAAGAAAAATAAACAAAAAGAACTTTTTTTACTTTCTATAACCAATTTAGGTAATATTAGACAGTTATTAACTACCTTCAACATTTACATCGGTAAGAGTATCTTCATCAAATACTTCTTCTTCATCTTCCTTCTTTTTCCTTTTACCTTTTCTCTCCGCTAAAATTCATAAGTTATTATTAAATAACTAAAACATATAAAACAACAAAAGTTTTAAGGGCTGTGCCAACCATAATTACTATCTTTCTTGTATCTTTTGGAACCCCCGGCCATTATAAATTACCAATGCCAAGAATAATAATACTATACACTGAAAGGTATTTAATTATGATATTGTTTTCAACAGAACTATCAACATACAATCCTAAACAACAGAACTGCTTGATAGCTCTAGACTGGAGGTTACATAAGTTTCCAGTGAAGGTTAACATGGAAACCATCATAGCCAGAGAGGTGTGAATCGTGGTCAATAAAACTATCAGAGGTTTGCTCACTCAGAAATGCTTGGTGGAGGAACATGAAACGTGACGTAAGAACTAGACCGCCAGACCTACCTATTACTCTTTGAAGCCTAACAACAAAGGTTTATTTCAACATTATTGTGTTTTTTTTTCTTGTTTAATTTAATTAAAAGAATACTTTTCTGTTTTTTTGACGTTTGACTAAAGATAGTTTCAAGTAGAAAAATAAATAAATGCTACTAGCAATCTAGAATAAAATGCTATGAATTTTTTAAAAGATAAAACGCCAATATGTTTGTGTAGAAGGGTGATACTTTATTTAACTTTTATTTTATTTCTTTTTTAGGGAGGGTTTAATATTAGGATTACTTATGACATAAAAATTACAAATTTACAAACATTCGTAGAAAGAAAACACGCTTCTTTATAATTTTGTATTATTTTAAATTTTATTTTGACTGTTTTGGTAGCAGTCGTTACCACTAAGTGATAAGATGAAGAGATAAACAATCATTTTATAAACTTAATACTGCCAAAGTTCTTTTTTTAGTAATGAATGAAATACTGTTTGTAGTGATTAAATTAATTGTTTTACAACCACACATGACACTGCTATAAATTTAAAAAAACGGTGCTATCATTTCACATCATGTTTTATATTTATTTCAATTATTTAAAAAAAAAATGTGGTATTTTGCATTTCTGAAAAAAAACACATACCAACTTCTAAAATTACATTTTGTTAGTTTGTTTTAAAATAAACAAAATATCAAATGAACCTTTCTCTTACTTTTTAAATTTATTAATATTAATAAATTACTAGTATATTATACTTTAAAGTATTGATTTCATGTAGTAAGGTAAATAATAATCTTAAAACATCCAGAAACAGTGGCGGGAGAGGTATTATCGGTCTAGTGGGTACGTCAGAGCTCGATTCCTCCCCACCATTTTCCCTCTGTGTGAGGGAACCTGAAAGTTTTATTGACCTTGCCCCTAACTAACTTCACAACCTGTTGTTTTGAAAGCTCCGTTAACGATCGTAAGTGTTCAATGATAATACGAATGTATATTTTTTCAAATTTCAATTTGGATGTACAATGGATTATCTAGAGTTTAAAGACCATAAGGTATCACCAGACCAGTTTTTTTCATATTTAGATTCAATAAAAAATTCTAATACACCTATTGTAATTGAGAATGGTAAGTATGATTTATGTAATATATTAAATTCACTAATTATATTATCAAGGCAAAGATAATACAACCCATATCTATTTTTTCTGTAAGTTATTGTATTACTGAATCTTGTATCTATCCATTGCCTATGATTGTCATTTTCATTAATTGTAGGTGTATATAACATGTTAAAAACAAAATAATACTAAAATTTTCTATTTACAATAATATTGTAAAGTTGGTCATAAAACTGATCAACTGCAATGTTTGTAAACATATATAGCAGTGTCATGTGTGGTTGTAAAACAATTAATTTAATCACTACAAACAGTATTTCATTCATTACTAAAAAAAGAACTTTGGCAGTATTAAGTTTATAAAATGATTGTTTATCTCTTCATCTTATCACTTAGTGGTAACGACTGCTACCAAAACAGTCAAAATAAAATTTAAAGTAATACAAACAATTTAATAAATACTAATGTTGTGAGTTTACAAATAAGTCATGCAGTAAAAATTAGACTCTTAAAAATAAAGAGAATGGAAGGATAGACATGATAAAATATAAATAAAAAATAAGAGTATTTTATAATAAATCATCTACATCTGACTTGTAATGATTGAATGTAGAAAATTTATTATTTGATATTAGATAGATTGTAGCCCCGTTTTGTGAATATAATAGATATTGAGAATCTCATAAAATGGTTATAAAAGCTGTATTGTCAAATTATTAATATCGTAAAGAAAAACCAAATAGATCAATCATGAAAGAAAAAAATGATTCTGCACGTGGTTGTTTGTCTTTAGGTTTCCACAGCCTAAGAGTACTAAGATTCAGCCACACTTGAAGTAGTGGAACGGCAAACAAGGATTGAAAAGAGGGTAAAGGCGATCTCATCTGCAGGCAATTACCAGTCCCTTTCTTGTCTATGTTACCAAGTTAAAGAATTTTGGAGCATATTTATTAATTTTATGTGTTAGTTCTTTTATAGAATTTTCTTTAATGAAATTTTCACCTAATTGTACAATTCTCATTATCCATTGAACACAAATTTGGAAAGAGATCATGGCCATTGCTCTTCCTAGATATCATAGATATAAAAAAGTAGTGATTGAAAGCACATTGTTTTCTTGAAAGTGGTATGTTCGTTGTCCAGAAAGCCACGTGTATAATGATACACAAATTGAAATACACTGTCTGTGGTATGAGTCACTTTCGATAGATCATTTAAAAGGCTACATCCTAAATCTTAAATGATATTGGATAGATGGTTGACTAGTAAATAATTGAAGAGAAGTTGGTTAGGTTTTTCAGTCAAAAACAATAAAATTAAATAAATATATTTTTTTTTTTCTCTTTATGCCGACATTTCAGGGCTAAGCACAGACAAGATAACATATAATATAAATATTGAGCAATGATAAACAAACAATAATAGATATAAATTAAGCAAGTATAAAGTAACGGTAACACAGCAGAGATTTATAAAATATATAAGACAATGGTAACAAAATTGGAGGCTTATGAAATACTGAAACAAACTTAGTAAATTAAAAAATTAAGGTAATAAAGTGATGAATTAAACGATAAAAAATTAATGAAATTTACAAAGCAATGAAAAATGAAATATATAATAACACTCTGATATCTATAATTAAATTGATTAATGAATGATGCATAAAATAACAGTAAAAGAGTTAGATATTTAGGAAATAACGGAACAAACTTAGGAAGTTATGAAATAAAGTGATGAAGTAATATAAACATAAAAGAAAAAACTTATTGAATTTAACAAAGCAATGAAAAATGAAATAACAGAGAAATGAAGTGGAATATTAAGAGATACAAATCATAAGTGCTGGAAGTAAAATGAACAGGATGACAGTTATAAGTTGATTTCTTAATATGTAAAGAGGAAATGATATAGTCATAGAATAATAATGAAAAACAAAGATCTGAAACTTAGGCCGAAATGTTGCACAAAGGGAATACAAATAAATATATTTATTTAAGTTTTTTGACTGAAGACCGTAACCAACTTCTCTTCTATATCTTAAATTCTTGAAATCTATCACTCATTGTCACCAGCATTAGGAAATAATGAATCTTATAGGAGGTATTTTGGAAAACTATTTAGAATGAAAGATTTCAAACTGAAGAATTATATACAGCTTTACTAATTTAATTCATACCTGTATGCTCACTTGAAAACATTGATTTTTGTTTGTATATAAACAGCTTCTCTTAGAAATTGTGTAATGATAATATGAAAGGATTATAACAATACAAATGGTGCCGTTTTTTTGCTAGTTCAGATTATTGACTTTTCACCAGGGATTGGAACTTTTAAATAGTTCCATTTTCACAGTTTCTGTTAAACTTTTTAGAAAACAATTTCTTAAAATAAAAGTTCTTAGGAAAGTTTTTGTTATGAAGTTCTAGATTTAGTGCATTTATTTAAGCTCTTAAGAAAAGTTCTGTTAAATGAAAAATAAACAATAAATTAAGCTAGAGTAATCATTTGTCTTAAATGAATTACACTAGATTCTAAAGTGTCGTTTGTTTGAGTAGTTAAGAATAAGTTATTTTTTAAATTGACTTTTTAGCGAAATTGGTAGAACTTTTAAATACAATTTTTTAAAAAATAAAACTGCAAAACTTTCACTTGAAAAGTTACAAAGGAAACAGTTCTCGTTGCAAAAGAATTGAAAAAATATCAACAATAAACATTTCAATGATACAGTAACTTTTTAAAAAAAATAAAAGTTTTTTTCCCTTCAAGCCCTGCTTTTCGATGTTTACTAATTCTTGGATAGTATTATTACACTGAGTAATAGATTCTATATTTATATTGATTGTTGCTGCATTTTATTTTTAGGTTCTTATAATTGTAGAGTTGGTTGGGCCACTGTGGAAAAACCTCTCATGGTTTTTAAAAATTGTCTTGCTAAACCACGCAAAGAAAGAGGAAAGAAGGTAATACTAATTTTTATACAAATACATTTATTATTATTATTATTATTATTATTATGTACTAATATATACAATTACAGGATGGTGAAATGCAAGTAGGAAACGATATTGTAAACATTGAAGCAGTGAGGTTTCAGTTAAAGACTCAGTTTGATCGAAATATTGTTACTCATTGTGAAATTCAAGAACATATTTTTAATTATATGTTTTCACATCTTGGAATTAATACAGAAACTGTCAACCATCCTATCATTATTACTGAAGCTTTTATGAATCCAAATTATTCCCGTTCTTGTACGTTTATGAGGAGCTGATTATTATTATTATTTTATTATATTGATTTGAAAATATTGATATAAATTTGTTTTAGGTATGTCAGAACTTCTTTTTGAATGTTATGGAGTCCCGAGTATATGTTATGCAGTAGATTCTGTTTTAAGTTACAGAAATGAAAGTAAAAATGGTAATACCGGCCTAATTATATCATGTGGATATTATTCAACTCATGTGATACCTATTATTGATGGTGCGATTGACGCCAAACATTCTCGAAGACTTGATATTGGAGGTTATCATATTACTTCTTATTTGCATCGATTGTTACAACTGAAATACCCCGTTCATTTTGCTGCAATAACATTAAGCAGGACAGAGGTATGGATTATATATCTTTTTAATGATACTTTGTCTAGATGTAAATTGTTTGACTATATCATTATTGTTTATGTTCCTCATTATCTATTTATTATTGATTAGAAATTGGGTGTACAATCTCTCACTGAGAGAATTGATTCTAAAATTTAATATTAAAAAAGAATATTAAGCATTGAGAATGGTCTAGAGCTGGCAAAAGGCTCTCATTTGAAGCAAGAACCTCTACTAAGATTAAATGATCTTTAATATCAGCTAGGTATTCTTCCTATTTATGTAACTTAACAGGCCTTAAATGCTTAATGTTCGAAATTTCTTCCTGTAAACTACTTTTAATTTGGTTTATTTTAAATAATTAACTGTCTTTCATCGTCAGTAGCAATAAAAAATGGCTGAATATAAACTATGAAAACATTTGATAATTGACTAAAGAAGGAAAAAAATGAAAAATGTTTTTTTCACATTGAAAAAGAATTTACAGAAATAATAGTCGGAATATATATGTTTAATATATCGTTGAAAAGCTGAGGATTTTAGAAAAAACTATATCTAATATATACATTCATAGAAGGTAATGGAGAGTACAAAAGAATTATAAAAACTAACATCAAATTGACCTTTTCAATCAATGGAAACCAAATGTTTTCATGACAATTAAAAGAAATTTTCTAAGTAAATGGACACTTTTAAAATTATTTTCAAGTTTAAAAAAAAACATTTATAAGCCAATGAAAAACTTTGTTGTTATACATGTGTAAAAGAAGAAGTGAAAAATGAAAGTATTTCATGGATGAATAAAACATATGTTTATAACCTTAGGTGCATGTACTACAGTTTAATAACATTAGTTCCTATATTAGAATAAATTATTAGGTATTTGTCGTCGGTTTATTTTGAAAATTCATTATTTGCCATAATAGAAAATTAAATTAGTGAATAATTTAATAAATTTCTCCTCTATGAAAATGCAACGGTATTCACTTAAATTAGAGTGACAGCTTTTGGAATATCGATGGTAGGCAATGAAAATTTTTTAACTACATTTTATTCAATTTTATGAGAGAAAAATAATAGTTTAATAACATGTATGTTATTCAGATTAGTTCCTATAAGTTTCACTTTGTAAGTATAATCCTTACTCATTTATAGAGGAAATATGTAGATTTACTCTCAAATTGCTCTTTGTATATAGAGCTCAGAGGCGAGTTATTTGATTCAAAAAGACCGATGGAGATTTTTATTGCTTACCGTCGGTATAATAAATGATCTTAATGAATTTTTATGGTTATGAGGTTTAGATCTGTTAAAAATTCACTTCAAAAGCTTTGTAATAGTTTAACTTTGCCAGAAAATAGTTTCTTTTCAAAGTAAAACGGTAAGTGAAAGTTGTGTGATGCGTGCACCCAAATTGTTTTTATTGATATTTCTTTAAACATATTGCCGGTTTATTGTAAAAAGTAATTGAATGACATTTCATAACCTCAAATAATTAAGAACTTCGATAAATGCTGCCTTCGTAAAATCAGAAAATTGTGCAATTAGTTTAACTATAAATGATAAATAAAAGGGTTTGTATCATTTTCATGTATTTATAGTGTTTTTGTTTAGCCAAATCAGGTAAAAAATCATATTTGAAAATTAACCTGTATCAAAACTGCTCATAGTGACTTTTTGCAATTTATCAACTTTCATTTCATGAGGCATTTTGTAAAATTGATTGGTTAAAATTTCATTTACTGTCAATGTATAATTTGTTATAAACAATAATGCTATTTATTAGTGCTGTTTTTCTTTTGTTTTGTTTTTTTAATTGTAATAAACAAGGTGATCATTTTTTTCTCTAATTAGTTGTTATGAAATTTGTTATTAAATAACACCTATCTAAAAATATGTAACATAAACTGTAAGAGAGATAGAGTCTAAAGAGAGAGAGATTATAGTTAAGGTAGGTATACCAAGATACAGGTATTTCTCAGTAATATTATTTGGGCATATAATGCTAGTGCCACATTTATCATCCAGTGATCTAGGAATCTCAATGATGTCTTCTTATTTTGAAAAATAGAAAGTAGGCCTAATTAGGAAGATTTTATACACTTCTTCAGATAATTCACTTGGAAGAAAATGAATATATTTCACAAAAAAAATTAGTCGGGGGTGCAGTAAATTGCTATATATTATAATAGTATATTTTGTTGTATTGTCCAACATTTTTTAAAAATATTCAATCGTTATAAATTTTACTAAACGTTTGACAATAAAACAAGATATAGTAAATTTTTTTTACTGCACCCCCGACTAATTTCTTGTGAAATTGAATCCACGGTCAACCACCTCCCATGTCATTATAAAATTAATAAACATCTTTGACTATCTTGAAAGTAAAATTAGAAAACTTAAGGAGTGTACAAGATAAAATAATAATACGATTATTCATGAAGCAATTTAGAAATAGACATCGCATGGACATCGAAGAGTCGAGATCTCTCATTCTGCAAAGCTCGACTCATCATGTGTGACAACTTTGAAATTATGTACAAATCAACATATCAAAATTAAACATGGAAACACATAATGCCAGTCTTGCAACGGCAATACTTCCTAGGTGTATTCCTTTTTAGAACCTTTTCAACCAAAAAACTCTATTACCTTCTCGATTTGTTCACTCCTCGTTCCTCTGTCCATTTGTTCAACACGAGATCCCAGCTCTCAAACCTGTTTATTCCTTCTTAAAGAACTGTTTCCTTTAAAAAATCCTTTGTCATGAGTTGAAGTGGCTTTATCCTACTTCCCGACGACAATTCCTCCTTGGTATTTTCCTTTTCTAAGTACTTAAAACCAAAAGTCCTCCCTACATCCTGGAACTCCTTACTCTACATTCCTCTATCCACTCTCATAATACCAGGTCTCAACCTATAGATTTATATACTCCCTCATATAAAACTACTTCCTTCGTCATTCGTGCTACCTTGTTTTGGAATTCCCTACCAACCTCCATACGCAAATCCTCATCCTTGCCCTCATTTAAACATAACTTATTTATCCATCTCCTCAGCAGTCAATCTTCAGAATATGTGTAAAATAATGTTCACGTTTTATTCAGATCTGTCAGTCGCATTTAATGTTATCCAACAGATAATTATATATCACCCATATTTTTTATGTGTACAAATATTTAAACTCTCATATCTGAATTTATCTATGATTTCATATGTCTATCAGTGCCTTTTCTTTATTGTAATCTTAGATCTAAACAATCATGAAATTTAATTTATTCCTAATGCCAGAGGATTGTCATTTAATTGTACATTGTAGTTATTCTAAGGGGACTTGGCCCCAGAATAAAATTTATTTTCCTTCTTCTTATAATGTGGGTTTGGACGGCGAACGGTGGAGGGAGGGGAGGTGTGTAACAAGCGATTGTCGGCATCGAACCTTCGGGTTCGCTAAGCCTTATTATTATTATTATTATTATTATTATTATAATGCCAGTTTCATAGGCTACAGTGCTCCCCTCTCTCTTCAGGTCTATGCAAATTTTCATACATGTATTGACTCCCTATCCCACAACATTTCATCAGTTTCATTACCATGAATAAGAAATGTTTCATAAACATTGGTATCCTAGAATAGAAATTTACTAGTATTTTAACAAAAAAAGTTCCATGGTATTTTGCATTGTAGTCAACCATAGATATCAGATATCAACATATTCTGAGGTAGGCAGTATACAACTGCTACTTTTTTTTTTTATATGCATTATGGCAGTTTCTGAAATTTATGCTGTAGATAATTCAGATAGACTGATCTATTAATCATGTAGTTACTGATATACTGATGAAATTATAGACATGATATTATAGTTAGGCAGTATCAGTCTATATGTTATTTATTTAAACACACGCCAAGTTTATTTACTTATTTAACTACACTTAAGTGGCTCGAGAAGTTTGAAAAGAGATTATGTGAGGTTAATTTTTATATATATATATATATATATATATATTTTTTTTTTTATTGAAATCATTATTCTACCAATCATATGAAACTGATCAGATGGGCTATTGTCTACGTTGAAAGCAAATAGTAAGTTAAATATGTTTTCAGGAACTATTACATGAACATTGTCATGTGGCTGTTGATTACTTGGAGGAATTACGAAAGTGGTCTGATGGCGACTATTATGATCAAAATATCAAGTGTTTTCAGCTTCCGTACACATCACAGTCCAGTCTTACTCCTGAACAGCAGAAGGAACGTCGCAGAGAGTTGGCTAGGCGGCTTATTGAAATAAATGCTAGAAAGAGAGAAGAAAAGGTTAAAATTTTTAATTATTGTTTTTTCTTTTAGAAATTTTGTGTCAATATTATTTTTATTGAAGAAAGCAAGACTGAATTGGAGTTACTTATATTATCTGTTTAATAACAAATAGTTTTGTCTCCTCTATTTTATAATGGAACAGAGTTTATCAAAATCAACTCGGCATTCTAGTTTTGAAAATTTGATTGAATTTTGTTACTTTACTGCTTCCTCATTACTGAAGGTTGGAAAGCTTTATCTTTGCACTGGAAAATACAATTTTTTTGGTCCTCAAAATAAAAAATTTCCAGTCGCATTTTACATTTAAGACATCAAGGAACAAATTTAGTACCGTGTCTGTTTCTGAAACCATATGACAAACTTATTCCATATTACTGTTAAACCGATTTTCAGAGATAGTCGTGTTGGTACCTTGACGGTCTCATATCAATTTAATCAAATTCCGTCCACTACTTTTGCTTATGTACCTGTAAATTGATTTTATTTTATCAATTTAGTTTGAAGTTGAGAGATAAAAAGATGCTGCATCAATTTTATCGCATTCCATCCTCTGCTTCCACTTGTGCAAAGGCTTTTTCCTAGATTTGGCTAACATTAAAAATAGTATGTCCAATCTGGTCCAAAGTCGAAGAGAAGTTCGGTACAGGTAAAAATAATGATCAAGAAGGTTTCAATTTTATAAAATTAATTTCCTAATACCTAATTTTGGCATCATGATTACGTTGTAATAAAGCCATAGGCCAATAGATTACTAAACTCTCAGCTTTATTTCATAATTAGACTTCATTTTGGTTCGCTTGAACCATTCTGATGCCCATAAATAGTATAATTTTGTTAATTTAAATAAAAACAACAATCGCCTTATAAATATACAAAGACAACAGTTCAATACCTTTTTCTCCTCTGTTTCTCAACTGATTTTCCGTTTCTTTTCTTGTTTAGTAGCTGTTGACAAGCTTTAATTTCATCAAGAAAAAAGTTTTGGAAACAGGAGAAAAATACTTTATTAAAAGTAATTCTACCTTACTACATAGGATTGCTTTGTACACAGCATACCGATCAATCACATTGGACATTGCATAGCACTTATATTACATTATTTTGTTATCATATATATGTTTTTCTTTTTTCCCTCCTTTTCTTAATACTGATCTTATAAAATATTATTAATATACAACATTAAACTATAACTATTACATAATATATATTTTTTCAATTAAAAAACACCAAACTTTGAATGCTAGAAATACAATGTTAAAATGCACACACATAAATCAACACAATTTCATGAATATAAGTTAAATAGACTAAAAATTGTAATTGAATAAATATATAAATAAGTAAAAGATAAGAAACATCCTCAGTTAATGCTCAATTACAATATAAATGAGTGTATGATTCCCAGAGAGTATAGAATGGTGTTTTTGGCCAATATCATAAGTTCCCCAGTGTCAATAGTTCCTTGTTCGTTTTGCGAAACCTAAACCAATGGTCTCTTTCGGTGAACACTCTCTCTGAAGGTCTCAGGAAATTTCTCTTTCAGGGAAAAGATACATTTATCATAAATGTTCTTATTTTAAGAACAATAATGTTCTTCTTTTAAAACAATTATTCTCGATACAGTTCTTTATGGGTGCGAAACGTGGCCGTTTATATTAAAGGATGTCCAATGTCTTGTCTACGCTATGTATGTCTACGCTAACTGTACCTGGTTAATATAACAGAGATGATTACATTCATGAGAATTAAATGGGCATGTAAAATTGCTGACTGGCAAACGTCCGAGGGGTTGACCAAAGCGAAAAGTGGGAAGATTGCGTTTAGGCTAATCTGGTAGGGTTGGGTTTGGACGGCACACACTGGATGGAAGAATGTAGAAATTGATTGGTGGTATCGTCATTCAACCTTTGGATTTGCTAAGCCTTATTATTATTTAAATTTAAAAAAAAAAATAACTTTTTATAGACATGAGAATTTCTCCAGTCAGCTGAAATATAGTCTAATTATGAAATAATGGTGAGAGTTTAGTGATCTATTGGCCTATTAATTAATTAAAATACAAATTTATTTATTTAATTGTTAAGAATATAATGACTGAGAAATGTAGAAATGGTTTTTAATGTTATATTAAAAATAAATTACAATGTTTTTAAATTTTATTTTTATTACAGCTTGCTGAAGATGAAGAGCAACTGAACCAGTTGTTGGCTATTCAAGACTTACAAGATGAAGGGGAGGAAACTGAGTTTCAGGTTGAAAGAAAAAAGATTATATTACATTTTTCACCATAAATATAATGAAGATTTCCTATTCCAATACATGAGGCACTCAGACTGTAAATTGATCAAGTCCATGAGTCATAGTTTTGACCAATCTTAAATGTTATTAATGCTAAGTATTACCTTCCGTTTTAAAGGAAATTTATTAAAATATTCTACAATTTTCTTTTCAGTGTTGTAATCAATAATTACATGGCAACAATTCAAAAACAATAATTAATGTGGCTTGATCCACTTTGGCCCTAAAACTTTATGAATGGTTTTCAGGGGTAAAAAAACTATTATCATCTCTTAGAAAAAGAAAAAAAACATCAGTAGCAACTTTGTTCACCCTGGCTATGATAATATATATCATCAACAAATTCCATAACAAATAATTTGTTTTTAAACTTTAGAACTTGATCCACTTTAATACTGAGTTCTTCATAAAAAGCACTTTCAGTTATACCTTTTTTTAAGGTCTGTTTTAACTGTTCAGTCGATAATTTGTCCAATATTTAACTTTAAAAAATATTCTATTCATTTGTAATTTTAATTTAATAAATATTGAATGAATAAGAGCTCCGAACCGAATTTAAAAGCCAATCTGTCTATTCTGGCTTGAGATTAAACCTTTTGATCCTACTTTGGTTAGGCATCTTTTAGATTTCGGTATTAAGGTATTTTATCAATATTAACCTGTCAGTAGAGAAAAACAGCTTATCAATAAAGGCTAAAAGATCTATAAATATTTATATATATTAAATAAAGTACATAATTTATAAATTTATAGATACTTTATCAATAGAATCAATAGAATTATTTTTCATAAGTTTAATTAGTTCTGCTAGTGTATTTCGTTATTGATTTTAATTAAAATGTATAAAAACATATGATCTATGATAGTCTCATTATTGACACACATGAGTGGAATTTAGTTCTACTTTGAGTAGTGTTTTGTTTTTGTTTTTTCAATCATGATAAATCCTTGTTCTGTTGAAATTAATCTTTTGTATGTTGTCGGAGTTATTTGGATTGAGATAGATTTTAGTGTGAAAAGAAGCAATTGCAAACCATGGACTGCAGCATGTACTGTTTAAGATCAGTAGCTACTCTCTTTTTTTTAATGTTTTTATTAGTTAAAATCATGAAAATGGCTTTTTTGGAGGGGAGAGTGAGGTACAGACAAAAATAAACAATTATGAAACATACTGTCTAATATGTACCGACATTTTGTTTTTAGTTGTAGACATTTCAAGAGGATCGACATTATTTTATAATTTTGAAGTTTAGAAGTTCTTTTGTTATTAGTTTCACTTTTATTTATCATTTAAACAGATGTTATTATGAACCGGATATATTGAAATTGAAGTTCTTATAACATTTTATTTTATTAAGGGTTGAAAAGCCAATGGATACATATTTCAATTTCATCTTATGAGAAAACACAGTTTAAAAATAAAATAGTTTACAATATTGTAGCAAATTATTTTTCTTTGAGACAGTGGTGGTTGAGTATGTCAGTCAGTAGCAGCACTGGTTTTGAAATTAATTTTTTTTTTTATTAAAACATAGAATGAATCTTGGTCTTCCCTCTCTAAATAGAAATAGGTTCGTTACCATTGGATCATTTCACCCCTAGTTGGATGTCATAAGAACACAGAATTTTACTGTAAGCAAATTTTTGTTAAAGTATATCAAAATTTTTGTAATACTAATTTGGCTTTATAGTTTTGTCATTGTGTGAATATTCTTTTCAGAAAGCTGTGTCTGACTTTGGTTTAAACAGTTGTGAAGATCTACCAAAAATGATTGGACAAATACAAGCAAGAATCGAAAAGACAAGACAAAAGATTGTTGCAGCCAATACATCTGAAGATCCAATTACAGAAGTAACTTATTTTTTCCTTATTTTATTTTATATTTTTAACAAACAACTAAATCATAATTTCATTTAAATATTAGACTTGTTCATTTAGTACAATTTAATTGATAGGTTATATTAAAGAATTAATATATTTTGAATTTAAGTAAATTATTTGGAACATAATTACAAATTATTTCTGTTTTGTAATGGTCAAAATAATGTTGTTTTTTAAAACTTTAATTTAATAAAGAAAGAAAGGTTATTTTCAGACTAAATACCAATTGTGGTTTCATTAGAAATCAATTCATAATTGTGTTGTGTCTGGGAAATAGAAATTAGGATGTCACACTATACATTTTTTCACATGCTACATTTACAGTTCTTTCGATTTGTTAAGACATTTCAAAGCAGTTGTATAATTAAATTTTGTTAAGGATGAAAATAAAATAATCAAAGGCTATAAATAGTTCATCTAGGGATGGTCGATAGTCAATAGTACTATCGATAGTTCGTATCCTACTTTTAGAGACATATTATTTTCAAATTTTATGTACTTAAAGGAATAGATAATAAAATAATGTAATAGTGAATTTTTTGATAATGGAAAACTATTAAGAATTGTTACATTAAGAAAATAAATGGGTAGAAGTGTGAATGCGTGTTTAAAGCTATTTTTAACAAAATAAAAAATTGAACAACAACAAGCCTTTAATGTAAAAAGAATACAATCTCAAATTATTTTCTTAGAAATATTTTTAAAACTGCAGTTGTGCCGATTAAAAAAAAATGTTACATTTACCTCTCCTTTCTATTTTTTTTTTTTTTTTTAAATTTACAAAATCTATTTTGTAATCGACTATATTTAAAGTCTTAATTAAAATATTTTAATAAGTCTTATCCAATCAAATTTAGAAGATCACAATCTTGAAAATTAAAAGACATATTTCTCACTTCTATTTTTAATCAAATAATTAAAACGATGCTACATACATTTAGTTGTAGATTTTCTTGTTTTAATTTTACATTTATGGAGATGAAAGTAATTTATTTATGAAGAGAAGTTTGGTTGGGGCGTTCATTCAGTAAAAATAAATATAATACCTCTATTTATTTTAACTTTTTTTCTGACTGAACACTCCAACACAGAAGATTACTCTTCAATTATTCATTACATTCAACCATCAATCCATTATCAAGTAATTTATTTTTCGATTTAAATTTATTTTCCCATCAGTAATTTTTGCAATTGTTTAATTCTGTACCCCGGAGGTAATAAAACCATATCCATTTTTATATTTATTCAAGGGAACTAATTTTCCATAACTTGAGCTATTGAAATTTGTTGTTTTTTTTTTACTAAATTATTTGATGAAAAAATGGACATGGAGTTGTTCACCTTAAAAAAAAATTTTTTTTAGTGCCTTAACTTCATGTACCCAACATTATTGTTGATCGTTGTTTTGAAGCTTATACAGCATTTTAAAGTAAATAAATAAAGAATTCAGCAAAAACAAATTCCCCTTAAGTCTGTGGCCGAAAGCTACTAAACTATAGTTGTTCGTTGTTGTTTATAGGCGTAAAACCTTCATGTCATCAACACCACTATCGATGGTGGAAAACTCTATCCCCTATCACCCATCCCTAGGTTCATCTAAATCTATATTCAACATTGGAGATAATACAGTTTTATTAGTTATTAAGTTATTAGTTTAAATACTGTTATCCCTTTTAGCTATCCCTCAACTTGCTACCACTAAACAATTTCATCTTAGCCATTATCATAAAAGCATATAATAGTTTTTATAAGATAAAAATTAAAAAAAATTAATAGCTCCGAAGCTAAATAATTTCTCAGCCAAAAAATAATCCTAAATTTATATTTCACTGTGTACAAAAAGTCTCACATTCTAAAACTAAGAATTACTGTTTTTTCAAGGTTTATTTTCAATTTATCCTCTAAAATTTATTTTAACTTAGAAACTATATTTTAATTGGATATTTTTCAAATATATGAACATTTAAGACCTTATTTTTGCTTTACTTAATGTGGTTTTTCGCATTGTTATGGAATTTTCTTCATCTTTTAAACATTTATGTGTTAGATTTTCCCGATTATACAATTTTTGAATCCTTTAAAATTTAACAGTATATACAAATAAAAAACTAAAAGTTTGAGAGTAAAAAGTTAATTAGGAATGCCTGTGGTGTATTAAAAATGCATTAATATTATTTTAAATTGTATTAGTTTAATTTTCTTTTTGAATTTAATTATTACTATTATTTTTATTAAAATATAACATTATTTTTAGGAGCCAAAACAGAAAATTATGAAATTTCAGACTCCTAAAGGAGAAGAAGATTTTAAAAGTTGGGTAGAAGGAGTTAGAAGGAAAAGGTTAGTTGTTAGAGTTTTCTAAGTAGTAACATTGTAGACTATTTCCATAGGTTTTCATATAGATAAAGAAAAAAGGTTAATTTTGGTGGAAGGAAGAGTTGTTAATATTAATTTGATTTAAATAACTATATGAAATTAAAATGAAAAATAAAATACATTTGCTACAAAAGTAGGACAAGCTAAACAACTACAACATACAAAATTAAGATTATAATTCAAAGAGACTCTGATTGCTTCTTCACAATAAGGGATAATGATCTCACTGTAATAGTACACATATAACAAATGAAGTTAGATTGATGATGACATCAACACTATATCATTAATAGCGAAGCACACTGAATAAATTGAATGTAATATTAAAAAAGAAATAAATAAAAATGGGCAGACATTAACTCACAATGAGGCTTGAATAACAACAAGATTATTTTGGTAGCAAGATAGTAGTACTCATAGGTGGCGGTTGCTCCTTGTAAGTACCAATCAAGATCTGCTATGAATCTTCGATTGATTTCAAATGAATACTATTTATTTATTTTTTCTCTTTGCTTTACAGACTATATAAATCTTTCTGCGTCTTAACCAGCCTATCTGGGGGTATTGATTTCCACTTTTCTGCATCTGACTCTGTTGCATATTTGGTGATTCGATCTATCCATCTATTTTGTCCTGCTCTGTGTTCCTTTGCCAATTATTGAGGCATCCATTGTTGTGTAGAGGCTTCTCGATGGATTATAGCATATACATGTCCTGCCCATCTTAACCTCTTTGCCTTCATATCATGAGATATTGATTGTCCAGTTTCTGTAAGCAGTTTACTTAGTTGGTTGACTACCATTTTGTGGTTTCTGGTCTATATAAACTCTGAATATTCCAGTATAGTCCGTGATACAAAGCCGGGGTCATTAGGATGTTAAGACGATTCGATTTTCAGAAGCTAGTTTCAGGTTCTGTAATAAGTATTTTTTTGTTTGATTTATGTTGTTTTTTATGAGGTAGGGTTATTGCCCTATGCTCAACCTTCAACCTGGAGGACCAGGAGATATGGTGTAAGACACAGGGGTGCTCCCTGTTAATATCTGGGTGGGTCCGTTAATCGGTTAGCACATGCACTTATTTAACTATTTATATAACAAACATAATTTAATTTTGAATAATGAAATTGCACACTGCTATTTTTTATTGGTTATTTTTTCAGGGAAGAAATTTTAGAGAAGAGAGCCATTAGAAGGCAAAGAAGGTCAGACATGGCTAAAAGAAAGACTGCGGCTTCATTTGAGAGAATGAGACTGATTAGCCAGTTAGCACGAAATGAAAAAAGGGATGATGACTTTGGCTTAAGAGATGAAGATTGGGATGTTTACAAAGCTATAAACAAGGTAATTTGAGTCCATTGATTATTTTATGTATTGTGGATTACGTCGTGGTAAAGATGTATTTGGACTAGTCCTTACCATGCTCTCTGCAATATTTATGTTTTATAGGAAGGAGATGGTCCGAGGTGGCGGTCATAAATAGACTAAAATAGTGGCGAAAATATTTTATTTCAAACCTATGTTTCGACCCGACTTTGCAGGTCTTCTTCAGGGAGGTGTGTTCAGCAAGGAGTTTCACTTAGGACTGGCTAAATGTTGGCTTGAAATAAAATAATTTTGCCACTATTTTAGTTTATTTATGGCCGCCACTCTGGACCATCTTCCTCTAAAATACAACGGTCAACTATTAATATTCATTTATGTTTTATGTGTAATTTTCACAAATATCCTATGATAGCTACATAATATATTATGAAACATTCGTTTGTCATCATACATATGTAGAGAGAAATACATGTCATAATTGGCTCGAATATAGTCTTGTATATTAGCCTCTATAATAATAATAATATAGTAATTTAATAATAAGAAATATAAATAACAACAACAACACTTTAAATAACAAGATAACTGCAGATGGCGTTCCGCGTCGCTCACAGTACCAAATAAATAAATGATAATAAATATCCATAATTAATGCCTAATTACCATATATGTGGTGATGAATGATCCTAAGGGAGTCCAGAATAATGCTCTTGACCAACACTGCAAGCTCCCCGACGTCAACACCTAGTTCCTCAAAGAAGCTCCTTGTTCTTTTAGAAATCGTTCCGCGAGATCCAAACCAGAGGCCTCTCACGGTGAACTCTCTCTCTCTCTCTGAAGGTCTCTCGGAATTTCTCTTATAGGAAAGGGGTATAATTATTATATATTTCCTTCTTTTCTTTTTCTTTTTCTACTTCACTGACCTGATTGAGGTCATTGCTCTCATAATTAGACCAGTGCCGCCTTTCCGGTCCTGGAGAATACAACTATATCCGCATATCTCGTTGATTCATCACTATCGATACTATACACCTCGTTGAAGCATGTGAATTCCCTTGTCCAAAGGAGCCTCATAGACTGAATTTTACCCTATCGTGCCGGCGTGTTATGAGGAGGGAGTTTGTTGGGGGCATTTTCCCAGCACATAGGGTGGTATTTCAGACTCTCTGCCGCATTTGAGACAGGACCCAACTTTCTTCGGCTGTTCACTGTAGCAACGGTGCATAGTTGATGTTAAGTTTTAAGGTGTTGGACCATTCTGAACCCAAAATTACTTGTTTCTGGCATATATATTTATTAGCTTTCGGTATTTCTTTAAAATGCCTAACTCCAAAGCCTTGCCATCTGCAACTGGCCCATTCTTGAAAAGAATTTTCTCTCAGTGACTGTCGTAGAGCTCTCACGCTTCAGTAGCCCTGATCAACACCCAGTATCTCCTCTCATTCGTCGATTTTGCCCTTATAATCCAATATAGACTGGAACAGAGCCGTACATTGGACATTCGCTGGGCAATGGACCAATGTTGCAAAGGAACCTCCCATTGACAGAGAATAAGTCCTAATCCTCGATACCTCCTTGGTGCATATAATATCGCCGATGTTGTATTAGCGGGGAGCCTCATGATGGCCTTGATACTCCTGTGGATATTTACGTCAATCCCCTCCAATAATGCAGGACGTATCTTTGTAAGGGGCGCTGTCTGGAGAATGTAGGCTAGACCTGGGAACACATATTGATTGGCAACATTGATCTTTTGCTCCTGTTTAATAAGGCAAGAGCTTCCCTGTTTATCCAAGTTGTCGTTAAATTTTTTCAACTTTTCCTCATTCATCACTAGCTCTCCCGAGAACGTGCATCCTAAATATTTTCCAGTATCATCTGCCTTTGATGTGTGGATGACTTCTCCGTTCTCAAGGGAGAGCTTTGTTGCAGCTCTCCTTTATCTATTATTAGGCCTACACTTTTCTTAAGATTAATAGCCAGACGAATCTTGGCAAGGATCCTCTGAACACAGTTCCTCTCTGCAGCACCCTTGTCCACCCTTGTGACAGCCTGGTCATCTATGAAGCCTGTAAGGACCACACATTCTTGGTAGCTGGTTACCTTGTATCCATAATACTTGGAAAAGTCTTGCTCAGACAGGTCGCGGCATAGATGATCAGTGTTATAGCAAGGTTGAACAGTGAAGGCGACAAGGGTTCGCCTTGGGGTACACCTTGCTGCACTTTGATCCAACTCATCGAATGGGCTCCTACTCCAACTTTAATTAAGTTAATACCCAGGAGAGCCGCAATCATGTCTTTTAAGTCTAGTGAGACCCCCCCTTGCCTCCAGTGAGCTGATGATATGGTCGTGACGAACCTTGTCAAAAGCACCAACATATAATGTAATATAAAATATCTTCTTTTTTTTTTAGGTTATATTTTTACTCACTAATTTTCATTATTTACTTTGTTTTAGGAAGGTGGGGATACAGATAGTGAAGGTGAAACAGAGAAACTACTAGAACTCGAACAAGTTCTCAAAGCACATGATCCAAGTTTTTGGAGTGAAGGAATAGAAGCTCCCGGTGAAACACACAGGTTATTTTGAAATTTTGATGTATAAGAATAGAATAGGGAACAAAATATAAGCAACAATTTTAAAACAAATTGAAATTAAAATAAATTTAATATAATATTTAAAATTAAATTAAGTTAGTATGATTAATACTATTAATTGAACTGCTGATTTTTTTTCTCATTTTTTGATTTTAAACAGTTGAAAAATTATTTCATTCGGATAAAGAGTTGTGACCCATTAAGTCACATCTGTAACACCAAATTTTATCTATAAATTTTAATCTTTCTAACTCACTTTGGAAGGGTTTTAGAGGAGCACAAAATCTTAAAAACTGGGAAATTCACACCAAATATACAAGTACAAGGGAAAAATATATATTTTTCATCATAAATACATGATTTATGGTCAATTTAGGAGCAGACCCGATGGGTTCCAACAGAACTTAACACTCCTGATTATTTACTAAGTACATTAATTACCAATACAGTATTTATTAAATACATGAAAAATAAAAAAAATGCTTAAAGAAATAACCATCTACTGAATTGTTGAATTTAAAAAAATAAAGAAATAGGGCAAGTTTCTAAACTCAGTGCTGAACTTATCGATGGCGTAATTTCGCCCAGTGTAAAGATGAGCCGATGTCATTGCTTATTATTGTATTATTATGAAAACCTTATTAGCTAAGAGTCTTCCTACTATATCCGAAGTGTCCAAGAGATCATTTACTCATCTTATCTATTTACCTTTTCGGTTGAATTTTAGTTCGTCAAGACTAATATAAATATAAATATTTTAATTTTTAAAACATAATCACATAGTAAGTATCCTATAGCAACTAAGATGCAGTCGGCAAGTTTTATCTAAAAGCAAAAAACCCTTTTGAGCTTTAAAGTGCAGAGCCCGATTGGTTCCTTTGAAACTATACTGGTTCTTAATGACTGTGTCAAAATCTTCAAATTTATCTTGTCTTCATTCATTGATTTAGAAACCATCTGTTTTGAAATCACCCAATTTTTGAAGTGAAAACATCTTTAGGCACTTTTTTGTGGAGAGTGAATTGGATTGAGTGTCAGATTTCCAATGTGTAACGCTCAGGTAAAGTCGGCTGGGGTCGACTAGTTGAAGTGTTTTTTCATTTGGATTATAATATTTCAAAAACTAAAAATCGGACCTACATATTGTTAGCAGGAGAAATGTTCATCATTTCATCTTCTTTGTAATGAGCTATTATTCAAAATTTATGTAACGCGTCGCTGTGTTAGAGAGGTGAAAAGGGAAAAATAGTGCCGAAAATCAAATGATAACGAGTTTTATTGAAGATATGGATTAAAATAACTCTGAAACTAAAAATCGGACCTGCACACTGTAAGCAAAGGAAATGTCTAGCATTTCATCCTCTTTATAATGAGCAATTATTTATAATTCATATTTCATGTTATTAATCTCGTGTTGTTGATGTTTTCACTTCTGTTGTGTGGTTTAAACCGGACATCTCAGTTGTTTTGAATGACTTTTATTAGAGTTTTGAAGGAATTTAAGGATCAAAATTGGATTTAATCATTTCTCTATGAAATTCCCTTTTGTTTGATACCTTATTCATCGCTCATGAGAGTCGGAAAAGTGATATATACTACCGTATTATTCACGGTATAGATATGCATTATATTTCTTTGATATTTTTTTTTTTACTTATGTTTTAGGTTACATGTTGGAGTGGAAAGGTTTAGGGCACCCGAACTTCTTTTCCAACCATCCATGTTCGGCTGCCATCAGGCAGGTTTAGCTGAGGTGATTGAATACGTACTAAATGGTTACGATGAAGACATGGCAAACAAATTGAGCAAGGAAGTTTTTATTACTGGTGGTTTAGCAAATCTTTCTGGATTGAAAGACCGAATCATCGCTGAGCTTACACAAATTAGACCTTTCAGGTAACTTCCGTGTCTATAGACCTCAAGTATCATTAAGTTAGTTTAGAGTTGGGGAGACAGGAAAAGGGGATGTGTTCTATGGTCTTACACACATATAATATTGCCAGTTTATTGAATAATGTCATTAGGTGCATTTTTGATGTAGGTTAACTTTCAAGTATGTATTTGTGTACATGTGAATGGCTGTAGTTGAAGGGAATGGCTATTAATGCTGAGAAAAGTAAAGCAATACTGGTAGCGCTAACCCGCAATGGGGTACTTCTTCGATTTATAGATGCGTATGAGTACTTGGGTACAATAATCAGCAAAGATGACAAAGTAGATTACGAAGTACTTCATAGATTGAAAAGAGCGAATGGGATATATTCTCAAATACATTTCACAGTCATTGGAAAGAAGGAAGTAAGCAACATGACAAAGCTCTGGCTATTTAAAACAGTATTCCTTCCAGTTTTGCTGTATGGAGCAGCGAGTTGGACAACCCTAGACCGGCTGAAAAGGATTAGAGGGAAGGGAATGGATTTGTAATGAAAGTATCCGGGAGAACCTCGGTGTAACGCCTGTTGGAGAAGCAGAGCCAACTGAAATTGTACGGCCATGTGAGATGAAAGATAGATCAAATGGTTGATAGAGATCAGACCAGAAAGAAAGCACCCACATGGAGGCTGGCCAATGAAGGATCTGGTGGATGATTGTGACAATTTGAAAAGATGGACCGAGGCTAAACCTCCACATCTGGTGGCAACTTGGTGTTAGAGAAACAAGAAGAATATATAGTTACACTAACTGCACAATGTTCTGTTTTCACTGAGGAAAAATATCTAGTGCTAAAAATATCTATAATTTTATGGAATATTATTTCGTGACTTTTTGCAATAAAACCAGTATATATTGGAGTAATGTTTGTTGCATAGCCTAGGTTTTGGCATACATTGTATATCTCCATCAGGGCTTTTGTCCAGCAATGCTGTGAAGAACCAATGGAATTGATTAGTTCCCTTGGTTCTTCTGATATTTATGGATGAAAGCTCTGATGAAGACCTACACCGTAGGCAATCCAATAAATACTACTCCAACATATGTGTATGGCTGTTGACCACTGCCCCCTCTCCGACTAACTTCTCCTTAAATTAGAACTACGATTTTCATGTCATAATTTAATTATATTACTTCTTCAATGTTATAGATCTAAGATAGCAGTTCAAGTAGCCAACAGTCCATCCCTTAGTGCTTGGTACAAAGCCAGAGATATGGCCAGAAATCTATCTTGGTTAAAATCGTCCTCGATAACAAAGGAAGATTTTCTGGAAAAGGGATATGAATACCTCAAAGAGCATTGTGTTTCAAATCCTTACACTTCATCGCCGGCACCCATCACACAAATTGAAGGAGCTGTTCATAATGCACCCAGTATTGTGTCGGAAGAGATTGAGATTGATGTTATATGAAGTACTATTATTTATTTTATTTATCTAGGGTAATGTATTTTTATTTAAATTTAATTGATTTATATGCTTTGTTTTTAATAAATTATCTGCTTTAATTTTTTAAATATTGGATAATCCTTGCTCCTTTTAAATTATTTTTAGGTTTCATAATAAAAAAAAAATATTAAATTTGTATCTGACTTTTCTAGCCATATATTGCATATTTAAACATAATAGTGTTTGCCCAGTATCCAAATTCGACCATTATCATTTTTGGAAATTTGAGGAAACCCTATATGAATTTGCATGCTTCCAAAATATTTATTTCTACTTTAACAGATTCTTACATACACTTTTATATGTACTTACAAAATAAAAAATTATGTGTACTTTTTGAGTTATTTGCAAAAAAAATTGTGAGTCCATCGTTTCTTTTGTTACCCACTTTTCAGGCAAGCATGATATATACATAAATTAAAAGAGCTTCAAGGAGAAGGCTAGCATCAGTTTCTTCAACATCATTGCAGCCGTTTTGGAACTATTCTACAGCGACACACGTTTTTTGTTCACCATTTTGAAACGAAAGGCAGGGCAAACGAAAAACAATTCTGAATTTTTTTTTTTTTTTAATGCGGCATGAGTGCACTGCGGCCATGTAAGCCTATTTGTAAACCTTATTTAAAATCACTCCTGTTTAGAGCATAATTCCTGCAGTTTCAATGAACCGTAGTAAACTTGTTGGGTTGATAAACTCGTTTCGACTTGGGATCAGTCACCCTATCAGAAACAGTCTAGAGTGAGTCTGTTTTTTCGAGCACCAGTTCTTTTTAGTTTGAGCACGATACAACTCCCCGATTCTGTTTGTTATTAGACACTGACTAATTCCACAGATGGGTTCTGGAGCTATAGATATTTGTGAGCCTAGTCTCGCTAGTTCATCTGCCATCTCATTACCATGTATTCCAGAGTGAATTAGATTTCAATGTGTATCAAAATTTCAATGTAATCAGTGAACAACTTTGGGAGATTAGCAGTTTTGAACATCTTTATTTTAATTTAACGTTTACATTTTAATTTATATAAACTGTTTTCAAAAATTTTTATTGATAACTCTAAAGCTTGTCGATTGGTCAAAAATGAAAATTGGTTGAGAAACAGAGGAGAAAAAGGTACGGAACTGCGTGTTTATTTATATAATGATGTACCACTTTCACATTAAAATCTTTACTTACGTATTGTAGAGATATTCAATTTTCTCAAATAGATTTACTTCTATAAAGATATATTTTATTACTTTGTACTAGAGTATATCTTAATATTTTAATAAATCAATATTGAAAATGATTTTGAGGCAATGATGGTTGATCAAATGTGTTGAAACTGAGTTTCATAAGCAATTGATCAGATCAGTGTGGTTTCAATTCCAAATTTTTGGGACTCTCGTTTTGGGTAGGCAATGTTTATTACAATTTTTAAGCTTACCTCACATGAATAAAAATAAATGTATCGAGAATAACATCTACTGATTTTTTAAAATTTTATTTATTTATTATTTCAAGAATTTACCACTGAATCAAAATTAATAAAATCATGGAAGATTGTAATCTAAGCAGCCAATGATAGAATACTCCTTGAGTCTGAACACAGATAAAACCCAAATTATTTTTTGAAAGTAAATCTTAGGAAAACAAATGAGTAATATTAAATTTAAATACAGTTAAGAAAATATCCAGGACTAACTCAAAGATTTAAACTCAAGGAAGTAATTAATGGAAATGTTGATAAATAAAAATTAGAAAAAATTAAAAAAACAAATTTCATCTGATCCTCATTGTCTGGAATAGACGTAATAGGTATTTCTATAAGCTTCATTAATTGATGTGTGCTTTTATAAAGAAGTGATTATTAAATAACACATAAAATAGTTTTAAAATAAATATATGCATAAAATTAAAAAAGCAACCATATATAAAATAATATTAACACATTAAAATGTTATCACACAATAACCTAAAGGTTCAGAGATATGTATAAATTTTTGTTGATAGTTAGTTTTTTTTTTTGTGTATGTTTTTTATCGGAATAATGGGCAACACCCTTGCCTCCCAAACCCACAGCCCGAGTGGAAATTCCAGACAAACTTTTAGAACCAAATGGTTCTGTTTCAACTAAGACGAATGAAGAAGGTTCCTCTTGCACTGAAGAGGAGTTGAAACCTCAGATTTTGGAAGGACCAACATCTGCCCTATGCTTATCAGGGCCATTATAATAATTATGTGTAAAATGTTATGTCTAATTGATTAAGATTAGATTATGTGTGAAACTTTTATGTGCCCTCATAGTTTTTCGAGATTTTTTTTTTATTGGGTAGAAACTGTTTTATATTTAAATTTGTTATTTTATTTATAAGATATATTTTCTCTATTTATTGTTGATGTGCTTCTGTGTTGGTTCCATTTTTTTTCCTAATCTGCGTTTTAGCAAACATGTGTTTACCTTATCGAATACATCAGTTTCTAAATGTTCTTTGTGTATAGTATCAACCAGATAAAACAGGATTTATTGTGATTATAAATAAAACAGAACTCTGATCCAGAATTAATTGGATAAACTGTCTATATTTTAAATTATTATGTACCATTTCTATAATCTTCTAAATTGCAATAGCAATGGATTCTTGTTTTCTTTTTAAGTATGATAAAGTACAAATTATTAATACAAAAGTTTTTACTTAAATTCTTAATTGTTTAAAGTTTAAAATTATACAAAGATTTTAATAATACATAAAGGTATCGTTATACATATAAGTACACTTTTCAACTGTATATAATGACTAGGATCAATCAATACTTATAGTTTTTAAATATACTGATGCTGATACTGATTACAGAAAGATGTAGTTAAATGCACTTATTAATAAATATATAACAAAGGAATGACGTTAATACTTATTGTTTCAAAAAAAAAGAAAATATAGATATACTGTTTAAATATTAAAATTATATCTTAATTAGACAATACTTCATTAATAGCATACAAATGTTAAACATTATTGTTTGTTTTTTTTATTACAGTAGTTAATTCTCCATGCTAGGTATGTGTTCCATCCTAGAGCAACAATTTGCACAAACAGAACTCTGAAATCGACAGGCAAACGGAAAGTTATCAACTGCACGGCTGGCCAGACTTTGTAGTTGTTTGTCAATATAGCAAAATAATCTTTTTTAAAACGATTACGGATATCTTCAATACCACCACCTTCCATTAATGTTATGCTGGTTAAAAAAGCACCTAGCATCGCAGGCGCCATTGCCAATTGGTCTAAAGTTGTTTTCTTTATTACAGTCTTGAAATCTTGTTGTTTTCCTACGACTTTATCTATAATTGTGTACCACTTATGTATTGTTGGGCCTATAACTGTACCAATTACTACAAACCTGCAATATATAACTTTGATTATTAGATATTGAATCATTAAAAAAATGTTTAGTAAATTTATATGTAACAAAAGGCCAAGTAATGGTAGAAAAGCAATAATAGTAGATTTTGGTAAAGAAATATCTAGATAAGCGTGTGAAAGAGAAAAAGATTCAGACTATTTTAAAGCTAAAAATAAAGTAATTGTCAGAAACTATGTTTAGATACATTTGAAAGAAATTCATTTTATAGGTCAACTGTTCTATATTAATGATGTAAAATAGGCAGAAGTAATTTCTATATTTTAAATTACTAGAACAATTCTTGTATATTTCACAAAGTGAAAGGAGAGGTGTGCGGAAAAGTTCATATCTTGAATAAAATCTAAAGATATATTAATGATTTAAAATTTTATAACTTCAGTAAAAATTGCAAAATCCGGGCACTTGAAAATGAAAAATTATTTTGAAACAAATATCAAATTATTAAAAGCAGTATCACCATTACAAATTTTAAATGCAAAAGATCAAAGATTTAGTGGTATAGAAAGACTCTTGGAAGGAGATAACTGAGGAATTTCCCTCAAGTAAAAAAGTGGCACTTTTGTAATTAATGGGATAAATAAATATGTAAGTATTATGGGAAGAGGAAAAAAGACAAAAAGTGGAAAAATATTTGAAAGAAACTTCAGAAGAAGATAAAAAGGAATTATCATAGGTTGTGAGGAAACTAATATGAAAAAGATGAATTATAACTGATTAGCATTGAAGTTAAATTAGCTAGGTAGGGTGGAGAGTGAGGCCGAGAAGCGTCACTTTCACAACTTTCATTTTAGCGGTGCCAATTTAAATCCAGCCAGGGCGGCTTGAAATTTATTTCGGGATGGACTTATGGAATGAATCTTAAACTTCCCATGGTTCCTTGAGCTAGACTGGCTTTTAGCCAGACGTTACGTCTTTTTATTTTGTTCAAATTTAAAATTATAACAACTCTTAAATTGTGGCTGAGGATGTTAAGGCATTGTCCACTTGAGCTTCCCAAGCCAGAAGCGGCATTGGTTCGAATAAAGCACAGGTTATTAAAATTTATTTTTTCAGAGATCCATGGAATAAATATTGACCTTTCCGTTCTAGCTAGAATAGAGTGGTTACTTCTAATTCATAGTCATACTAATGACAAACATCTGCCAAGCATTCAATAACTACCACAGCAAGTAATGTGGCCACTGCACAATACGGTTTATTGAACATGTTGGTGTTTGCTGAGCAAAGGGCTGTAATTGTACCCTCTTCTCAAAGGTTATAGTCCTTCCTACTCTTATTGGAGTACATCAGAAAAAAAAAAAATAATAACCTTTACGTCTACAACCCATGAAGGATCTTGCGTTCACTACTATTTAAGAAACGTACAGTTTCTTGGTCAACGGTTGTGAAAAGAGATGATTTGACCGAGATTATACTCAACTGCTAGGTTTTCCTCCTTAAATAATTATTTAATTAAGAGTATTTTATAGACACTGGGATGGATGTGCCCCAGGACAGTTTCCCGACACTCCAGGTTCAATCCACAGTCGATGAAACAGAATAAATAATTTATCTGCCATAAGCTGGATTTGAATCTGGGATCTTTAGCATTGAAACTCAGCGCTCTACGACTGAGCTACCCACTCCCATTTATTGTAGTACACAAGGTCATTAATTGAACACAGTAATAGAAGAGAAATAATCAATTAACTGTACTCTCTTTAAACTGACCGAGACTTCTCTGGATTTATATCCATGCTATTTTATCAGTATTTAATTCATAAAATAAAATATTAATTTTATTATTACTTTTTAAGTTGATGAAAACCAAGTTTTGGGGAGGATATTTGGAGAAATCAATTATGAATAAAAATTAATTCACTTGATAAAAATCTATACTCAGCTTAGTATAGTTTCTATATACTCTTGGTATAATTTAAGAGATTACAATGATTGGTAATTTGGAGAGAAGCACCCAAGAACGGCCTTTCAAAGAGCTGCTTTTTAGGCAGCCCTTGAAGGTAGATTGTTGAAAGAAAACTTCGGAGATGGATGAAAAATCTGACAGAGCTAAATGGAACAAGCTGCGGAATGAGGCTTAGTCCTTTTAACGACACAAGTGCTAATAAATGAATATATTATTATTACATTAAATTTATGAATAATATATGTTCATGGAAATGTTCTCTGTATAAATAGTTTTTACTTATGGAGTGGAAGTCAAGTTTGACTATAACGCAGTATAACATAATATCTTTCATGTATTTAATTTAGCTTTTCTTTATATGATTAATTTGCTTTAATAAAATAGCATGTTTCAGGAAGCACTGTCATTCATATCTCTAATTCTATAGCACCCAATTCTGTCAAGAGCAATAGCATATATAGCCATGCTATATGCTATATTTGCACGATTGCTAAGTTTTTTAACATTTTTTTTTTCTATGTCTAGCCTATGAAATCATAATTGGGTTCAAAGCACTTCTGTCAACATCATTCTAAATTACCAAGAGAGTCAATTTTTTAATATTAACTAGTCAAGATTCAATGTTCCAAAAAATTGTATTCTATATTATGCTTAACATTTTAAATTTATTTGTGTGCTAGGTACTCACACCTCTGTAGAATAGATCATAGGAAGAACCTTAGGAACGTGGCCAATAAAATACATTTTTAAAGGTGAAAATGGAGAGCCAAGGTATTATGGGAATTCATGAAGGTAATCTTTTCTTCCATTAGTGTTTCTAAAATGTTATCCCTTAAGAGGGACAAGGTTTTTAAAAGGCGTGTAAAATTAATGTTCAATAACTTTCTAATTACATCAGTCTTAGCAAGAATACCTATTTCACACTCCTTGAATATTGATATGAAGTTAAAGAATACTTGTGATCCTTAGTATTACTCTAAATAATCGAAAGGAATGAAACAATAGTGAAATTTGGATACAGAATGATGAAAATTAGACTCAACAGAAGGGACTGGTTTAGAAGAGATGAAATCAAGGACTGAAATGGATAGAGATTGAGCCACAGATAATCTAACAATGAAGGGTGGATGCATTACAACAAGTTGAAGGCTTATTGATCAGACCCAGGCTTTTAGGTTATAGTTGAGCGATTCTTCAATTAGAATTGACAGTTTAAAGAAATTTCACAAATTGACATTTACTTTGATTCTTATGTCTTACCTCAACATTAATTTGTTTCTAATAAATCCTTATGTATGGCTCAGTTTGCAACAACAGCAAGTAGATAAAATCTATATATCATAGTACTTGTTATGCCAAGAAGTTGGTAACTTGTATCCATTCCAACCTATTCCAATTATGAAGTTTAAATGAGATAAGTCTGTGATGTCTGTAAGCTAGCTACTTATCATTCTTTGAGATTAAATTGGCTTATTGAGTTGAGTCATTTATTTCCTTATAATCTAGATTTGCTTTTTTTTTCATCTATATGCTGTCATCATCTTTAAAATGAGAAATAACGTCTTCAAATGGTTGAATAGTGTTCTTTTGCAAAGGAGACTCTTCATTTCTGATCCGATGCTTTTTCAGGTAACTGCGACCAGTTGTGATTCCGAGTCAGGCAACTGCATGATCTCGAGGAAGATTAGGAAAGATACATCCTTCTTACTCCAACTATATGCCCTACCTCACAATATTGAAGTGGTTAGTCAATACCCCTTTTACAAGCTTTTAGGCAAATTAAAAAATGGTCCATCTGCAATCTATTTTTTGTGAGCTTGTCGACCTCTTCATTACTATAAACTATAAACTTTGCAGTGACTGAAAGCCTTTGAATTGCTGATTTAATCTCATTTAATAAAAAAAAAGGAAATTCAAGTAAGTTGGCTCTGAACTATTTGGAGTAGTCACTTCCTGAGAAAATAGATGTATGGAAAACCAGGTACTCGAAGACATGGACACCCTAGAATGTGATGATTGTGGAACATTTTGACTGACATGACTGTTTGGAATCAGAACACGCAGAGCTACTGGTCCTATTAGACCAGTCTTGCAGGCTGTCTTAGAAGGAACCTACCGTAGGAAGACAGAACTGCCAAAATTGAATTGAACAGTTTTGTTTTAAATGTTTCTTATTTACTAATCACATTTAAAATTGGATGTAGTTGGCCTAACTAGGAACTCTGAATATCGAGTTGTTGCAGAAAAACAAATGATATTTGAAAAAAATTCTTCTTTTTTTTTGTTCTAAGAAGCATTGTTGGCAGTTTTCAAAGTATTTTAGCTGATCAAAGTTCAAGAGAAACAATAAGAGCTTAACAAATACTTTTATTCTTATTTTTCATTAGTTGTTAAAACATTAACGTTGTTAATTTGTTTTAAAAAAAAGTATCATTTTAATTAGGAGTCCAGAAATTATAAAAGTTTGTGTACTGCTATGGTAATGGAATATTATACTGGGTAGACAGCGATAATTTATTATTCGAGTTTAGTTTATAGTTTTTCATAATACAAACATTACATAGAAATAAACAGATATATCATAAATAATTGGTAAGTACCACAATAAGCAATAAGCATAAAAATGCGAAATACCTCAGAGTTCTTCTATAATCAATTGGGGTCTCATTCGGTTCAATAAGAGATTGGGATATTAAATCTCCCATACCAAGGAGAATTCCTGTTTGCACGGCTTGTACCTTATAGGTATGTGTTGTCAACAATGTTTTGTATATTCCATAAATTCTTGCTATTGTCATTCTGAAATTTAAAAATATTTTACAATCTCTGATACTCAACAGTTATTTTTTGTAATATAGAATTGATTATGTATATATATATATATATATATATGTTTAAATTTTATCTAATTCTAAATTCCAAAAATTATTCCTACAACGAACCATGAATGGTCTTGAGGATAGACTGGCAAGTAAGGTCGAGTACTCTTTTAAGGAGTTAGCGGAGACACCAAACACCTGTCCTGTACAGAGACAATGTGACAGGAAATAGTGAAACCAATTTTCCGGCAAAAACTAAGTATGCCAGTCATGATTTCTACTGGGATCATTTTACATACATAGCCAGTATTCTATCAGATGGGCTTCTTTGTCCATCATGTATTGTATATTTGTAGTAAAGCTGCAAATATAATGTAACATTAGTCATAATGGTCAACCATGTTATGATAACACCCTGTAGTCAAATGTAAGGCTCCTTTGAGACCAATCTCAGGTGTCAACTTACATAATCTTTAGACTCTAGAATAGGTTTGTAACCTGTTTAATGACCAGTCCTGGTTGGAGTGCATGATATGTATTTAAATAATTGATACTATATTTTAAAAGTGTGGTCACACTATTATCTGAGATATTTAACTAATAGTAATCTAAATATTAATTAGAAAAAAGTTATCACCATTTAATTATCATTCAAGCAGCTCATAAGTAGTTATTCACTGGTAAAAACATCTTTGAATTAGATCCATGAAAAATGTCACATTGGTTTTTGAGTGTAGCATCGCTAATAAAATCATTTATTCTAATGTCAGTACTTAATCAAACACGGTTATCCTTATGGGGTGGAAAATATCTTTTTAACATCAAACTAATTAGTCAGAAAAAATTATGTCTTGTCAACATCACGTAGTTTCACTATACTAAAATCAATTTATCATCTAGAGGATAGTTACTCATTAACATTTCTGATCAGAGCTGTAGCTTAGAAAACTTCTTAAAAAATATTTTACAACAGTATCAATAGATATTGTCAGCTGGTTTTTATTATTTAAAATTGTTCTTCCATATTTCAGTTAGTACTGTGCAATAATTTAGATTCCAATTCATGGAAAGAAACTTTGATTTAAAGAAAAACTATGAAATTCCACAAGAATCAGTATGATCATTTGAAGTCCAACTTAATGTACAATTAATAAAGCAACCCATCTTGCCATAAAAGAAAATAGTTTGTAATAGCACCTTCTTAAAGTTACTAAATGTCCCTTAAAATGTCTTAATTGTTTTATTCCATAACCATTTGATGTCCAAATATTTTCATGATTAAAAATGAATAAGATACATAAAGTTTGAATAACTTAATTCAGCATATAATAACAATAAACATAAACTAAAGAACTGATTATTACAATACTAAGACAATCTACAACTTAACAATTATTTATTGAACTAATCGTCGGTTATTTGCAAAAAGTCACCATTTTTTTATTAATTTCGATTTTATTGATGTAACAAATACAGTAAGTGCACTAAAATGACATTAACCCAATTTTCTGATTTCACAAATAGAAAATTCATCAAATTTCTTAGTGATTCAATGTTGATGACTTTTTTCAAGAAACCAACAAAATTTAATTAAGAAAGATGATTTAATCTTCCTGCAATACTGTTAATACAGTTAAGAGGCAAATAAAAAAAAATCTTGTTTGATTAAATTGGATAAGAATGACAATACTCAATTAAGTTTTGATGGAAAGCTTTCCAAAATTATTCAGTCAATTAATATAAATATTTGACATCTAGGATTTAACAAGGTACATTTTATATATAATTCACCTGGAAAGAGTAGTTAATAATAAATTAAAAAGGAAGTAAACAGAATAGAAATAATTTAATTTCTAAATATTTACAGGCTCAATAATACATAACAGGATCAACAATACGTAATACATAAATACGTTACACAACAAACACAGCCATTAATTGTTTTAAAAAAACAATTTTCTAATGTTAACATGTTTGTATTAATAAAAATATGTAAATTTTTTTTTATACATTTATACCTTTGGAAGGGTTATTGCCTTTTTGTTCCTTGGTTTGATTCATTTTGGGCTATTTTTTTAGATTTTACATTACGACAATTAAAGATTTAATCAAATAATTAACAATCATGTTATGTCAATAATTTTTTTTTTGTCAGCTTAATAAAACAATACTTCCATATGGAAATGATAAACAAATTTACATGAATTATTTTTCTATTTAAACAAATAATTACAAAAAGGACTTCATTATAACACAGGCGGATGTAAGACCAATGGTTTGATATACTCCAGTTTTTGTTTATAATGGTTGGGTAGAAGAGAAGTTAAAACAATATGAGTAATTAAAGCAGTAATTCCCCAAACCCTGCATCTGCCATTAATATACACAGGTAGAACATATCCTTTGGCATCGCTGTAACGAAATTGAGTATATCTACAATTATCTTCTGTACAAAAGTGCTGCAGTGGTATAGTAAAAGCCATTTCAACTTCATCAGGATTTGGTTTTAACTGATTCAAATTCAATGGACCTAAATAACCCAACACAGGTAAAACACTGAATTCATTTCCAACAACAATTGATCCCGACCCCCAAACTTTGACAGATTCTTTGCTGACTCCTAGTTCTTCTTCAGTTTCTCTTAGTGCAGTATCAACTAGAGTATTATCTGTTGAATCTTCAATACCACCAGGGAAAGAAACTTGACCCCTATGTCTTTTTAAATTTTCTCTTCTTAGGGTGTAGAGGAAAGATAGTTGTTTGTCTATAATACATAACGGTATTAGAACAGCAGCTCTTTTTCTATTATTCTCTGTCAATTCTCTGGGTGAAATTCTAATTGATTGAATTCTTCTCATGCATTCATTCTTGTTCTCTTCACTGATGATTTCTGGTATGCTGGGAAAGCTGTGTATAATTTCTGAACAAAATGTTCTCAGCAAATAAAGTTTGAATTTCGTAACCTTTATTTCATTTAACGGAGAACGGAGAAAACCTGGGTAAATATTCATCACTGTATATTAAAAAGTAAAATTGGTTTATTGTAAATCTATCTTCTCGAAGATCATACCTGTGGATTTTCAATTCGAATTATTTCGTAATTTAAAATTAAGGTTAGGGATTCGGATACCCTAACCGCCTGTGCCTGAAACGATTTATGGAATTCGACTTCAGTAAACTTACCCCTACCTTCGTGATTTTCTTCAATGACGTCAAACCAGTGCCATATATATTTTTAAAATCAAGTTTTACCGTATTTTAGGATTGTTAAAGAAATTTAATTTAATATTATACTATAAGTAGAAATTATATTTATACTTTAATACAGTTACAAAATAACTATTGTGATTTTGAGAAACAGTATCATGATTTTTTACGAAGCATATGCCTGCTTGAGCAACATCTGAGTTAGTACGTTCGAGATTGTCAATATCCTTGTGATCCATATTGAATATTTTCTCTGTAATAGTTTGTGGGAAATAACTACTAATTCAGAATGTCTCTTTTTGGAGCTCTTATGGGTGAAATTGATGACGATCCTTTCCTAGGGTTAGTAATATATTTTTATTTAGGCTTATTTTCATGAGATTGTTTCATGGTACATATGACTTGGTTCAACTTACTGTGTTTTGAGTGTTCAAATCATATGTAAAACACGTATTCCTTAGTTTCTATTAGAAGTAGATTGCCGAATTTATAATGGAGTTCTCCAAGAAGCATAGGTACACAACTAGAAATTCTTTTTGAAACCATAAAGATTTAATATTTTAATGTTATTTTTTCAGAAGTCATATGCGAAGAATGAACAACATGATGAACAGCTTTTTTAGAGACCCTTTTGGTGATATGTTAGGAAGGAGCATGGGATCTGAATTGATGCCATTTGCTGGAAATAGTCGTGATACTAGAGGTCGAGAATTAGCTAGATATGGTCATGGTCCAGGTCCAGATGATTTTGGAATGGGGATGAGCTTGATGCCTATGGGTTTTCCAAATATCCGTAATATGTTTTCAGACTTGAGTAATAACCCCAATTGCCATAGTTTTTCGTCAAGCACTGTAATGACAATGACATCCGGACCTGATGGCAGACCCCAGGTAAATTTATTTCACTTTGCATAGTAAATTTTCTTTGTATACTTCATAGGATTTAAGTTACTGTACTGCCTTCATCTTTCATTTGTTAGTTTTATTTACCATTGAACTATTAATGAGCTTGAATTTGAATTAAATTCAGGCAAGAAAATTTTTCATTACTTCTGTACTTTTTGTTTTCTGTCTGTTTTTAATGTGTTAAAAATATATAAAGTGCATTACTTGTACTCCTTGAGCCAGAGATGAACTTGTTTAATTTTATTTTTGAACTGTTTATGCTTAACATGACCTTGTTTAGTGTGATTATTATTTCTTCCAATAGTTTTGTAACTACTTTTTTGTGATATTTCAGGTTTATCAAGCATCCCAAACAGTCAAACAAGGGCCTGGAGGTGTTCGTGAAACAAAAAAGACTGTTGCTGATTCCAGAACTGGTGTGAAAAAGATGTCAATAGGTCATCATATTCATGACAGAGCTCATATTATCGAACGGGAACAAAATGTTTTCTCTGGGGAACAAGAAGAAAGACAAGATTTCATCAATTTAGAAGAAGGTATGCTGTTTATCTAAGAATTGAAAATATTTAGTATTTGATTTTATATTAATAATAGTACCACTTCACAAGCCTCATTCTAAAATGATAGACGGACTCAAAATCACATGACCACATTGCTGATATAATTCTTACAATTATTGACTATTCATTTAGATAAGAACAAATGACATGTGCTCTCAAAAGAGAATAACAAAAACCCTCTTCCCTTATAGGATAAATAGAGCCTAAATTAGCTTTAATTTGATCCCAAATTTCAACTCCTGCTTACTCTATAGACAGGACGTCTGTTGAACCTGTAAAATTTAAGGAATTGTTTAAACTTTCAGATAATATTATGGAAGAACATGTAGAATTAGAAACATATAAAACTTATCAGTGTTTTCGTTTCTTTATTATGATTTTTTCTCTCCAGTGATTAATTTTTATAATTGTTTTCTTAATAATATTTATCAAGAAAGTCTTTGTTAGGAAATTAGAATTTAATCTATATTTTTATGGCGAATAAGGGTATTGGTTTTGTTCTGTCCAGTACATTTTTGGAATTTTGTCCTTGATCTGATGTTATGTCCACACATTTTGTGGTAATGACACTTCTAAAATAGTACCAAAACTTTCATCAACCTGATGAACTATCCATGGTTGTTCCCTTTCTAGCAAAGGAGTGGGTGAACTCTGGATTAACTATGGCATTCATCTTGTTAAATGAAAATATAATTGAAAGTGAATGGCAAGTTATGTTGTAAAAGTTAAATCATTTTCTTTTCCATTTGAAAAGTGTTACTTTTCAGCAGGACAGTCAGATATTACACTTGTTCAAATCATAAATGATACATGCTCTTGTATTAACTGATATAACAGAATACCATAAACCAAATATTTCATTAAGTTATTTATTGAATTAATTTTTTTTTCTCATTTTATTATATATGTCCTTTGTCCCCATTATTCCCACTTTAAAATAAAGTACTGTTTAATAAATACAATTAGTGTTCTAAATTACGGGATTGATTTATAAAATTATACTCTATTTTAAAATAAACCATCAATCTGTTTTATGTTTTTGCAACAGAAAGAAAGTAATTGAAGGATTTGTAAAATGTGCTCAAAATACTAATTTACCAAACCAATAAATTAAAATAGAACTTTGCTTCATTTTTTGATGAATTAATTTTTTAAATATGTTTTTTTATTTGTCAAAATTTATCTGTTTTGTTTCTTTTTCTGACGAAAAGATTGTGAGGCATGTTATTAGTGTTTAAATGTGATAATGACGCTATTATTCCTCTATGAAATTTAACAGCTGTTTTGAAACCACTCAGTCCATCACAAAGACATTCATTCAGCTTACGGAACACAAGCCAATCCAGATTAAATTAGCTGCAAATTCTCAGAGTTGAATTAACCAACAATAATTATGCATTTATTACAGATGACAATCAATTATTATATTGAGCAATCCTATTGTGGTGAACAAGTCGATGCATTTATCTAAATGTTTTCTTTGGATCATTTCATTTTCCAAAATATCTACGGGTTTCTTATTGTTTAGATGGTAGCTGGAAAAAGGGTGTCTTCTGTAAAATGCCACAATTTTGGAGATTGTTTTTTCCATAATCCTTAATATGCAGTTTGTCGTATCTCACAGAAATTTCAAAGTCCTATAAGATTTAGTATGTATATATATATATATTAAATATATGTATACATATTTCATTAACTTAAATAAGTAACTCTTCTTTACCACAGATCCTCACAATTGACATTATACTCCACTATATTGTTTGAAAATAGCAGCTGATTACAATATATCAAAATTGAAAACATTAATTAAAGACAGTTTGGTAGTCACCCTGTATATACATTTAAGTTTTATATAAAGCATCTGTTATAATTCTTAAAAAAGGAAAGCAGATTGAGTACAATACAATTTAAAATAAATAATCTTCAATAATATATTTGTTAAATTTTAAACTGATCGTAGTAATGTGAAGAGAGGGATGAAATGCTATCTCAGAACTTGAGTAACTATTGATGTAAGAAGTTGAACACATTCGTAAACATCTATATATTTTTCTGTTATCTTAATCATTCTATTTATCTATTTTTGTTGGTGCTTATGTTGGTTTTGAGGTTCTTTTCTAACTTATATTTTTATTTAATTATATTCATTTGTTTTTATTTGCTATATGGTAAATGACTAGTTATGTACACCCTTAAGCCATTTTTTTTTTTTTTTTTGTTACCATCTAAAGAATAAGTATCTTTCCTTATCCAACCACAAAATGATGATTATGGTTATATTTTTTTATACATTTTTTATTTAAGGACGTTCTGCTTGATGAGTTATGGACACCCCTTTAGTTAGCTTTATGTCCATTCAAATAACAAAGTTTTATAAAAAAAATTTCATAACTGGTACAGTGTCCATAACTAGTCATTTAACTTAATGTGCTATTATTTTAATTAAATTTCCAGCATTTTTATTCTACATTTTTGTTCATGTTAATCCGAAAATTTAACAGTAGTTGTTATTATTGTCAGTACAAAACATAAATATTCTTTAATTGATAACCAGTCTGCAAATATAACATAAACGTTACTTAATAATTTTAAGTAGTATTGCAGACAGTGATAATTGTCGATCAGAAATTTTATTAAAAATGTTAACTAACTTAATTCCCACCGATAGACGTCCTCAGCTAGCTTCAGCATTCCAGAAATAGTTTGATTACTTATTCTCATCACTGTCTATCATGTTGGAGTGTCACTTGTGAAGAATTATCATAATTTTTTTTTTAGTTTTGAATGCTCCTTGAAAAAGTTCTTGTTTGGTTAAATAGGCATATGACCTTCTCTCTTTTTTTGATACTTATTTAACTGTGTACAAATGAAATTGAACATCAAGTCATTTTTCTTATTTAATCGATACACAGTAGTGAAAATCAGTATCTAAAGAAATGGGAACTGATTTCATATAATGCTATAATTAAAAAAAAAACACATAGTAATTTATTTGATCATAATTTGTGGACCAATTTTCATTTATTATAATTTTATAGAAGAAGCAGAGGATTTCAATAAGGAATGGGAAACCAGAACTAGAAACGTGAGGAGAAATAACGCCATTGAATATGGAAGAAATGGCAGGCGCCGTGCACCCAGATCATCCCCTCAGCTTGCTCTTCCGTCTACTCAAGCCCCGCATCACCAGTATGTACTCTTTTAAATGATCTATTGCATATTGCATTGCGCAAAGTTAAAGTTAATTTTATTTCTTTTCTGCATGTTCATTGGTATTTTATTCATAGCGAGGATCGATTAACCTTTCTGACCAGTGATTTTACTCACAATTATGAACATCTCAAGTTTTGATTTGGGTTTAAAAGCTTATCAAGTTATTACTTGCTATAATTCTTCTCAAGTGCCATTCCTGTGTGGCGGGTGATCCAAGATCTCATAAGATCACACTCGAGATGTAATTCTGATTGTAGTGTTTCGTTTAGGAGGCAAGGACTATCAATCCTAATTTATTGGGATAATTAAATTATTATTGCTCAATACAAACTACAAATCTGTCTTTTTACAAATATAAAAACAAATATGTCTTTTAATTTTATCTTTTGAGAAATTGTAATTCTGACTATTGTTTTCCAATTAAAGAAGTGATGATTTTAATTGCAGACAATCAGTCTCTCTCTTTTGACATTCTATGTACAGTACTTCAATGTGATCTTCGCCCACTCACCATGCAGAAATGAATTATTCTTTGACATATTGATTTTTAATTCACAATCAAATTTCGTGACACCTTTTATAAAGTTTTGTTTTCAATTATTGCATTTTAAAAGTAAATATATCACTTTTTAGAAATTTGAAGAAAAGAAAAAGAAAAAATAATAAGGAAGTCGAGAGCATTTATTTTTAAGATTTGTCCATTTTTTATTTTTTTTTGATTAGGAAAATAATATTTTCACTATATTAATATCTTTTTCTTCTCAAAAATAATTAAAAAGTTTTGCATGCTTTGGTATTGGGTTTTTCTAGTCTGAATGTTTTCATTGTTTTTTTTTCTATATTTCTTTGTTTGATCCATGTATTGTTTATTATTCTTTGCATGATGTATTGAATTTTATGATACATTTCTGATTAATAAGCTTATATTTTCTCATAGGACTGAAATAGATATTGTGGTCGAAACAAAATGTTTAATATAATTCAATAGTTTCCTTTAATGTCTACCCATCTTTTGTTATAATTATTTTATAAACAATAAAAATATTTTTCAAAACGATTGTTAATATTAATTTTTTAAATATTTTTTTAGCTAACTTAATATCTATTTTCAGATCTCATAAGAAAAAGAAAGGGAAAGGAACTAGCATTCAGGTTAAAACATGAAAACAAAAGAACTCTCATAACATGAATATTATTCAATATTTGATTGATTAACAATAAATCAGAGTTTTATTTAATTGTGAGTTTTGATTTTAGATGTAGCTATTTATAAGCCAGGTAATTTTAGAAGCTGGCGGGGAGGGCGTGGTTTTAAATTTTCTGTTATGATTAAAAATCATTATTAACGAAATAATTTATGTAATAGTGATATGCCCACAAGTATACATATGATATTGGGGCACATTTTGGGGCCTCATGTACCCAGCCATGTTGGCTATTTTATAGGAGTCATTATGGACATGATGAGATATGCGTCTCCTGCCTGGAGACATGATCTCTTGCACCAACAGAAGAAAAGGTTGGCAACAATCGAACGGATGGCTCTGCTGCGGGTTATTAGAGCGTACTGGACAGTGTCTCATGAGGCGGTACAGGTCTTAGCCGGAACTACCCCTATTGATCTTCTCCTACGAGAACTACTACTTTTGCCCCAAGATGAAGAGGGAAGGCCTCTCCAAATCGCCATGTGAGGATCAGCGAAGACACTGATAGATAGAAGAGCATTCTTTGGGAGAACACGTTAAAAGAATGGAACCAGCAGTGGGTGACGAAGCCAAAAGGAGCTACGCTAAGAGAATACTTCCCCGCCGTTAGTTCAAGAATGGAACAGACATGGGTTCTCCCGGACTACTGGGTCTCACAGGGGGTGGGGAGTCTCCGAGCAAAGCTCGTGAAACATGGTAAGAACATTGATCCCCTATACCCAAATTGCTGAGTACCAGAGACCGCCAAGTATCTTGTCCTTGGTATCTTGTGCCGCCATTGAGGCACTGAGGGCTAAGTTGTTGAGGGAGACGGGGCTTTGCATTTTGATGGAGAGCGATCTCCCTCAACTAATGACTATGGGGAAATACCCGTACTATAAGGCCTTTGTATACGGGACTCATTGCTTCAACCCACTTTTTTATTGGAAAGAAGAGATAGACCTGCATCTGGAAGCCCCCCAGAGAGGTTGGAAGAGGACGTTGGCAGAGAAAAAAAAAAAGCAGGCTGTGTGCACAGCTGAAAAATAAAAAAATTTAATTGGTCTGAATGCAGTAGTGAGTGATAACACATGCGTTGCTATTTACTGCTGCATAACACCCGTATTACCTTACCGACAGGGTAGGATTTAAATTAAATAAATAATATGAAAAATAAAATATATTTTATTTGTCTATTTAATTAGGTAATAAAAACTCAAACGCCCATTTGCTTTCTACAAATATCATTTTTTCGAAGCTGATCTCCAAATTGGAAACGCCCTAATCCTGAGAATTTTCATAAATAAAATGTTTTTAGGTTATGATGAGATAAAGCTATTTTAGATTTAGTTTTAGGCGGATGTTAATAATTTGATAAAATGGAGTCTGTATCACGGACTCTACCATATGTTCGTTGATTAGTTTCTTAATTAAAATTGTCAATATTTGTGTAAATAAATTTACTTCGTATTATATTTTGAAATATTTTAATGTTTCTAAAATAGAACTTTGTTTTAAATCTTCAAAGTTAATCTGATGAGATCGTTACTTTTTATTAATTTTTCAACTTTCATATCATCTGTTATTAATAAAACGATACTTATTTAAAATTTCCAATCACAATATTTTAATTATTTATTAAGGAAAAGCTGTGAGATGTTTTTATTTCCTTTGATAAAAGTGTTTACTTAACTGAGTGTTTTGGTCAAGAAAGATAAGAGGATATTAATTTACAATTGCAAACTTTTTTTTTTTTTTTTTTGTTTATTCAGCTGTAAAATTAATTTGAACCAGTATCTAAATTAGGCATTAAGAATTATTTATATATATATTGCGATTTATTTTAACTTGTAGTGATTATTAGCATCATTACATTTAGGGAAAGTTAATTGCTCTCTTCTACTATTAACTTGCTTGTAACTTAAATAAAATTAAATGGAGTACATCGACTTCTCAGGTTTGAAAAAGCTCTAAAATTTTCTTTTTTCAATTAGTTCTTCAAGATATAGTGGAAGGAGTAGCTGTAGAAAAAGTCGCCAATCGGCTTTACCTTCTTCCCCCACCCCAACTTCTGTACTTGTTTCCAGGTAAGGGGTATTGAACTTTATCGTAAATAAAAAACTAACCCCTGAAAATGAGAGAGGACAGCTGTGCAATAACAAAAATATTCTCTAATAATGTGTGCTGCATGTATGCGTGAAATATTAATACAAACATCACTAATTAATTTTTTTCCCCAAATCTTATCTTAAATTTATTCTAAATCCAATTAGTATTAATTTTATCGTAGATCTTGAGTTACATTTTACTTATATTAGTTTACGTTTAAGTATCACTTAGCAACCATATCGCCTAAAAGATTTTCGGCAAGATTTATGGAATATCTCGAAAACAGCTTTAAAACATGGGTCCTTTCCTTTTGAACTATACTCGGCCTTTATCTATTTTTCAAAATCTTTAAAATAAAATTTATTCCGTCTCGATCCACTGACTTTTAAAACAATATGAACTTTAAAAATATCTCAATTTTTTCAATCACTTTTATTAAAGTTGTTGGAATTTCTCCTTCTTGAACTTTCTCCTTGTCCCTTTCAGCATTAACTTAATCCAATTCAGGATTCTCCATCTAACTGTCTTTTGCACGAGTCTTCATCTCCTACAATGTCTTTCCTGTCTCTTATGTCTCCTGTCACCTCTTGCTCACAACCTGGGAATATAGTTAAGTATAGGTCTAATGACTACTGCTTTCTCTCCTCCATAATCTTGAGTAGGTCTTAATCAGGGCTCATCCTGTTGGGATGGTATGCACATGTCCATACCATCCCAACTATCTCTTCTCCAGGGTCTCCTTCATAGCAGGGATGTTTAGTTCTTCCCCTATAGTTTCATGCCCGATCGTATCCCTACATATTATAGAAGCCACTGTGCAAGTATTTAATTTCTGCTGCAGTTATTCAACTACATTTGTTGTCCAGGGGTACCCAGTTCTCTACTCCATACACCAGAACAGTCATATATATGTTATTTTTAAATATGGAACTTGGCCTCTCTCTTTCCTATGTTTGTGTTGCTAAGGGAATAGTATATACTAGTAGCTTTTCCTATCCTGGTTGCAGAAATTTAAAAACCAAAATCAGGATTCATCACTTCTCCATGAAATTCCCTTTCGTTTGAAACTTTATTCATCAAAATCCATCGCTCCTAGTAGCCTTATAAGGGATCTATAATACTGTATTATATATAATGTAGTTATTTAACCTACCAATTATCAGAATGAATGGAAGTTTCATTTAGCATATGAAATAAAATTATGTCGGATTTATCAATTTATTGTCGTGATGGCGTTTGGTTTCTTGAATTGGCTTTTTTTATCCTCTTTTCTCTTCCTCTTTGTATAATCGCATCGGTCTTAACAATTTAATACTCTTTATATCTGGGCATCTTCTAATTCTTCATTAAAGTACTATTTCACTGGTAGTGCATACGGCAGCAACCGCCATTCCATACTGCCAACCGTTAATGCTTGTCTTATTTCACTGAAACTGCTCACTGTTGCGGCCAAATCTTCTCAATTTAGCATCCTAGTCTGAAATAATTTTAAATAAAAATATTAACCTTAAATTTAATGATTTTTATTTATGTCGGAAGGATAGCAATACATATGATATGATTTTTATTTGTATCGGAAGGAAAGCAATACATATGATATGATTTTTATTTATATCGGAAGGATAGCAATACATATGTTGGCAGAGTTTTGATCTTATTACTACTATAGCCCAGGTGGTTTTGTATAGTAGTTGGTGATCTATGGTTGTACAAGGAGGTGATTTGAATGAGATCACACTCAACAGCTAGGTTTTTTCCTTAATCAATTATTTAATTATAATAGTTGATAGATATAGAGGCTGGGTGTGCCCCAGAAGAATCTTATCATTCCATAGTTGATCCATATCTGATGTGGTAAAATTATGTAATAAAATAAATATTGAAGGAATGTAGTCGACAGTCCTACATATCATGGGTGATAACTTGTTAGGACGGAGTCATTTTAAGATTTTTATTGGGTACTTCTTGTCGAGGGGGCCGCTACTGACTGCTATCTGCCAATGTTTATAACCTGAACTCTGATAACTTCCTTAACACAGTGATAAGCCTTCTTCTACTTCATATCTTCGTATTATTGTATTAAATTCGTATTATTGAAAGTGTAAACAGATACAAAAACAAATGTAATAACAACAAAAATACTTTTATTTGACGACAAATATATTAATGAAATAATAAAGAAACACTTTAAGAAGATATGTACATATAAAACATCAAAGTGAAATTAAAAAAACACATTTCAAAGAACATATTTACATAGAAAAGAAAAAATATAAAACATAAAATCTGTTTTATAAAAAGATAAAACATTCATCTGTTTCTCGGCAAACATCCACTGCTGAGGCAAAACTCTCCCCACATGATTTCTTCGTTTAGAACTACTTCAACCACTTTGCCAGGTCCTTCAATTTTTTTTCTTGGCCTTTATAACATGTCATGGGCACAAATCTCTCTTAGACATTTGTTCCACATTACCATTGCTCCGTAGGATAGTTTCAGCTGCTCTTTGCCCCACTTCATCGTTGTCAAGCTATGGGACCACCTATAAATCAATTTTAAACCTGTTAAAAACGAAATCCTCGAGCCTTCCAACCATGTTCCTTTCCTTATTGAAAGTTTTGTCATAATTCCTACGAAAGCATCTCCATTTGGCCTTCCTGGTTACTTTATTCGTTGACCTCGTTCCCACAATTTCACGTTGGCAAGTACCCCAACATTTTGAAAATATTGAATTGCCTGTTCTTCTGAAGGCGGCAAATCTCATATTCTAAGAAGATCCATAATATGACGAAAATAAACGGAAAAAAATGAAAAATAAACACAAAGGGGCCAATAACTAAAAAAAAAAGTAAAATAAACACAAACGGACCTAAAATTAAAAATAATGAAAAATAAACAGAAACGGGCCAAAAGTAAAGAATTTAATAAGTGAACGTAATTAGGGAATAACTGAAAACTAAACAATGCAATAATTCAAAGGTTTGGAAGGGATAACAAGAGGGAGGTTATGTGACCTGACATTAGATAAGATAGGTAAGAAGTGCGGTTTCAGTCCTGCCCCCTAGAAGAGAAGTACCTTTTATTGTTGCCAATGTTTCAACTCAAGCATATTGTGACCCACAGGCTTGGATTAAATTGTCGGCAGCTGTAAAAGACTGCTTTCTCACTATTTATCACCTATGATAAAATATACCTCCCAGACTAAAACCCAGGACCCATATCATAGGATCACAGTCTACTTGGCTCCAACATTTATTCAACTTTTTCAATTTATATGACAGCTTCAAAGTAATCTAATTTTGTAAAAGTTAGGTATTGTCTTAATGTTTTTAATTTAAAAAAAAAAGGATATAAAAGGCGATGAAGACAATATACTCATATCAAATCGGAATCTCTTTATATTATTTTATTTTTTGTAGCTCATATAGTTTCTAATTTTGTTTAATTTTTGTATTTATTATCAATGTTAGCATATTGTTGTTGAGTTTTAATTGTATTGCTTTGATTTGATGATTAATAGAACTTACTAATTTGTCAATTTAGTTTTTAAAAAATATATTTTTAATCTGTTAGTTAACTATTTAATATTTTACAGTTAACTTTCAGTATTAAAATTAATCTGTTTAAAGTATTCATATATAATTGTTTTTTACCATTAAGGAGGAAACTGAATATTAGGCCGAATCGGGTTTTCATTTTTAAAATTATTAATTAATCAGCTTTTAATTGTAAGCAATTTTTTCACTTTTATTATTCAATCAATCATACTTGGCCAATAATACACAGATTGATTTTTTAAAAAAGTTTTAAACTGTTTATGATTCAAGCTTGAAAAACATCAAGGACGCCAATGTGTACAATATAGTAAATCACTAATTAAAAAAAAAAAAAAAGAAAATAGAAAAAATTCAATTTCCACCAACTGCCTATATATAATTGACATATCCTAGAAAAAAACAACAACAATAACAAAGTTTTGTTGTATATAATGTAAATACAAGGAAATGACATGAGAAGTATTTCTTTATAGTGCGGTTGTTTCTTCTGCATGCTTGCACGTTTATACATTAAACTCTTTCTTTTGGCTGTGAATGCGTGTTTTTTTAAAACTTAGCATTTTTTCTTTGCTTAAATATTTTTTAACAATTTAAGTAAATAGTGTTTTTATGTAAATATTGTGACTAGATCAATTATCCATTATTAATCAATACAACTTTCTCTTTGTTTATTTGCTCTGAGCATTTATGAAACTTATTTAAGATTAAAAATATATAATATTTCATCTTACATAAATTTTTATGTCAACTACAATAATAAATTCTTTTGGCTTATAACACTTGAGATTAAAAAATTAAGGAACTAACTATTTATTTCTGTTGAATGAGATCGAGATGGGTTCGTTGTTAATACCAAATTCTGAATTGAGCTATTTTTAACACCAATGTACTGAAAAAATATCTACTAATTGGTCAATTGTATCAACTGGGTTGTTTTAATGCTCATTAGAAAATTCATATGTGCCTGTAACTTCATTAAAAATTGTACATTCCAATCGAGAAACTGTATTAAGGAAAAAAATAAAGCTTAGCAAGATTGTTTTTTTATTTTTACTTACCTATATATGTAATATATAGTAAGTGCAAGTATTGCAATCGTGAAAATTTTTGAATATGAGTTTTCAATGAAAATACACGTTTTGAGGTCTCCTGAGTCCAAATAACCAAGTCCCGAAAAATGGTCTGTGTGTGGTATGTTAGTAGTCTAGCACAAAAACGAAAAGTTGTAAGAAACTGATATTACGTATTCAAGATAGCTATATGCCATAGATGTGACAACAACTTTTTCCTTAAAATCGGCTAACCGGAAGTGCCACTTTATATCAACACTGAAACACATTTTTACAATTTTCTCAAAAACTGCTCTTAACGATTTTGAATCAACTCGGTGTATCATTGCATAATGAAGTGTTCTTTAATATCAATCAGGTCTTATCCCCATTGATGTCACTTTACAGGGCATAAATGACCAATGTTCATATACGTCTTTCTCTAAATTACCTTTAATATGGTATATTTTAAATAATTAATCATCTCACATTATTTAGAGTTACAAAGAAATGCTAAATATAACTTTTGAAAGAATTTAATACTTGAACTATGGAGAAAAACAAATATGCTTATCCAGGTCGAAAATGAATCTCCGGAATCAGTATTTAGTAGGTATACATATCATATATCGTTAAAAAGCTGGAAATTTTAGTAAAAAAAAAAAACTATATGTAATATAGAAAGTTGTAGAAGGTGAAGGAGAGTGACGAAAATATCATAAATAATAATTTCAGAAAACTAACATTATTTAACGTAAATCACATGTTTCCAAGAAAACTAAATGAAATTTTCTCACTATAAGTAAACTTTTAAATGTTTTAAGATTGAAAAAAAGTATTTAAAATCCACCGAATCAAGCCAATGCCATAGTTTAAAGTACTAATTCATTGTACTTGTGTGAAAGAAGAAGTGAAATATAAAAATATTTCATGGATATGTTTATAACCTCAAATATATTTACTATAGAGTATTAACTCTAGATAAGATATTATATTTAAATAATTATGTATCCATCGGCCTTCTATTCCAAAAACTAATCAAGTAACCTTTTATAAAATTAAATCAGTGAATAATTTGATGAATTTTCCCTTTGTGAAATCCTTACATTACCCACTTACAATTAGTTGTGACAACTTTCGACCTATTCATGGCAGGCAATGAAAATCTCGTAATTTCATTTTAGTAATCTTTACTAAAAATGGAAAATAACAGCTTAATAACTAATATTCATACAATCCATAATCATTTATAAGTTAACTATTGAGATATACTTTCAAACCTCTGTAGGCATATAGGAGCCTTTCGGTTTACAGAATCACTAACTTCAATTTCAATATTATTAATTTTAGTGATGTTTCTAGTGGAAAAATTTATACCTTTATTCACAGTTCTATATTTCAACGCTGTATAGGCAACTTTTTTAACTAGAAATATCACTAAAATGAAATTACTCAAAAATGTTGAAATTGGAGTTAGTCATTCTGTCAATTGAAATTCTCAGATATTGAAGTTGTGTGGTTTATAAAAGCAGATGTAGCAACTAGATTTTTATTTCCTACCGTCAATATAATAAATAGACTTTTTGTAATTAAAATGGTCTTAATGATTTGTTATCTGTAAAGCTTTAAGCATTAGCTCTGTTTAAAATGCACTTAAAAAAAATTATAATAGTCCAGCATTGTCAGAAAATAATTTCTATTCAAAGTATAGCGGTAAATGAAAGTTGTGTGTGCGCGCGCACCAGATTTTTTTAATTTTGTATTGTTATATTTTTGGTTTACTACTTCTTGATTGATGTAGCTAAAAAATAACTGTCACTATGTATATTTTGACTTATTTCCTTTCATGTTTTATTGAAAACTTCATATACATAATAATATATCAGAGACACCGAATTCTATGTTAAACCAATTCATCAAATAAAACTCATAAGTTTAGATTAACATCAACATAAATGAGTTTATGACCATATTCATATTTATTGATTTCCCCTAAAATCAATTAAATTATCTAATTATTGTTGTCTTTTGATAGATACTTCCTGATGATTTTTTTAAGTACATATCCTCAAAAATAAGCACTCAACTTTGGTTAGCGGCATTGCCACTTTTACAGTAACCTCCTTCTGTTCATAATAATAATCATACAAAAAAATTTATTTAAAAATAAACTTCACTATGATTGAACTACAATTAGTACATCTAAGTATTTTCTTTAGATAATTTATAGATATTTTCAATTTATTGGGGATTTGTTCAACGGTATTTCATTTGAGTTTTAGGGTTTATTAACCAATAATTACAATTTGGTCCGACCAGATGGCAACATCTATCGGTCGGTGCCATTAATAATAAGTAAATAATTTTTACATGGTTACATTGTTTCTTTTTTTTTAATGAAATATATGCTTAATTTAGACGTTTTAGTTGCGCAACGCATGATATTTGGGATCTTATGTCTGGCCAAGTGCTGTCTCCATGTATTTTAATTGCATGTTGCTACTTTAATTACTGGCGCATTTGATTATGTTAATGTTCTGGATTATATTTCAATTAACTTAAAACTTTTTTGTTATTTTTTAAATTTCCATAATTTAATTTAATTTTTTAATCGCGATGTTGGGGCATATAGTTAGATTTAAATATGGTTTCAGGTATGGCCGGAAATATTGATGAGCTGTAATGTAAGTAATTTTATTTATTTATTTATTTTTTTAAGGAATTAGTTTGGGGAATTGGTTTTTTATTCATTGATGTTTTATGTTTTTCATTTTCTTTATTTTTTTTCTCAAAATTTTGCACTATATTCTTTTATTATAATTGTTATCATGATTAATATTAAATCAATATATTTTTGCGCTAAAAAAAAATCATTAGATAAACTAAAAATAAAAAACATAAGGTTGTTACTTGAAAAAAAAAATTAAAATTAGGTGTTAATTATAAAAATATATTATTTTATTCTTACCGATGAATAAGAAATCATTTGAAGAATAATAAATGTTTTTGACTTTCTAATTTTAAAATATGGTCTTATTTATTTTGTTTAATGAATAGTTACTGCTAAAGTTTCTCAATGAACAGCATTATGATCACTCTAACTTTTCTTTTTTCATTCACTAATCCAAAGTTAGGGGTGCAGAAAGAAAGCTTTAAACTTTTCTTTTTTTTACTTTCATAATCAAGCTTATTATATACACTGCTGTTAGTTCTTATTTTAACTGCATGATGCATGTGTTTTCGATTTAAATATTGATTTTAGTGTTTTTATTTATAGTTGAGTCTATTCTACTAGAGAAGAGTTTACTGTAGGTTATAATGTTTGTTCAAAAGTAGGATAGGATAGGAGTGTGGCAAAAAGTAATTAAGTACTTGTATTTTAAATTGAAAGAATTCAGGAAGAGGAAACAAAGTCTGATTTATTCTTAATTGACTCACTAAAAAATATTGATGTATGATTTCCATATCAATTAAATCTGTGGCATTATAAAAAGCCGTTTTATCAGTAATATACATGGAATAATAAGAAGTATGAGGGTCAAACAAGCCTGTGGCTTAAGTTTTTATTAAAATAATTATGAACAAAAAACTACTCAACATGATCTGAAATATTTTTAGAATGGACGCAATTTGTTCAAATGGCCTCTTTGACATCTAAACCATTGCTACTATCTATCCCAAGATTTTCTTTCATTTAATAAACTCATTCGTACGATATGGGTTACTTAGTGGGTTTAACAAAAAAAACATTGGCAGTAAAAATTCTGTACCATATAAGATCTTCATGGGACCAATTTGTTTCTAAGTTCTAAAAGCAGTTTTTGGAAGCCAGATTATAAGAGTGGATTTATTGAGAAATAGACTATTAACTACTATATTAATAGTCCAATTACAAATATGGCCAGGAACATATTTTTATCTATGAGTTAAATAATGTTTCTTAATTTTTTAAATCCTGTTTTTTCCTGTTATTCGTTGTTATCTATGTAACTTGAAACTAGTCATTTCATGCCTGTTACACCTATTTATATTTGTTGTATATTTAGTCACTTGTTTTGTTAGGCTTGTAGAAACACATATAGAAATATGTATTTAATAATAATATAGAAGAATGTTTCCCCAATCGCCTCATAACCTAGATGGCTTTAACTTTTTTTAATATATTCTTATTTGTTATTTCTAATGGTAAGTATTAAGTTCTGATTAATGTATAATTTTTTTGTTTGGTGTTGCATACCGTAAAGATGTAAAGATCATTGGCCACATAATATGGTATTATGGAAATTTATTGCTTGCCAAGATAACAGGATAACCAACCATAGCTTAATAACCTATCCCTTGGAGGCCAAGTCAATGTACTTCCCTTCACTTGGGTTTACGAGCATTGAGGAATCGGTCTAGATACATGGATTATGGCTCTTTTCAGGGTCACCAGGTGCACAAATACTTGCATTTCTTCAATGAAACAGATTGTACATACGTGGATTGCATTTCAAAGCGGTCACTAAGATCTCAAATAGAGTACATAAGGTCATCACTCTGTTTGCAGGTCAGTGTGCGTTGTCTCCAGTAAACTGACTGGTCTCACACACACACACACCTGAGACGGATAATCATTAATCGAATTTCAGGCTGCATATCTTTCCCTGGTGGGTGGTCGCCTAAATTTCTGCTGACAAATTTCTTTAGTAGAGTGGGATGACAGGTCTTACATACTTAGAGGAAAGGGATTTAGTGGACAGTTTGGGGATTGATCAAAGTTTTGCAAGCAGACAACCGTGTACTTTCATATATGTGACCATTCTTACTATTTGTGTTGTTTTTGTTTTCTATCAAAGATTAATTATCATCTCCACAGTCTTTTACAATAATTGGCAGAATTTATGTTAAATAAATTAGATGTATAATTTGAACTTTTGTTTAAAAAATATCTTATCAGATTAATCCCACATCCACAATTTTCCTCTTTGTGAGACTAATGGGGTACACAGGATTTAGCGACCAAAAGACTGTGAAAAAAAATAAAAGCAACCATTCAATATATAAAAGTGGCATTAACACATAGCTATTGTAGATTCAGATAGTTCTGAAACACAAAAATATTATGAAAAAAAGTATTTTGATCCGATAACCAGTACCTTCTTTACAAGCTATCATTCACATTCAGAAAAAGAAAAAGGGAGAAAACGTTTTGTATTTAAATTTTAAAAGTTATGTATTTAAATGAAAAACTATTCATTATAGAGATATCTGGGCGTTATCTAGGTTTTGCTGTCTGTATCAATGTATAAATTTAAAGAATAAACAATAAATATATTAATGCTAATTATTCTTTAACAGTGATTCAGAAGACGATGCTACTGATGAAGCCCCAAAAAAGAGGAAATTGAATTCTGAAGAAAAATCTGAAAAAAATGAACCTAAATATAAACAGACTAAATGTTCTGCGAAAACGTCAGCTCCAGTTTCTGAAAAATCTACACCAAAGTAAATTATCTAATAATAGTTTGTATTTCACACTCATTCTTTATGTGAAGTGTTCTCCTTTAACTGTTGTACCTTTTCTTTGTTTGTATATATTATGACAAACATAAATAATAAACTTCGTGTGTATGTATGTTATATGCTATTAGAATAGTATTAAAAGTTGGAAAAAGGTCTTTTCTTTATTTTTGTATTCTATCTGTCAGCTAATTACAATTAGTAATTTAAAATGAAGGGAAAAAACAATTAAAATTGAAAAAAAGAAATTCTCTAAATTTAAGAATTAAAATGTTTCTAGTTTTTGAAATTTGACATTTGGGAACAAAAATTGTTCCTAGAGTTGTTAAACTTTTAATAGTTGAATTACTCAGATAAAACAATTTTTCAAGTAACATATAGCAAATATATTGGTCATCACATTTTGTATTGTATTTCTTGTAACTTAATAAAAAAACAAGGTTTCAGACTGTTCTAATTTGTTCTAAACTATGCCTTGTCAATCAATATATATTTATTTGATTATTCTGCTTTAGTCACGAATAATTAAGTATTATCGTTTACTATACTTATAATTGTAGATTTTATAATATTAGCTTATGATTATAATAGACTTATTATGAATTTTTTAAAAAATTCAAAATCATATCTTCAATACTCACCTTTGTCATTCAAATTATTCAAAATCATTTAGTCGGAATTTCACTGTTATCAATTATCAGAATCTCCTCTTTAAACCTTAATTAAAACATTATTTTCCATAATTTAGCTTAATGAAAAATGTATTGAGTATATTATTGTTTTATCATTAAACTGGTCATATATATTACCTCATTTGTATTATATATTATTTCCTAAAGCCAAATAAATTCATTATTGTGATAAGCGTAAAGAGGTTATGTAGTTCTTTCATTAATTTATGTTTTACCATGACCTTATGTATATTTTCAGTTGATCTTAGTATTGATCAAAAACGTATTATTTTTGTGATTTTATAGTCATTATTTGGTTTTTGCTTTTTTGAGATAGGTATGAAATATTATGTTAAACAAATATTCAAAGATTTTTTTTTTCAAATATACACTTCTACACATTGTTCTGTTTTAATTTTCCTATGACATATATATTGTTAATTCTTTATGAATATGTTATCAAAGATGACAGCCTATCGTATCTAAAATAACCTTATTTATATAAAGGTCATTTAGTCCTAGATTGGATATGGAAAAGAGCAGGTATGTAGTAGAGAGAATGCACTGGGCTCTGAGCCCAACTAAACATTAAAACAAAAATACTGTCTTCTCTACAACTAACTGGCTGCCAGGCCTAAGTAAAAAGGAAATTAGACATATTCTTGGGGTACTAACAGGTCTCTGCATACTTAAAAGACATCTGAAGTGGGAAGGTTGACAATGAACTCTGCCATCTTGGCAGACAAGCATCAGAAACTACTATCCTTCACTATATAACAGAATGTGACGGACTTGCATCGCTTAGGTAAAGACTTAGTGTTCGGACAAAATCTTAGTACAAGAAGCCTCCTCCAAAAAATGCCCATGTCTTTTAAACTTCATGAGAAGAACAAAAATTCAAAGATGGTGGCGATATAGACTATTATTATTGTCTCTAAGGTTGGCAAAAAGGACCAACAGGACTTGATCACCAGTACCAGTACCAGGTAATTTAAAAAAGAAAAGAAATTATTTTCCACTTCGTAGTAGTCTTAATAGTTTTATTAGCAAGTTACTAATATGAAAAAAAAAAACAATCAGCATAACCCAAACAGATAAAAAAAAAAAAAACAGTTCTAGACAGAAATGATCAAGTTTTAAATTTTAATTTCAACTCTAGAAGGAAGTTGTTACATAAAAAAATAATTGAGCTTATAAATGTTGAATCATACAAATCGTAGGATCACATGTTTATTTTTCATAAATTTATGTTTGTATTGAAACGGTAAACTTTTGTTTTTGTCAGGGTTATAAGAGATAAAAGGAGTGCATCATTTAATAATATTTAGAAGTTAACCATACAAATACAATCATCTCTTGAAATTAATTTTTCACTCAAGCTTAAATTTTTTTCCATCAAATTTCAAGAATAATAAAAAATAATTTTAAATAACAATCTTGTCATTACAAAAAATTTCAAGGGGTGAAGTGATAAATGTAGGCACCTGAATTTTCAAATTTCATTTGAAAAAATGAAATCCTGACCGTGATTCCTTAGTACTTTTCTTAATTAAGAAAAAAAAATCTGGTACACAACTTTCACTTCCACTGTACTTGGAACAGAAATTATTTTTTTGCAAGATGGGCTATTATGAAGTTTTTTAAAAGCATTTTTAATGGAGCTATCCTTTAAAAACACATTAAGACAATTTAAACAATACAAACTCAATTCATTATATTTATGGCAATAAAAACCTCATAACTCCAGTCTCTAAGCTTTATATTAGACCTAGGAGCGATTGACCATGTCATTTAACTAAAGGGCTTAAAGCTAGTAACCATTTTAAATTTTAGATAAACCATCTTCGTACACAACTTCCTTCAGTCCGTTGAAAGTCATTGCTTTCTATAGGAAAATTTAAAGAGATAAAATTTGACTGTTCATTTGATGGCAGAACAGACTGCTGAAATTTTGAGATGATGTCAAGAATATGTCCCTAAAAGAGAATTCACCTTGACTGGCAATGTGATACATTCGAAGCACTAGCAGATCCAGGATTTAATTTTTGTAGTGGGGGGGCTTCAGCCTGAAAGCTTTTTTTTCTTATATTTAACGATAATCACTTTGTAAAAAAAAAAAAAATACACCAGATAGGTGTGTCCACTCATATGACTTTCCTATCTATTTCAGAAAAGATTTTATGTCTTTACATATGTTAATGAAGAAACAAAAAAAAAAATTAAACTAGATTTATTTTCCTGAAAATTGATCAAAGGAAAGCTTTGAATACGATTTATTTGATAAACTAAAGCAATGTAAACCGGCTTAAGGTAGATCAGTGTAAAAATGTCAATACTCTCCAATATTGCTGATCAAAAACTGTTTGCCATAGCTTAGTATTGTCAAACAATAATTTCTGTTAAAAGTAGAGGAAATAGTAAAGCTTGTTTGAATGGACAACAGATTTTCTTACTTTCACCTAGTCATCTTTTTTCTCTCATTAACCCCTTTCTGACACCAGGATATAAATACCTAGTTATCCAAAAGGAGCGATTTTTATATAGATTTGCAGGGAATTTCATTACCTTTAAAAAAATCAGGCTCAGACAGACCATGTGTGTTTTGGACTCAGGGGGCTCTGAAACATATAAATCCATCAAAAACCGCATTTCGGAAATTTGACCCGATTTCAATAATTTTCTTACCGAGTATAGGTAGGAAAGTAAAAAAGAAAGATACCCACTAGCTATATGAAATGATGTTTAAGTGATTCTTGAAGTACTTTTAAATATTATTACAGGAAGAATAATACATTAAGAGATTTTTTACCATAAAACATGGTTACATTTTACCATTTTGGGATGTGCTTCAGCCCAAAAGCCCCCCTCCACCGGTAGATCCGCCTGTGATTCGAAGGGTAGTTGAATGAGAAAAAAAATCTTGTTTTTTTGGATTGTTGAATCAAATTTGAAGGCATATTTCACTCCTAGTGTCTTCCTCACTCAATTTTGTGCTTTTTGTCTTTAAAATGCTTTTGGCTCGGCTAATTTAACTCTATATGTATATAACAGAACTAGAATGTATAAACAAATTGCATAGCTTTTATATCTTTTATATATTCAGTTGGTATGAAGTTCATTTATTATAATAATAATAATAATAATCAAAAGATTAAGGGCCAATGGCTTTTCAACTTTTTGTATATTAACGATTATACCCGAGTTAAATATGAATTTCTATGCATTTTAAATTTAATTTAAGCTTATTTAGAGTAGTGATGTGTGAAGAGGTGGAATGTCGTTGGACCGCTGCGACTTCGAAGCGCATTTCCGTCTTTGATGTTTTGATAATCGTTGTTGATGTCACCATGATATATAAAAGCTATGTAATTTGTTTATTGTTATATTATTATTGTTAGTTGTTGTCTAGTTCTGTTATAAATATAATTAAATTATCCGAATCAAAAGCATTACAAAGATAAAGAGCGCTTAAGGTGCGTTTTTTTAATAGTTCTCGAACTCAGGAAAATTTCGTTCGGGAACGTCAAATTCAGATTCAGCAAACAGGAGAGAAACCGCCTATTTGAATTTTTTCATGATCCCACCATCATTAAATGAACTATTCTGATGTCTTTGACGCTGTCAGTTTTCAAAACGCAACATAGTACATCTTCAGTCAAGGTAAATTCTCTTTTATGAGCATATATTCTTTACAATATACTATAACATATTCTTATCTCTTTAATTTAAATGTTCGTATATAAAGCAAGGGATTTACCGAAATTGTGTTCAAATGGGTTTTATCGTAAATTTAAAATGATTACTAGCTTTATTATTCTTCAGTTAAATGGTCGGTAGCTGCTATATGCAAATAGAAATTTATCTATATATACATCTATATAATCTACAAATGAATTAGGAGGATTGTACTATGGTTTTGTTACATTTAATCATTCATGTTTATTTATTTTTTTAAATTGTTGTTTGATTATACAATATTAATTGTGTGCCATTTTTCTGTATATCAGAGAGGAATTAGCTTTTTAATTTTAAAGATTTGAAAGAAGTAACAGACTATTTAGACAATGCACAGTAAGACCAAGGCAAGAAAAAAAAAATATGAAAATGATTTTTAAGGACATTTTGTAGTGGTTTCAGGCTTTGAGTAGTACTAAAATAAATTCTTGCTGTAATTTTTATGAAAAGGTCCTACAAAGGGTTCTTAAAAGGACCTATATAAAATTGTTCAGTTGAACCATTAAGTACTTTTTTTAATTTTAAGTAACAAATTGAAATTTTGTGAATAAGAATGTAAGATACCGTTTATTATTTGTTATTTGATGTAGCTATGAGGTATAAATTATTCTCGTTTTTAAATAATGATGGAAAAACCGGTGGAATCATTCATAAAAAGTTCCATCAGTCCCCTACATGTATTTAGTATTATTTCTAATCCAGATACCTTTGAGAAATTCTAAATAAAATTAACATTAATTGCAATTTGTTTCTTAAAAGTGAGAGTCAATTTAGAATTACTTGAACAGGAAATCTTATTTAATCCACTGAGGTTTATCAATATGAACTTGGCTCCAGTATTTCTGTTAACATTTGGAAACCGACATCCCCATATTCAGCTATCAAAGATTTAACATTTATTATTGATTTTTGTTGTTTAGTGAAACGTTTGTGACTTTTGATCCATTCATAAAGGTAATACGCAACATACAGTTAAATAGGTTCTTGTTTGTATCCAAGCCCATGCCTTACTTTTAAATGAATTATAATTATTCCTATTATATTTGAATTCCTACATAGTTTTAATTCAATTTAAAATTTTTATTATAATATTTCTAGAGTTTTTATAAAAATGAGCGCATAATACTTCTAAGTGTACAATATATATTTTTGTATATTATGAAAGAAGATAATTTTCAATACACCAAGGGTAACTATCTAATCATTTTTGAACTTTTCATCAGTTGTGGTTTATAGGATAGGCTCAAATCAATACCACAAAATTTATATTCTATGATAACCCTCTAAATTTTCATTTCAAATTCAATGTTGACTCACAAATAGGCGAGATAAACTAGAGATGTGAATTGTTATTTTCTGTCTATTTTTGGAAGTAGAATCCATTGATACTATTCTCAGTACAGTATCTCATCAGTTGAGATATGCAAAATCAGCGATTTTTGATCTTTACTTGATTGGAATGTTGCTCTCGTTCTCAAAGCAGAACAGAATTGTCCTGTTTCATCACAAAAGTTAGAAACATATTCTAGAGAATGATGATTAACACCAATAACTCTCTAGATGGGTCGGTCAAGTGATTTGTTTTCAGGGCTTTAGAACAACCCTTTCTTTGAGTTGCTCTGCTCTGGTTGAAACATTAGCAAATAACACTACTATAATATATAGTATGTCTATTAAACACATCCCTGACCAACTTTTTTTAAAATTAGAATTATGGTCAATTATCTCCTTACTGTTCTTAATAAATTGTTTATTTACAGCTAATTTATCTATTATTAAAAAAATAAATAACATACAGCCTAAAATGTATTCATTGATTTTAATAAATAAAATGGCAGAAAGTAAATAGTTCTTCATTGACCTACCTATTTTCACTTAAAATTTGTGACCTGGAAAATTGATGCTAATCATTTGCCTAATTTGACAGGCTTTAAAGGACTATATGTCATTCTAATGCTTGGTAAAGGTAATGGTTGGTGGCTTATTATATATTCACCTTTAATATTTATACATTCTCTATTGCATTTGTATCCTCTACAGTATCTTTGTCTATTTTGTTGACACCTTAAATGTCTACCAGTGGAAATTTGAGGATTTTTTTTCTTTTACATTCAAAATCATCTTATGTCAGCTCAAAATTTAGAAATAAAAGAACTGTCACTTTATTGCTAATTTACATTTATAATCATATCTTAATATTTAATGATATATTAAAATTGTTAATGAAAAATTAAATTTAAGAACTGAACATTAGTGCTACTCCTAGTGATTAATTTCTGTACTAATGGCTAAAGCCACCTACTAATCTAAACATATCTGTTTGTGCGTGTGTATATGTATGTATCAGAGTGGTGAAGAATTTCAAATTTCCAGCTTTCCTACTCCCCAAAAGGCCTGCTAGCTTAATTAAACAAAAAGTAATTCATTTGAATATTGACCTTATTCTTCGCATGCTTTCTCAAGAGCTTTCATTTAGAGACTCTTCATTAAATAGTTCAAAAGTCACTGCTTACTACATTTGTACATCTAGATTGAGAAAATAGCTTTTATCAATGAATAATGAAACATAAAACCACTAAGTTTCAATGAATGGTGGGTTAACTTCCAAGCAATAGATGAGGAAAAAAAAATTGTTTAGTTGCTCACAAGTATTTCTCTCTTCTCTGGGATCATGTATTTTCATGACTTATGATCCAGATTAAAAAATATTTGTCGACTTCTTACATTATTAGGTTAAAAATTATTTGTATAGTACTTCAAATTTGATTTACTTAAAAATCAGCTGTTTTCAGTTCTGACAAAAATACCTGTATGTGTTATTTTACCAAGGTGTTTTTTGTAAGTTTGCTGTATATCTGTCGAATTCTTCATCAAATTCAATAATTGACCCCTCATTTTGAAGTTCTTTTGCTTCAGGTGGGAAAAATAGTAACATTTCACTGAAATTTCAGAAGGAAAAGTTAGGAAGAAAAAGTTATATTTCTGAATAACTCAAAATGTATTTTTAATTTTTTTATCTGTTAATTTTACAAATAATTCACTAGTCAAAAAAAAAAAAAAAATCATCTAAATCGGACCATTATCAGCTGAGATACAGGCTATTGAATTACAATGTAATTGAATAGTTAATGGTTGACCGTTTTATTTTAGACAAAGGAGATAGTCCGGAGTGGCAATCATAAAAAGACTAAAATAGTGGAAAAATATTTTATTTCAAGCCATATTTTATTTATTCGACCCGACTTTGCAGTTTCAGTTAAAATTGAAGGAATTTCATTTAAAACTGGAATTTTTACTGAAACTCCTTGCTGAACGCACCCTCCTGAAGACCTGCAAAGTCGGTTCGAAATGTCTTGAAATTAAATAGTTTTTCCACTATTTTAATCTCTTTATGATTGCCACCATGGACCGTTTCCTTCCTCATAAATATTTTAGTTTATAACATCAAGGAAGTTTTATAATTTTTTTTTCCATGGTCAATTGCAATTTCATAAAAAATAGAAAACTATTGCTTCCCCTTATGATACATTAAATTATTTATTTTCTTATTATTTTGTCATTTGTTCACTGACCAATATTATTTGCGAATTTTTCATACTGAGTAGGTGGTAATTGATAATAAGTAGTAAATAAAGATAATAAGTAACAAATAGAATTTGTTTTCATAAACTTTGATTATAACTTTTAAAAAAAGTAAAATCAATAATTTTATCAAAAATGTTATATGTATTAGTTGTTCTATTGTAGCTATGTCTAACTTTTACCCTTAAAAACATGGCCGACCATGGACCAATTCATTAAGTTGTAACTACCTGTGTTTTTTTACAAATATATTACAATATCATCTTATAATAGATGAGCATATTATTTAATAAAATCTGATGACAAGAAAGAAAAATGTATTTTCAACTTCAACAAGAGTTTGACATATTTTTTTGTGGGTGCTGCCATCATTTTCATTGACTATTTGAGAGACAAAGCCTTGGGCTATTTTTGTAGTCTAGTTCAGAAAACCAGTTGCTTTAAAATACATAATATTCTTGAAAATAAAAAAGACAAATACATTTTTTTAAATGTATAGTAAAAGAAAGTATTGCGATAGTGAAAATTTTCGAATCTGAGTGTTGGACAGAAATACCAGTTTTGAAGTTCCTTGAGTTCAAGTAACCATGTCCCACAAGATGGTCTGTGTGTTCCTCAAAAGTACCTTTAATTTATTTTATTTGAAATAATTAACCATTTCATATTAATCTTTGATATAAAAAATAGTTAAATATAAAATATGAAAGAATTAAATAATTAATTAAAAGAGAAATAAGAGATCATAACGGATAATAGTTGTAGTGGAGGAACGAAAGAAATACGAGCTTGACCTAAAGATTACAATGGGCTTCCATACATAACATGAGCTTAAAATATGGTCCTCGACATTATGTACATATAAATATGTGGTTTTCATGAATATTATCATTCGTATTATTTAATATTATAGATTACAGAGATATAAAAATTAAAATTTGTATATATATCAGTAAAATATTCTAGTATATATAAAGTCCTAATATTCGAACAGAAAATTCTAAGAATTTATGGTCCAGTGTGTGTGAATGGAGGGTGGAGAAGAAGGAAAAATCAGCAGATATACTAGCGTTTTAATTTTAATGAGGCCAATAATATCAATTTTATAAGAGAAGGCCGTCTCAGATCAGCAGGTCATGTGGCCAAAATGAAAGACGACATGATACCAACGAAGGTATTGGTTGAAATCCTGCATGGAGCGTGACGAGTAGGAAGACCAAAGTTAAGATGGAGGGACAGCGTGGTCAAAGATGCCAGGAAGCTAGGAGTTCGAGACTGGATGGTGGCAGCACAAAGCAGACACCTGGCGGATGCCATGACTCGCTAAGAAGGTTGTAGAGCCAGTATAGATAGATATATATCGCTACTTAAACAAATATAAATACTCCTAATGAAATAAATTAAATATAGTTGCTTTCTTTACCAGTGACACTCTTGTCGAACTAAAAATATATCGTGACACTTAATTATTTATTATAATCAAATAAATAAATAAATGTACAGTAGTAAATGGAAATGGATCGTGTCAAATATAATAAATTAGACGGCTATGAAAAACATATGTTGATTGATTGTTTGAAATAATCTTTCTTACTGTCTATATTTTTTATTTTCACTCTCCTTTGTCTTAAAATACTTATTTCTGCTAAGAGGGTGATAAGTGAAAGATGTGTGATGCGTGCACCACACCAGATTTTTTTTTCATATTTTATTAAATGACTGTTTTAAGTATTGAAGGATATATCTGGGATTATGATAGGTAGAAATGGTTATGACACAGTTAATTAAAATAGAGGGATAAATATGTCCTCAACTTTATTCAAATAAAAGAAAGAACAAGAATCTCAGACAGTGTCAAAAATACAATTTTACTCAAGATAGTTGAAAATATAAACATTTACGGACACATTTCATTAATTTCCGTATTGATATCCAACAACTGCAAAATAAATTCAGTATCTGAAAGAATGTCAGCGACCGTGGACAGCAATTCTCGAAAAGTTGCTGGTAGTAGTCCTAATTGTTGCCCACACATTTCCATTATGTTTACTTCTGTTGCCTCAAATTCCTGCTGACAAAGAATAAACATTCATTTTATTTTTAATAAATAATAGTTTCTGTGTTTAGATGCACATGTAAGATTAATTGGAGGCAATACCTTATTATCTTGTAGAAAATCTGTAAAACTTAATCTAGCTCTCTGTGTATTAGAGTTAGAATCTGTGCAGATTATAGTAAATGCTCCAGAGCTGTTCTTTGGCACTGCAAAATATACACCCGCTACCACTTCTCCCTTAATGTTACGGGAAAGCCAGCTTTTAAAATTGTAGACTAAATTTCTTTTTTCAGTAACTTCCACTGCATTTTCAAATGGTCGAGCGACGTAAATCAAGTTTTGTAATGTGTTAACTTTGGTTCCTCTTATCTCTTTTACTTCCCAAATAACATAATTCCTAGTATTTTCTGGGAAAAAATACCTATATTCTCGTTTCACCCATGTTTCATTAGTTTGTGTAAACCAACCTAAAAATAAAAGAAATACTGAGTAAATAGGGGAATAATATGACATAAAAACACCATCAGAGTTAATACACTTAAATCAAAAACGTATTAATTAAACAATGAAGAAGAAAAATGGTATAAATTAATTTCTTCATTAACCTGTATGTGGGTAAGCTTTGTCCTCCATGACAGTAACAACACGTGCGACATGGTAGCCAGGATCTAGCAGCAAGACTCCTTTACGGCCTGATATTTCTACTTTCATGCAGACCATAACATGTTCTTTATCGGATGCCTCGCAAGGTCCACGTTCAAGGTAACCAGCTGGATCTTCAATAGATTCTTCGCAAGAAACTAAGCTGATCGAGGAGCTAACCGACTGGTGAAGTTCCCTCAATCTTGTAATCAATTCTAGTCCGAGGCCAACACACGTGTATTCTTCCTCTACAATAGCTGGGATGTACTGTTCGTAGAAATGTCTCACATTCCATTCTTGACCCTTACGATAATCACCATAAAACCTATAAATCAAATTGGATGGTTATTAAAAAGAAGAACTCTAGAATGAATTTCTTGTTATTTCATATTAACAACTTAATGATATAATTGAAAAAAAAAAATGTCTAAATTAATTTTCGAAAACAATATTTTATTTTATGGTAAGAAAGTACCAATTAGTTATGCATTATAAAATTGAATAACGAAAAGTATAGCATTATATTAAAAGTATTATTTACATTACTGGGTATTAATGTACAAAATTTTTGATAATCTTTCAACAAGATATAATAGAAAATTTTTATAAACTAATAGATTTTTCTTAAAAAGTTTTAAAAGTCCAATTTTCTTATTCAAATTTAAAAACAACAAGACGTTCATGAAAAGGTAATTTCTCTTTTCTTTTTTTTTCCCACATATTAATTTATTGAAAAAAGTCACTATGTACATTTTTTTAGAGACAAGCTTCTGACTGTTTTCCTGAATTTTCATCTTATCCATCAATGTAGAAAAACAAAGTGCTAAATATTCTGAGGGAAGATTTATTTAAGTACTTAGTGATTCACTTTAATGAAATGTTACTTTTTGCAATAAACCAATATGCATATGGTATATCATTTAAAGACAAAATAATTAGTAGGCTATTTCATTATTGCTGGAGAATGATATAGTTGTACAAATACCTTATGAAATTTCCAACAGTATTGTAATGATGTTTCGGGAGGAGCTGCTGAACAGTAAGTTCAAATGAGAGAGCAAGATCCTCATAGGCCTCGACTGTAGCAAGCTGGAGAGCCTGAAGTGGGGTAGACCAAATCGGGGGTGATATCACACGCTGTTTCAGCCATTTTTGAGTTTCGAGTCAACTTGGCCACTCGGATCCCCATCTGCCAACCTTGGGTAACCCTCTCCCCTCATCCCTGCAGCTTGCTACAGGGGCTTCACTCTTTTGGGAACGATTCTCTGGCTCTGTAATACAATAATTTATGTTATATTATCTGTGATAAACATATCAAATCAAATATAATTGAACTTAGTTTATTGATTATAACGATAGGATTTAAAGTGTAAAGGAATCACAGATCTCTGCAATAAAAATTATAAAACTTCTACCTTATTTTATGTAAGTTTTATATAATTGATTAAGTTGATTTTTTTTTTTTTTATAATACTAAACGATTATTGCAGCATACCAGTTATTAGTTTTTAGTTTAGCTTATTAGTTGAAGAAAATAAAGTTAATTTCAAAAGTACTAGAAAATACATTTTTAAGACAATTCTCTATTTCTAATGATTCCATATTTTAATATCGTATTCATAAAATTTTCCACTATACCAATTAAAAAACTGTAGAACTTACTAATATTTTAGAAAATAGAGTTAAATTCTTAAAATACTGAAAGTTATTCTTAAAATACTGAAAGTTATCAAGTATTTTGCTCAAATTCAACTATTTCTTCAGTTGATTGTAAATCATTAACTGAAGAAGCAATTAAATTCCAAGCTACTCAGTCGTATTCATAAAATTTCCCACTATATCAATGAAAAATTTACTAATATTTTATAAAGTAGACTTTAATTCTTAAAATACTGAAATTTACCGAGTATTTTGCTCAAATTTAACTATTTCTTCAGTTGATCATAAATCGTTAAATGAAGTAGTAATTAAATTCCAAGCTACTCAGTACTTTTGTTCTATCTCAGCGACGCTTCATTGAATGAAAAAAATCATTGTACAATTGGGAAGATAATTACTCATAATTTTCTAGAATCATCACTCATAATGATGTTGGCTGAAAATTTAGTAAGGAATAATTTGTAAAGAATCATTGGCATAGTGCCAATGGAAAAGTATGCTGATAACCACTTTAGAAAATCCATTAAAGGCATTTATATTTGATGCCTAATTGATAGAATTATAACATAAATTATAAATAGGGTGCTTAAGAAAACCCTAATAATTCAATTTTGAAAAATTGTATGTGATATAGTAGATATGGCTCATGAGGGGAAATTTGATAATTATCCATTTCAAATAAAAAGGTGCTTTAGCATAGTTAGAACTTCATAAATATACTATGAAATGAGTAAAAACTTATTATAATATGGTGCTAAAAATTATTCTAGATAACTGGTAAAACTATAAAAAAAATCTTAATCTTTTTATGAATCAAATTTAACATTTATGGTTATAGATAAGATAAATGTATCCTTCTTCCACCCCCTCCCCCCCATAAGACATATGTTAAAAGCTTTGATAATTTATGTCTCATACTATTATGTAACATCTCTATGGTTAAAGGCAAAATCAAGATTAGCCAATCCTGTATCTTAACCATATGGTTACTATTTAAGTTAATCATGAAATAAAAGTTACTATTCAGTCTTATAAAAAGCCTTGTATTTCAGACATTCACTAAAAAATACCATTAAAATTTAAATGCTATTACTATAATAAATTTAATTCTATACTCAGCATTCACTAAAATCAAACAATGGCTGTCACACTAAGGGTAATTGGTCACCTGAATGACGTAACTAAGCAATTAATAAATAAAACTAATCGGAAAAAAAAAAATTGACCTAAAAATCCGTAACATGCTTGTCCCTTTGAAAAAGTATACACACGCTAACAATGTAAAATTAAATTAAAAAATAAAATAAAAACTTATAAATTAAGAAAACAAGGAAAACTTCAACAATAGGCTTGGATATAATAAAAGAAATAACAATTGTTCTATTTCGAAAACCTTACCCATAAACTGGCACAAAGCCCTTTTAGAAAACTCCCTCCTCTAGAGACCGAAGAGTTCTCAGATTGGTGGGGATCTATCCGAACGGCAGGTTTTATACAATCTTTATCAGCTCAGCCCCTCCTCGTCACAAATCCCCCTCCCCTCTGAAATTACTACGTCAAGTCCAATAATTCAGCTGCATGACGGCAGCTGATAATAAACAATAACACAATGGCAACAGCCAGGTGCTCTGAGGCACTGGCCAATATGGCGACTTTTATTACACTCCCAATCTTATTCCCCACAATGCATTTCGCCACGTGATCGTCCGTCTCCCTGGCAACAGTATAAAAATAACACCCCTCGTGTTAGGCATAAAATAAAAATAATACCTAGTTCTATTCTAATACAAAAAAGAACATCTTAAAAGGATTGTCTATTTTATTTTTATGTTCAGTCAACCGAGAGCCAATTTTTAATCAATACGGACTTCCCTACCCTACCGTTAAAATCGTACTAATCTTCCATATTGATGTATTACGTAATTTATGAATCATGTATTACTATGATAAATAGATTAATTTTACTGGCCAATGCTGATAATTCGCGTATTATATAGGTGAACAAATGACAAAATTATATTTAATAAATTATTGCAATGTACCATTAGATGGAGAAATAAATTATCTTTTACTCGGTAATTGTAATTGATCAAGGAAAAAGAAAATTAGAGGCTTCGGTCGGTATTTTATTGCATTTGCCGACGTTTCGAACTACGTTGTAGGCCTTCATCAGGGCTAAAATAGAAACAAATATTATTATTAAACAAGTATTAATTCATAATTGGAAAATGGTTGACTGACGTGGATAATGAAGAGAAGAATTAGTTGGGGTGGTCTGTCAAAAAAGACCACCCCAACTATTCTTCTCTTCATTATAAGTATTAATTGTTACAAGGTAAAAAAATGAATAAATTATCAGTTGATATTAAAGTAGTACAGGTTACCAGTTTATTAGTAATCTATAATTTATTTATTGTTTTACCTTATACCAATTAATATTTATAGTTTGTATTTTTTCGTAGCTCTGTTGAAGAGCAACAACGTAAATCAAAACGAAAATATTATTATTATATATGGTATTATATATTGACCGCTCACTGGACCATCTCAAATTATAATCCCAGTCAACTATCTCCACACCGTTGTGAAAAGAAAATTAATTTAAAACCATTCATTTTCTAAACCAACATTATAATTTGCATTATATTCATGTTTATAAATTACAATAAGTAGTATCTTTGAAAATAATGGTCCGATTTCTATTTATTTTTTTTATTTAACAATCTTTCAAATAAACATGGGTGCAATAATTCATTAAAAATATACTTTTTGAGTTATTCGTGAATTATGTTTCTTTTACATCATAACTTTTTTGCATGAAATTTCGAGGTGATGTGACTATTTTTCCCACCTGGAGGAGAAGGGAATCTTTAAAATGATGGCTCAATTTTTGGATTTGATAAAAAATTAACGAAGTCATAGCGTACTGGAAAAAAAAATTAAAATAATAACTTTGGTAAATAATATTTTAAGATAATCGGCATTATTATAGGAAAATCTCTATCGAGCTTTAATTTAATTAAAATTCTGAAATATCCATTAACTTCAAATTAACTCTTTAACTAATCCATTATTTATTACATAATATTCAAAAATATTGAAATGAAAGTGTTGGGTATTCACACTTTTTAATATTTAAAACTCCTTTAATACATAATTATTACTAGTTTTGTG